AAATACAGACGCAAACAATGACCTTTAATTATTCTGAACACAAAAGAGCTCATTTACCACTTGGGTTGGTGTATGCACTTATGCCGTGAGGGTTAAAGGATTCCAAATCAAAGTTTCTTGGCATGCGCAGCTCTATTGGCTTGATTCTCGGCTCTTTAAGGTCCAATATGTACATTTTTCCCACAATAGTCTCTGGGTTGAGCATGCCAGGATTCCTCAAACCCTGTGGAATATGAAAATGATTCATGATTAAAAGGATTCATTCAGAATTAATGAATATAAATAGAAACGCAATGGCAAAAATCAAAAGAAAAATACATAACATTCTCTTTGGTAGATCCCAGTTTTATGCTTAAACATGCTCTGAAAGCAACTTTGAGGGTGTAAATGACAAAAAGGCCAAAGCCATGATGGAGTGTTTGACTATTATAAATCATTGAAGTCATTTCCTGTGTCACCCGATCAGATATTTTGTATTTTTCATTTTTTATGTGTGGAGCAATCTTGTTGAAAAAAAGGAAACTTGAGCTGCCACCCAAGTTTCATAGCACCAGTCTCTCGCTGATCCTCCTGCAGGTGGTGGGTCCAGAGGAGGATGGCTTCTCAGTCATTGAAGACATGGCCTTGGTCTTTCAGCGAAGGCTTCAGGCAATGTGGGGTTAAGTGTCTTGCCCAGGGACATTGATTTCAATGTTAAGAAAAAATAAATGCTGTTTGACCAAAGACAAGTGAGAATGCAGCTTCTTGAGATAATTAACAACAGCCCAATTGAGAAGGTGGAGGCATGGACATATCAAAGCCAAACCGGCTCGAATCCAGTAAAGACAGTTCAACAAACCATATTCTCAGCCCTTGGACAAGTCTGGTGGACTAAAGTGGCCTTTTTAATAAAACCCCTCTTAATAAAACCCCTAGCCTATGGTTTAAATACAAGTGTTTTCTTGTTCTATCTTTTATTTATTTACCATTATTAAACCAGGATAATCCGATTAAGAAAAAAAGCCTCCAGGGCAAGAGGCAGCATAGCATTGAATAGATACACAATAAAATGACAGGATGACACATAACGTAGATCAGAGTCTTCATTGCCCTCAGTTCGGACATTCAAAGACATCCTTTCAGTAAGCTTCCACGCTGATTGGAGCTTGTTGCATTATTGTAGTGTTAAATGTTCTGAAGCTGTCAACACTTTTCCCTTTGTACAAGACAAATAAAAGCATATTTGATACGAGTAGCCAACAATACATTTTAACAACTACCAACGTAATTCTAAAGTTTTAAGGTCATCTTCTTTGCCATTGACACATAAAATACTGTATAAATTAGAGGATTCCGCTTACATATGGGACACACCTGTCAAGAACCTATTTAATTCTGTCAAAACCTTAAACCTAAAGTTATTCCTGTCAGCATCTGAGTACTTCGTTTTGCTCCCAGTGGATTTTGGCTGCACCCAAATTAAAAACTTTCGTGTCAATCTTTCTCTTTTTTACATACACCTGTGTAGCTTTAAATTTAGCATAGTCTTAAATCTCCCTTGACCAGAGCTGAATCTATGCAGTCTCATAAAAGGCTCATTTAAAAGGGCAAGGAAAGGTAAGGAAGGAGGTAATTTTACACATTTGGATGCAGCCTGTTATTCGTACCGTGCTGATAAAAGCAAGTCCATTTTCAAGTACAGTGATGTCCTCGGACCCTTGATCTGAAAGATGAGAAGTGACACTTTTAACTTGCCCTGTTAAAGCTTGAGTACCCAACTTTATGGTTTTGTTTCATACATTGTACCAACAGAAAGTCTTGTTTAAGTAACATTCAGTGAACAAATAAGACCACAATATGCTGCCTTTATCTTATTAGGAAACATCTTTTATATACTGAGAGCTGTTTGGACAAGTCAGCTTTTCTCTCTGAAAAATCTGATTTCAAGATGTGACAAATGCCAAAAATATAAAATGAAAACATGTGATAGAACCAAACTAGCGACAAGTAATTTATTACAGAGTTCACTTTTGAATATTTCAAACTCCAGCTTTAACAATGTAATAAAATCCACAAAACTAGATCAGACCTTTCACATGCAAGTATTTTTTCAAACCTAGGGTTTGAAAAAAGAACATAAACACATAAAATCTAATTATTTGTCGTATTAGTGCTCCCACATTTTAGGAAAAGTAGGAGCACTTTTCTTCAAGGAATGAGCATTGAAGGGTTAAGATAAGGTACCCCAGCTTTAAAGAGACATCTGATCAGTTGTATCTGTGATGCACTTACGCAGATTTGGAAGCAGAACACAGTTAGGAAGGTGGTTCTTCTCCAGCTCCCGATGTGCCAGTGCTCTTTTCCTGCAGTAATAATCATACAAATACATAAATCAGGAAATATGAAACTTTATGCAGGTTAAGCTTATGTTATGTGTATCCTGTTAGTTGCTGTTTTTGTGCACAAGGGTCGGATGACTTTACTAATCTAGTGTTCTGGTCGAGGAAGTTAAGTTTACCGTAAATTAACGACGCGTTCTCCGAAGAACAGTGCTATAGCAGCGACTAAAAGTGAGATGAATACGACTTTTCCCATTGTAAATCAGTGTCCTCCACGCGATGCTCACGAATATTTACAGTCTATGCTCACGGTAGTGTGCAGACTACTCGAGACTGCTGCACTAAGGCGTGACATGGTGCCCGCGCTACTGCCGGACTAAAACTCACTATTCATTCGTGACTTTTAGCTTTTAATATATACAGTCTATGCTTTTAACGTTTAATCTTATAGTCTATGGTTAGATCTCTATAGTGTTACATAAATCTCTGTATTTATCATCGAAATACGTATGATGTTATTATTGATATTACAGGGACTAAAAAGTCAATGTTTATGCATGAAGTTGGGGCACCATGTTTTGTTTTGTTTTCATCAATAATCGATGTAGTTTGCCTCAACAGAAAGAACAAATCAGACCACAACATGCTGTCGTCATCTTACTAAAAAAATTATATTTTACAAACTTTACAGAGAGAGCTTTGTGAGTCAGTTTTTGACTCTTGCTTTGGTGAGAGCTGATTGGCTGAGTTAGGGAGGTCCTCACTTTATCAGTTTTCTGTCTGAAACATAAAAATGAAAACACTGAGGGAGGAGCAAGGTACCATAGGCATATAAAGAATCTATCTTTATGTCTATGCGAGGAACTACTTACATGGATTGTATCCAGACAGTAAATATTAGTATTGTATCACACCATTCTATTTTTTGTGGTTTGGTACCTCAGCTTGACTGTATATGGTGTTTTTTTTTTCTAATTTAGCTTATATAGTGCAATGACATCAGCTACAAGCATATTTGTACACTGATGAAGCTGCAGTTTGTTAAATAATGGGGAAAGTTATAGCATTTATTGAAGGTAGAGCATTGTTTAACTGGTGACAACACAGGAACGTTTAAATGATTCTCTCCACTAATTCTTGTATTGTATTTTGTCACAATGTAGGGTTGACCCCATATGTTACACGGTTGTTAGATAACACCCCTCCTGTGAGGTCATTGTAAGTTAAATTAGAACCATAAAAAACTTAGAAGTGTCTGTCTGCTATGTAGCTTTCTGATGGGGTCCTAGGGTCCTACCTAGCCTGGCCTTCGTACTCTCCGCATTGTCACCATTTAATTTTGTACTATGGTGTGGTACCATATGTGTGGTACGACCAGGCTAGGTCCTACCCGCTTGTTGCCATGGAGATTTATTGGCATGCATCCATGGTCTGGAAACGGATTACATTGATTAGTTTCACAAATACCTGATTTTGTACATTAGGGCGACTCTTTTCTTCACAGAGCTGAGTCCCAATTCTAAATTCATACTTTCACTTTTATTATCATACTATCAGTGTGTAGTTTTTTTTTCCTTCTAAGCCTACATTGCAAGTTGAAATACAAGGAATATCTAGTTATACGTTCATTTGTAGGTTGTTTTTATACATTTATTACAGTGTATAACTTTCCAGAACATTATCCTCTCATTACTACTATTTAGAAAGGAGTCCAAGCAAATTCCAGTCTGAGACAATGATCTAAGTTTGAACCAGGGCTGTTGCTTCCACATGGACTTTATTGGAACTCTGCACACCACTTGTATGAACCAACTGTGTAAAAAAAAAAACCATTTCACAAGGGTGTCGCATGTTGACATTCACTCACATGGGCTGGTTAAACGTGGTGAGCATCCAAACAACTCTCACAAGCATCAACAGTTTGCCTTACTCATATGTATTCATCCATCCTGTTTGTCAAGTCTTGGTTTGAACCTCACACCAAGGGTACGCAATAACATCCTTCCTGCAAACCCTGTTTAAATTGTTTATTTTTGAAGTTGCTTTTCAAGTTGATGAGTCTTTCCAACATAAAACAAAAGTTACAAAATTGTCTATAATCAAAATCATGTGTAAGAGACTTCATAAAAAACAAATATGAACACATACATACACAAAGAAGTGAAAGAAACATAAAATTGGCAAACTATTGACCCTGTGATACTCAGCATTGGGTGCATGCAACCTGACAGTAACTGTAGAATATCTACAAAGTCCAATTAATGAATGATAGCATCTAACAACTTCAAAACACCAACATCTGCTGCATTGTCACATGGTGTGCGCTGAAGACCGCACACCGCACTCAGGACTCCGTTTGTGAAGTTGTGTTTAGGTTCACAGTGTAATACAGCAGGATTCCCATCAAACAGTTTCAAGCAAGACTGTATATTTGGAACATACAAAATAAATTTTATTATCCATTCTCTCCATGACTACATCTTATTAGAATTTCTGGACAATAGCATTGTCAAATACACACCCAAATTAATTCTAATAATCTTGACGGGCGCAAGAATACATTTCTGTCAACTCCAGGTGTCAAAATAACTGAATGTGAAAAGCAATTTAAATCATCTTTGTTATTTTCAACATAAAAAGGGGACCATGGCCCTAGGCCAGAGTGGCAGGCAGACAGAGGCTTCACGGCTGAGCTCCAGTGGCTGCAGGGACCTGCGTGGCCAGAGTGTTGGGGGCAGAGATGACCGGGGATCCAGCAATGTTGGCCATGGGCTGCGCAGACGACATGGAGGTGATGCCTGCGAGAAAGTGAGATTGTGAGAACAGTTCAGACACAACAAAGAATCTATGAACTCACCAGCCATCATACTCGAAGAGCTGACCGGTGTGGAGCTGGCAGCCATGCCTCCAGGAGTGGCCCCTCTGCCCTGGTCTTTGACAATGGGATCTGCAAAGCCAAACATGGCAGAATGAGCAAACCACTGCACATAATTATAAAACTGGGAGAATATCTTTGATACTGACAAAAGTAGGGGTGATCCATGGCCTCTCTGGCTGTGAGGCGAGCTTGATGGTCATAGCGCAGCAGCTTGTCCAGAAAGTCTAGAGCTTCTGTGCTGACCAAATGCTGATTTTCACTGTGCACAAACCTCTCCCACCTCTTACGTGAATGTCTGGGAAAAAAAGACAATGTTTTCCCCCCAACAACTTCTTGTTTTAGCTAATGTGTCGCATAATATTACCTGCCCAAGATGTCATTGAATCGTGGATCCAATTCAATGTTGTACTTGTCAATATAGTCGTACAGGTCCTCTGTGCCTAGTACTTTTGCAATTCGCACCAGCTAGAACAACAAGAACAAAATTATAAACCATGTCAGGGTTGAAAACAAACGCCATGCACACATACACTGGCAGGTTGTTTCATGGGATAATATCCCACCCTCTTCCCCTATCAAATATATGTTCATACGTCACATATTTTACAAATTCCCATTCATATAAAAGTGCATATTTGTACTTTGTGCCATGTTTGAGCAGTGTGTCAGAGGTAGAGAAGTGGACTGACACATCAACCATATTGTTTGCCGCATGGGAAAGCCGTTTTGAACAGCCGACAAGTTAGTCAATTTCCTTATATAGGCGTTTGTGATGGTGGGGTGACATAAGCGCCATAGCAGGGGCAGATGCAAACTAATATAGTTGCTGAGGCAAGCTGATGTTTTCCACCCCATGAACAAAGGCATTTGATGGTAAATCCAGATATTGGGCATAAGGATTGGCCACAGACAATTTTAAACTGAATACACCAGGGTCATAGAGCGCTAAACCACAGATTTCTAAAGCCAAAAATGTTGAGTAACTCCTCCAGCCTGGTTACTGGGCTGGAGGAGTTTGATTTTCAATGCAAGACAATAGGAGCAAAACTTTATCTATGAGCACTTTCCTACTGGGCTTCATTGAGGTAGCGGTTTCCCCCGGTCCATCTATATACAGTCTATGCTCTGAAGGCTTTAAACAAAACTTGTTGGTATAAAACACTGCACACATTTATCCTTCGTCAATTTAACGCCTCTGTTGTGCTTTTTGGACAACAGACTATATGTAGATAGGAACACTCAAATCTAGACCCTGGACAAACTTAAGGACCCTATTCTGCGGAAAACTTGGGAAAACAAGTTTTTATCAGATACCCGGTGTGCGCGTAGACAGAAGGGCTGGAAATCTCTGGGTCCCTGATGCTACTATATACAATACAGGGCTTATAATGTATTATAAGCCCTGTATTGTGTAGAGCATCACAATATGGCAATACTGCAATTATTCATATATTGTTCATTTAATTGTTAATGACATAGGATATATCCTATCCCAAGTTGTATTGCCTTGCTTAATGTGGTTTTTTTGTAGATTTACTTTTTACATTGGAGTCTTTTTCTATTCTTTTCAGACGTAAAAATTGTACAGTTGTGGTGGGATTGGAACAGAACTGGAGAAGGCTGTGTATTGTTGACTGATTTACAGATTTATTTAAAATTTGCCTTTTAAGTTAAATTGACTAAATTATGTGCCTGTCCTCCTGAGAGCTTTAATATGAGCTTTAATATCCCAGCTCAAAAGAAGCTGCAAAAACTTCATTGGATCTTTAGAAACGGTGGGTATTGCTTCCCCTAATGAACTCTACACATCCACCGCCTCAAAAGAACTCAACACCTCCACCAGCATCATCATCATCAGCAGCGGATACAGTACCAGCAGCAGCGGCTGCCACAGCATCATCAGCGCCACCAGCAGCAGCGGATACAGCACCAGCAGTGGATGCTGCATCATCTTCAGCAGCACCTTCCCCACCTACAGCTCCCGTGAAGCCCCCCCATTGCTCCAGGCTACAGCAGACAGGCCTGTACTGGGGGCCCCTCAACCACCTCTGTCTCCACCAAAGACTCCCTCATCACCTTCCATGGACCCGGCTTGGGTCCCCCCGCCACATCCACTCCATCTAAGGAAAATGAGGACGACCTTTCTCTTTGTTTTCTATCCCTGCCTTCACTACTGGAATTACCGGAACACTCGGTAGGCGTGATAAAATCGGCGATGAAGACTATTCCTCTCACACCCACTGTAGCCAGATCAAGAGTCCTATCTAACATTCATAACTACTCCCCATATGTACCTCCAAAGCCACCTAAGGCGTCCAACTCAAATTCTCCCACAAAATCCACCTGTCCCTCCCCTAACCCCAAAACCATTCCAACCCAACCCCCACCTCCCCCTCGTTTAGCCCACCTCCCCCCTAACCCATCACCAAGAACCCCTCCACCTCCAACCTCGTCCAACACCAATTTTTTGACATGTGCTTCACTAACAAACCACCAGTGGACTCTGCAAGTGATCGAAGAAGACACATAAATGAAAATACGAGTGAACTATTTATGGGAATGATAAACTTTGAGAATGCATCGTATTCTACTGTAATTAACTCTGTCACCTCTAGTGTTTTGAATGTTCTGGATACCGTTGCCTCTGTGAAGGTTAAAATAGGGAAATATAAGCAGAAGGCGCCGTGGGCTAAAGCAGACTATCAGGGCACAGAAGAGAATGTGCCGGAGGGCCAAGCGGAAGTGGCGCAAGTCCAACCTCCAGGTTGATTACGAGATCTTCAAAGATAAGTTGTGAGATTTTAACCGGGTGCTACGTAGTACGAGAGAAAGGTATTTTTCTGAAATGATTGAATGATCTGCGTGTTCTGTTCTCAACAGTTAATAGATTAACAAACCCCCCTGTTCAGATTAGAGTTTGCACATTTTTTCAATGACAAGGTTCAAGGCATCAAAAACGCCATTGTCTCCAATCCACAGATAACCATCCAACAACCAGAAAGGCTCTTTGAGCTAACTCACTTTGCACCTGTAAATGATAAAACTGTCCAAGAGATAATCTCCAGTTTGAGCTCCTCCACATGCAGCCTGGATGTACTACCCACTAGATTTCTAAAGTCTGTTCTGAGCAGTCTGTTAACCTTCACTCGCACAGATAGTAAACATGTCCCTTCGTTGTGGAATATTCCCAAAGGCCCTGAAAACTACAGTCATCAGGCCCCTGCTAAAAAAGAGCAGTCTGGATGCCACGGTACTTCTAAGTGCTGCCTTTGACACAGTCGACCATGAGATCCTCTTACAGAGACTAGAGGACTGGGTTGGCGTCGCTAGCACCGCCCTAAGTTGGTTTAGGTCTTACCTTGAAGACAGGAAGTACTTTGTGGAGATTGGAAACTGTCTCAGATCATATGGCCCTGACCTGTGGAGTACCACAGGGGTCGATCCTGGGACCTCTTCTGTTCAATCTCTACATGCTGCCGTTAGGTCAGTTAATACGCAGAAACGAAGTGTCCTATCACAACTATGCAGACGACACTCAGATCTATGTCTCACTGACTGCAGGAGAACATGGACCAGTGGACTCACTCCTTCCCTGTATCCAACAGATCAGTAAGTGGATGCAAAACAACTTCCTTCAGCTAAACGCAGACAAAACTGAAATGATTGTCTTTGGTCCCCAGAAACAAAGAGAGAGCGTCATCTGTCACCTACGGTCTCTCTCCCTAAAACCTTCAAACAAGGTCAGAAATCTAGGGGTAATACTGGACTCAGACTTAAATTTTAATAGCCACATCAAATCAGTAACATCAGCAGCTTTTTACCATCTAAAAAACATTGCCAGGATCAAAAACATAGTGTCTAAAGCAGACCTGGAGATTCTTATCCATGCATTTGTCTCCAGTAGGTTAGACTACTGCAATGGCCTGCTCACAGGTCTGTCCAAACAGGCTGTAAAACAGCTGCAGTACATTCAAAATGCAGCAGCTCGAGTCCTGACTAGAACCAGGAAGTACAACCACATTAGTCCAGTTCTCAGGTCTCTGCACTGGCTTCCTGTGGCTCAGAGAATAGACTTTAAAACAGCTCTGCTTGTGTACAAGTCTCTCCATGGCCTCGCACCAAAATATATTAGTGACATGTTAGTACCAAATGAACCAGCCCGGACTCTGAGGAGCACAGGGACTGGACTCTTGTTAGTGCCCAGAGTCAGAACTAAACATGGGGAGGCTGCTTTTCAGATTCATGCTGCTAAAATCTGAACAATCTTCCTGAAGATGTGAGACAGGCCTCCTCAATGACAATGTTTAAAACCAGGTTAAAAACTGCCCATTTTAGCTGTGCATACAACTGAGGGATTTTATATTTGTATCTTTGTTTTTAATATACTGTGATTATTTATGATTTTAATGCTCTTATTTTGTTCAGCACTTTGAGTTGCCTTGTGTATGAATTGTGCTATACAAATAAACTTGACTTGCCTTACTTGCCCCTAATAGACAGCCTTGAAGTATAGGAGTAGGTTTGGATCACTCACCTGATCATAATTGTCATGGCCATGAAAGAAGGGCTCCTTTCTGAAGATCATGCTGGCCAACATGCATCCCAAACTCCACATGTCCAGGCTGTAATCGTACATCTGAGAAACAACCGCGGGAGAATGACACTTCCACTTCCACAGAGAGTAGCTTGAATGAGAGCGAGGCTTACCTGGTAGTCTACCAACAGCTCAGGCCCTTTGAAGTACCTGGACGCCACTCTCACGTTATATTCTTGGTTTGGATGGTAGAATTCTGCCAACCCCCAGTCAATTAGACGGAGCTGGAAGACATAGATATGGGACAATGACATTGCATTCCATTGTATTTAAAGTTGCGTTCAACTTTAAAGACATTTTTTTGTTCTCCAGTCTGCTCTAAAGTGGTGACATCCCAGGATCACCATTATGTATTTTGTATATGAAATCTAGATATTGATTTAAAGCAATATATACAGAAATCTTCCTTTTATTATAAGCATACTGTATTGATTGGTGTGTCCCCCCCCTCTAAACCCCATAACAGATTTTTTTGTATTTCCTCATATTGTTTTATATTCATGGAATGACCATTTTAAATGTAAAGTGTTGTACACTAATAAATCTAGTTAGGAGAGAAATGTTGAAATAGATAGTAGTAATAGTTAAGTGTACAGGAAGGAGTAGGAGGTCTATAGCTGATGACATCACGGGAGATTCCATATTCATAATACAATTTGACACAACTTACAATAAACAATTCAAAGACACTTAACTAAATAAACAATCTTATAAATGCAATTTGTCAAATCGTAATATCTGTACTTTAGAGGCGTTTTGGCCACATACACACAGCATGATTTCTCTCCAACAACCCTTCAGTGATGTCATCCACAACTAGGAAGTAAAAATAGGCAAGCTGGGATGAAATGGCAATCTTTGAGAAAATATAGTCCAATGTTAAGCTACATGAAGGCTTTCTCAAAGGGCACTAATAAGACCTGCATAGATATGGCACCACTAGCTCACACTTTTTAAAAACATAGTAAAGCTCTTTGGGTGACCTTGGTCTGTAAAACGCACTATATAAATAAACCTTATTTATTAAAACTATTTTTTTTAAATCGACTCAAATACTGTTGTATTTCAATGTTAAATGTAGGGCCGGGACTTTAACGCGTTAATTACGATTAATTAACACCACAAAATTAGCGCGTAAAAAAATTGACGCATTTTAATTGCACGTGTATTTTCTACTGCGGAACGTTCCTCACGAATGAGTTTCAGACGGACCGATTATACTGGAGCGCCACCTGAGCTCCGTGACTTTTCTTGTTCAAAAGTACATTATAACAAGCATAGACCAACTCTAACTCAGAGTGAGTTAAACTCCTCAGACTGTCAGTCAAGCTGCATAGGGAGTCAGTTTGCTGGGAGTATGGCAAGTATGGTAACTTGAGCACCATCCTCTCCTCCTTCCTACTTTACCTGTAGCGAGCAGCGAGACACAGGTGTGTGAGCTGCTATTTGCTGATGTTTTAGTTCAGGGGTGCTCAATACGTCAATCGCGATCTACCAATCGATCGCAAAAGGTAGCATTGGAAGATCGCATTACATTAAAAAAAATGTAAAAAAATCTGTTTATGCATTTGCATGTGGACAGAGATAACCGGAGTTTTGCGTTTTTGCACGCCACAGTATGCTCCCAAAACAACAACAACAACAAACAAAACATGCGACCTCTGATCACTGAAGCATGGGTCATACTGCCTTAAAAACTGTTCACTACTGCAGCAGTTCACAGCAGCGATCCACGCTCCACATCAGAGAGCAGAAAAGTGATCACAGGGACTCAGGCTCCAAAACAACCAAAACAGGAGCTAAACCAGGATCAAACCAGGGCTGAGGACTGGGGTCAATGCTTGTAAACATATGTCTTCACCATGGATCTATAATAACGTCTTCACCCTGAGTTTCTACTATTACTGTAAGTGCCGCTACAGAACGAAAGTTACGGATGTAACTACGGTTCTATGAATCCTGGATGACCTGGATGTGCTTAAATGCGAATTATTTCATAAATCATGCGGTTTTGCATGTACATCAACATACATTCTAGATATAAAGAATCCTCAATATATTTAGAAATAAATATATGTTTTGCATTTTTGTAGTAGGTAGATCATTTTGACTTGATCAAGTAGCTCGCATGCTGAAAAAGTGAGAGCACTCCTGTTTTAGTTCGAATGCACACATCAAAAAAGTATTATAAGCTTTAGTGCTCACTGTTAGTGCAGTGGATTTTGATTATAAAAAGCGTCTGTTGTCAGAGTGTGTGGAGGCGATGACAGATACGTTATTTGATTATACAATGGTAAACTAAAAATCCATGTGAAAAAAAATTACTTCTCACTGTTCTCAAGACAAATATTTATATGCGATTAAAATACGATTAATCGAGATTAATTAATTACAAAGCCTCTAATTAATTAGATTATTTTTTTTAATCGAGTCCCAGCCCTAGCTAAATGATGTCCTTGGCACACAATGAGTTAATGTACTGAAATGATGAAAAATGCAATTCCTTATTGCTTCCTCTGAGGCCTGAGTCTGCGGGGCCTTTGATGTGATCATGTTTTCAGCTGACGTGGCAAAAAGGGGCAGAAAGATGCAGGACTGATAATGGATGTGTGTGGAGTTCTTTTTAGCTCCATATTGAGAATACAAAAGGTACTAAATACTGTGCACGACGAGGCACAGGTGTCAAAGGGTGTTTTAATGCTGCACACCCACGTAGATGCAGTGTCGACAGTAATGGGAAAGATTGGTGTTTTCACTACAAGACGATGACAATGAGTCAAAGTAAAAGGGACAAAACAAATGTCACACTTTCAAAATAAGTTTTAAGTCCCATCTGCACCCAGGATAATGGACTACAGCAACTTTTTCATCCAAATGGAGAAATATAAACATGTTCAAACATATGTTTTAAACTTCATAAAAAGTGCATGCAAAAGCCCAAACTTTGAAGGTAAGACCTTCACTCGTTACACGGCTTGTAAAAGTGATTAAATATAGCAGTAATTTAGAAAAGTAAAATAAAAGTTCACACTGAACACGCCTCAGGAAAAAGACGACCTTGCAAGATGAGTTAAAAGCAGTTTTGACTCAGTGTCGAAGAGGGGGCGTGGGGGGTTTGCTCAGTGGATTGAAACCATGTATTCTCAGTATACAGCCGACAGGAGCATCATCCAAAGGACTAGTTCAATCCAACGTACCTTTCTGTGTTCATGATCGATCATTACGTTGTGTGGCTTTACATCTCTGTGCATAATCCCCATACTGTGGCAGTAATCCAAGGCCTTCACCAACAGAAATCACAAGAACAAAGAGGAAAAGATATTCAGCCAAGGGCCAATGTCCATACGCATAGACACACAGGGCATCAGTCTCCCACCTTAAGTATTTCATACATGTAGAACCGTATATCGAAGTCAGAAAGAGTTTGATACAATTGCTGCAAGAGATACAGAGCAAGTTATATACACAACACAAGTAAAAGCTGTGTCTAAAATGTCAAGAAATGTGTTTACCTTAAAGTCTGTGTTGTTCACGTGTTCAAAGACAAGGGCAGGGGTTCGGGACTACAATAGAAAACAAATTTAAGGCAACAATTTAAATAAGTAAGAATGTTTATACAAATAAAGACTAAACATACCACTGGATCCTTGACAATATCTAACAGCGAGATGATATTTGGACCACCTCTCAAATTTTCAAGGATTTTAATTTCTCTCTTGATTTTCTTTTTCTTGACAGGCTAAAAAAAAAAAAAAAAAAAAAAAAGGGTTAGAATTAAAATTCTGAGTTCTCAATAAAATGCAAAAAGTAAGCGCTCCTCTTTGAGACTACTTACTTTGAGTATTTTAACAACCACTTTTTCATTGTTTGTGATATTTATGGCTTCAAAGACTTCGCTATATTTGCCTCTACCCAGTTTTCGGACGAGCTGATAGTCATCTTGGTTTCTGCAAACACAAAAGGGTCATTTGTTTTATTTGTATTCGCTGGTCTTTCACGAACGTGTCCTCACAACAGCCGCAGGACAAAACGCAGACCTGAAACAAAATCGGGCTGGTGTAAAGGCCCGATTATTATTTTTTACTAGATTATTATTACGTTTTTATTGTTGGTGAGTGACAGGCTGAATATTTTTGTGATATGTCAAATAAAATGAAAATTAAGTTGACCAATATGGTTATTTCAGAGTTGATACAGATAACAATAATTAGAAGTCAAGGAGGCAGAGAATATACCGGAAAAAAACTGAAATCATATGGATGTGATTTCACAGCAGAAGTGGAACTAAAGTGCTGGAGACTTTGTGGGGATTAGGTCTCCATGGTAACAGATGCAAACTTGTAGTTGATTGGATCCAAATGAATTGTATTCATTTTGACAGAAATAAACCAAACTACACATGAAAGCTGTTGGGCAGTTGTTTCGACCTGTAGGCCAAACTAGGGATGTAAAAAACTATGCATTTTCATGACCGACCACCGAGCCTCATTAACCGGTTGAAACCGGTTAACCGCGTAGTTTAAAATATTCCACGTTCTTTGAAATAGCAGCCATTTCGAGCCGCGTACTTTTCATAAGTTTATCTATGCGTTCTACTAGATCAGAGCTGAGACAGCGGCGCCAAAACCCGCAACAGCTCCGGCACCTTTGCGCACAGAGAACTGCTTTTTTAATCTTCCCATACTGTGCTGCGGGTTAACCCTTTAGGCGCCAGAGTTTTGACGGCTTGTTCACATGGTCAGAGCAGCGAGTTACACCCCGCGTCTCTCAGGTCTCCGCTAAAGTTTAAAAGTGATGTGTGTGGATCTGATCTAATGACAAGGACCAGCAGCACAAACATGTTTCATGTGTTTGACTGGGGCCGCGTATTTGCGAGGATTATTTGGGCTGCGAGACACAGAGGAGCGCGACAGACCGGTATGTGTGTGTGTACAATACATGTATGTGTGTGTGTGTGTGTGCAATACATGTATGTGTGTGTGTGTGTGTACAATACATGTATGTATGTGTGTGTAAATATAAGCTCCAATGTAGTTCTGACCTGCACTAGTGTGGAACTTTGGCGGTAACAGAGGGGAGAGATGATGCGTGTGGATGTTACGTATGGAGGGGGGGAAAGTGTTTGTGTGTGTGTATGTGTGAGTGTGTGTGTGTGCGCGCGCGTGTGCGTGGCTGCGTGCATATGTGGAGCGTGCGCCATGAAAGTCGCCCGTAGTCTACTAATGCATTGGCGCACACAGCTAGATACGGATCCGCTCGTCACATGGTACAAATAGGTCTTATTAATAGCCTTATTAAGACACCTCCCCTCTCCGCTTTTTCTTATTTTTAACCGACAGCTTTGACCGGTTAACGCTGTGACGGTCAACCACCGGTTAAACGGTCACCGATTTACATCCCTAGGCCAAACTAGACAAATCATTTGATCAATTAAAATTTACATACATATAAATATCGACTGATACAGATATTGGTCCATATTGGTGTCTATAATAATAATAAATTGAATCCTAATAAAACATGTTCTAGAAATGAACCACAATGGAAACAAACAACATTTTTGTGCAATTACAATAGAGGAGTGGGTTCCACATCAAGGACGAGACCATAATCATCAAAAAGAATGATGCCATGGAAACACTAACCCAGAGGTAGATATTAAAGGCTAATAAAGATTCTTTTTCAGGGAATCCTTCACGTGTTGTCCCGTGTAAATAATAAAGGACTTTTACGATTTTCAAATAGTGGCTTAAGTCTTTATAGATCAACCTACAGAACATATTTCACAACAATTATGTGCCGCTTATTAAAAGAAAATCCTCATTGTACTTTGTGTTTTTATAAAACACGCTATTTGTTGCCGCGACTCTGCAACGGATGAAGTTGAGGAAAATGGATTGATGGATGGATTTGTTTACAAAATTGGGGGAAAATAGACAAGTTAAGGGGCATTGCTGACCACACAAATATATGCAGTTGCCAGTTATCTGAATTGGGGAATATTGAAAACCTTCACCCTAATAAGATAAGACTTTATTAATCTCACATAGGAGAAAGTAAGATATGTGCAGCATGTTAATGCAGGATATATTATGTACAAACAAAAACTGGCGATTAGAAAGAAGTGTTAATACTAGTGCAGGTTTCTTTTCAGTCATAGTGCAGCGACTTAAAGTGACTTGTTGTACAGTGTACAGATGTATACATACAACTTTCACTAGAATACAGTTTTTATACTTTGTTATACTAAAAAGTCAGTTATTCTCAAATCTACTGTCTTGTAACTGGTGATACAACACTGAAATGTCCCTACTGTGGGACGAATAAAGAATATCTTAATCCTAAATCATGGATCTCAAATCTCACCAGGCTTTCCTGAAAAATTGCAATGGGGGTTTTGCCAAAATCATAGTCTTATGAACTCTCAACCAGCGAAACAATTAAGTGGCTTTTAAGCGACCCTCAACCACATAAGACTGGACACCCCGGCTCGGCTAGAAAACAGGTTGTTCTTACCCCCACTCGACGACATGAGACTCGTAGTCCCAGTATTCCCGAGGTCTCTGTGTGTTTACATCAGGGTAAACTCGAGAGCGGCTTGGGACAGGGCCTGACATATTCTACGCACAAAGATCTCTATTCCTCCTGCAGGAAAATTCAATAAACAAGAGTTAGCAGTATTTTCACCAAACATGAACATGAGCCATTTGAGAAAGTTAAATTGAATTACCTGGCAGTTGGCCTCCAGGATGATAAGAGCTGCTGTGTTTTTTTAGAAAAGTGCTTAGATGCCTTTGTTGTCAGGAGACTACAAATTAAAGAAAAAAATAATAATTATCAGATAGAATGCAGTGACTTATTGTGAGTTTATAATTTGGAAGTTATACATACACAATATACATACAATTCTGTACTACAAGTGTAAAAGCATATAGTAAAAAAAAAACGTGCAAGTATTAAAGCTGGTGTACCCACTACCCAACTTTCAAAACCACAGAAAATCTAATCAAACCTTTTCTAATAAATCTAAATCTATTAAAACGAGTTCCTTGCTCTCAAAACAGTGGTCTGATCACTAGTTTTCACATGCATGTATTTCTTGGCCTCTGTCACATCTCGAGATATGCTTTTTTTTTAGACAGAAAAGTAAAAAAGAAAAGGACCACCTGTCAGCCCAAAAAGTCAAATAGTGACTCAAAGTGCTCTTCCTTGCAAGTATGTAAAAGACTAAATGCAGTATACTGTGATGTTGTGGTCTGATTTGTTCGCAACATTTTTCTTTTGCAATACTCTGTTGGGACAAACATCCATCATTGAAAAAGTTAGGCACCCCAACTTTAAATCTATACTTCAAAACATATCCAAGAAAGAAATAATGAAATTATACAAGATATACATAAATGAAATGAGAAAGGTTATCTTGGTCTAAAGGCAGATCATTTAATGTTAAAACTACTGGAATTCAAGTGATTATAACTCACACGCTTTTTGTAATGCAATTTTAACTGTGTTGAGGAAATATTTGAGTTCCAGAACACCAGCACAAAACATATTACATTAACATATTTCATTCCATTGTCAGAGCTGCATTCTCAAATACTTGGAATACTTTCTTTATATATTTTAGTTCCAACTCATCTTAAATGTTGAAAACTGAGTTATTTTGTTCTGTAACATTGTGTTGTACAAGTAAAAAAAAAAATATATATATATCTTGATTGATTGACCTCCACGCTGATTTGCATAACACTAGTGTAAACATGCAATACAGGAAGTTAAACACGTACATGCATTCTTCTTCATTTCCCATTAGAAAACAATTACAAGCAGGACTAAAACTAATATAATGCATGATCAATTACCACAATTTATCCTTTATTCAAAATATGTATTCTGTATCAATACTTTTGGTCCGTGTATTTAGTTTTCCCCCGACACTAAATGTGAAGTGTCTAATAAAAGGTGCTTTGTGAAATGGAGAAACCTGAATGATAATGGGGGCATCCAACCAGTCTAATCAGGAGGAACGGGGCTCAATGCAGTCATTACTGGGGGCTACAGCACAGCAGCGTTTCCTGTGAATAAAACAACAGAATGTAGGTTGAATCAAATCAATGCCGTGGATCAGCGATGTGCTACAGCCTAACTACCCCCGACACTGTAATGACCAAATACGGGTCAGTCCCTTTAGTTTAGTGAAGCAACACAAGCAGAGAAGCACGATTTAAAACATTTAACACTGCAATCCAGAGGCAAATACCACGAATGCTGATCACTGATGCACTGAGCTAAGATTTTCCAGCAGATAGTTGAACCGGCCACTGGTTAGACTGCTCTCTAGTTAGCATTAGCCACTGCTATCTAGTTAGCATTAGCCACGGTTAGCGCTTTCAACAGAATCAGATGGGCTGGAGAAAACTAGCATTAGCATTGGCTAGCAGAGAAAGCCGGGTGGAAACTCAGTTCGTTGTGAGGTACAATGTCGTGTTTGGAGATTCAATAAAACACCAACTGCTTACACAGACGTATTAGAACAGACAGCTGTGCCCATCAGCCTGTAGTCAAAGAAATTGGTATGAAATAAATTTGTGAAATGTGTGCTAGGCTAGTAGCTCCGAGTGTGAATAGCCTGCTACTGGCGAGGCTGACAACGCCTTGAAAAAACATCAAACAAACACTTTGATCCGATAGCGAACGGCGAGTACAGTTGGGTAACACCTTCCTCGGGTCCCTACACACCATCAGCGCAAACAACGGACCAATAAAGGTGTCGATTTGTGATTAAATAACACGATTACCTCTCAGCGTTGTCAGGACGTCAAATATGGCGAAGCTTGGGATCAAGAGCTTAGTGCGAAGAGAGCCTCTCCGACAGAGGGCGCTGTGCTTTTGCTATTCATGGAGCAAATCTGCAGCAGCCAACAGGTCAGAGAACAGTTTAAAAACATAGACCATGGATATATAATAATAGCAACATAGACCATGGATGGATCTATTATAATATCAACACAGGCAATGCAAGTGTATTTGTATAGTACAGTTCATGAACAAAGCAACCCAAAGTGCTTAACAAAACAAGATAGAAACAATCATACAAGGCACAATAATCATAAATAATCAAAGTACATTGAAAAGAGTGAAGATACAATCTTTTAGTTACATGCACAGCTGATGGATTGTAATCTGGATTTCAATCTGGATTTCAACATTGTTAGAGTAGAAGCCTGTCTCACAATTTCAGGACGATTCTTCTATATTTTATCTGCATTAATCTGAAACGCTGCCTCCCCAGGTTTAGTCCTGACTCTGGGCACCAGCAGGAGGTCAGTCCCTGTGCTTATCAGAGTCTGCGTTGGCATACACAACATAGACCATGGATAGATCTATCACACATACCTGGAGCCTTGTTTACACCATATACAGAATAGTTCAACGACATCATGTGATAAACCATTAATTACACCAGAGACCCTTTGTACGATGATCACACAGTATGATACACCTTCTGTAATTGCCATAGACCCATGCACAGACTGTATATGAGCCAAGTATAAACCACAGAACAGTTTAACATGGATTTACACCACAGATCCATCACTCGTCCATATTGTTTATGCATTCTATAAACCAAAGACCGACAGACTCTACAATACTATACATTTTCTGTACACACCTACACTTATGCATTACACTCTCAAACAATACAATGAGACGATGGGTCTGACTACAGGAAATTTTGTATTCAGGCAAAAAATCATGTTGGAATATTATAAGATTGTAGTATAAATTGATACCCTACTTTCTAAAACACCATTGGACCCTTGGATTAACAATAAATGCTGTTATTTTGTCCGCAGTCCTGCATCTATCCGCCCGTGGGAGCGGATCCCTCTGCCAGTATGGGCCTCCCCAAGATTTCTCACTTTTTTACTACTGGGTTTATTGAGTCATTCCTTACAGGAGGGTCTAAGGACAGTGATGATGCGGGATAATTAAGCAAATTTATCGAAATGTATTTACATTTATGGACATTGGTCTTCCTGTTCCCCTATGGACAAATGGCTCCTATGTGTTCATTATAATTCCATTTCCTGTGTTCTCTGATTTGGTGAATCGATGACCTTGTAAAGTCCTCAGGGACAACTCCTGTTGTGATTTAGGGCTTTACAAAAATATTCATAAAAAAATTGAATTGAATTATTGAGGCCTGAAATTATGCTGATGATTTCGACCACGAGACCCACATTTAGCTGGTTACCCTCTGAGTAGCCTTCAGACTTAATTTTAATTTTGATTTTTAAACTGATCGTATGAATAGGAATTTCACTTTCATGACCAGAGCAGGCTGCCAAGTGGGCGGGACTTCGCAGCCCTCATTAACAGACTAGAATTAAATTATATAAAAATGATGCTGCCGGTATCAAAACTATCACAATTTCGAATAAGATTATTTGAGTTGAGCCACTTCCCACCCTTCCTTTTTGATACTTTTGAAGAACAGGGTCCAGATTTTAAGGTCAGCTCATGTTTCTGGAATACCATAGATCCCTGTAATTACTAAACAAAGAGACAAAAGTCTTTTCAGTCTTACCCATGCGGCTGTTGGGGAAGTCAGTGTTCAATACAGACAGAAATAGTGCACGGGCCTCTGACTGAAAGTTGAGCACCTGAATTTGACCTGTCCACCCTGAGATTTGCACAACAACGGCCTTTGACTTAAACCAAATCTGATACAACATCAAACTACAATTACCTCAAGTCAAGACCGGACAGAGCTACAAAAGCAGTGCACAAGAAGTTTACCTCAAATCTCTGCTTTGCTGTCGGACAAACTGGCCAACAGCAGCTATGACTGAGTAAGTAATTATTTTAAATCCATAAAAAGTGTTTCTGTAATGGTCTATTTATTGTTTTTTAAATTCTTTTCAGCTTCATCGATTGTATGCTATTAGTGGCACTGGCGTTTTCCAATTTGGTTGAAACTGTTCCATTGAAAGGTAACTATTGTATTAGTATGTACTGGGCAGAACTGAATGAGTAACTTTGTGGGGGATCTTATGGCCACAGTGTGTAACCACTTTAAAAAGGCTTGCTTATCCACAAATCCAATTCATAATTGTGCTGCTGAGGGTTTTCTACAATGTCTTTGTACTGGAAATGTTGTTATTTTAACTGATCTACAACCATGAAGAATGTTGGTTTGATCTCTTTAATGTAGATAATTATCCACCTTCAATAATGTACGTACCATCATTTTGTAAAACTTGAATAATACTAAAAACGTATAATCTTAATTAGTTAGTTTTTACTGTAATGAAGACAACACATATTTATGTTACTCGTCAAGGAAAATCTAAAATCTTTTAAGTATATTTGTGATATAAGAAATGTTATCTTACCCGAACACATATGTTTTTGCAGTAATCTCAAACAATTATAAATGCAGTCATCTTATCAACTACATAGATTTTCTGTCTCAGTGAAACAAATTGATTATACTACATAACTATCTTGAGAAGTTTGAAGTTGTTTGCAAATGACAAATTTTATGGTTTTTTTTTTTTTTTTCAAGACCCTGCAAGCTACGAAATCTCCATGTCTCAGGCTGGTTTGGGGAATCACGCAATAGGAAGCACCAACCACACAACTCCAGTTATTGTTTTGTCAGACGCAGTTGTGCAGAGTGCAGAGAATGCTGTGAATGGGATTACCCAGCATGGACTTCACCACGAAAGCCGAGAGGTGTCTGTGCGGAAGGCGGTGTGGAATACTCATGCCAACAGCCACGAGCGAGTTGGAACCAAGAACTTGATGGATACAAAGCAAGGAAGCGTGCAACTAACCAAAGACAAAGTTTCTGCAAAGATTCAGCCATCAAGCGTTGAGCAAGTAGATCCTATGGACAAGACTTTTCAGGCAAGCCAAGAACAAATACTTCAGAAATTATCTCGAAATAAGCAACAAACAAGTGAGGAACAAGTTGGAATCAGGAACTCAATGGATACACGTCAAGGAAGCACAGAACAAAGGAAAGACAGGGATTCTGCGAAGATTCAGCCATCAAGCATTGAGCAAGCAGATACTGTGGACGACATTTTTCAGGCAAGCGAAGAACAAAAACTGGAGAAATTCTCATTGAAAATAAAACAAGTGGCAAGTGAAGAGCAGACAGCACAAAAGATGACCAATGAAGCAGCAAGCATTGAGCAAGCAGGTACCATGGATCTTAATGCACATGCAAGTGCAGAAAGACTGAAAAAATTCTCCCCAAAAACCCAGCAAGCAAGTGAGGAGCAAGTCGGGACCAAGAACTCAAAGAATACAAAGCAAGGAAGTGAGGAGCGGACGATAGACAAGGTTTCTGCGAAGATTCAGCCGTCAAGCCATGAGCACACAGACACTGTGGACAGCGTCAAGCGGCACGGACAGAGAAGCGAGGAAGAAAAACCTCAGAAAATCTCCAAAAATACTCAACAAGAAAGTGAGGAGGAGACAGCGCTAAAGATACAACCAGCAGATCCTTCAAGCAAGGAGGAAAAAAATGCCCATAAAGTTTCATCCAAAACCCCAGAGGCGAGTGAAGAGACAGAACTGGAAGAAGAGGAAGAGAAAGAACTGGAAGAAGAGGAAGAGACCGAAGAGAAGCAAAAAAGTCAACTAGACACCCAATACACAAGCAACGAGCAGAGGCCAAGCAAAGACGGGAAAGAAAGTATAGAGCAGACCAAAGACAAGACATCGCCAAATAATGAACAAGAAAGCAATGAGAAAGAGAATGTAAAAGTCGGGAAAGATATTAATGAAAGTGTAGAGCAGACAAAAGACAAGACATTGCCAAATAATGAACAAGAAAGCAATGAGAAAGAGAATGCAAAAGGTGGGAAAGATGTTAATGAAAGTGTAGAGCAGACAAAAGACAAGAGATTGCCAAATAATGAGCAAGAGAGCAATGAGAAAGAGAATGCAAAAGACATTAAAGATGTGAACGATAGTATAGAGCAGACGAAAGACAAGACATTGCCAAATAATGAGCAAGAGAGCAATGAGAAAGAGACGGCAAAAGATGGGAAAGATACGAACAAAAGTAACGAGAAGACTAAAAGCAAGACATCTCCAGATAATGAACAAGTGAGCAATGAGGAAGCAGATGCCAAAGACGACAGAGCTACAGACGCAAGTGAGGAGCAGACAGGAAAGTGTAGACCTAATGAGAAAAGTAAAGAGGGTGTGAGTGGCAGAAAGCAGAAAAAGGCCTTTGGAAGCAGCGTGGAGTTGGACATGCAAGAGCCAAGCCAAAGCGCTTCTGTGGAAGACGACAGCGCAGAGGAAACGCCAGAGGCAACCAGCACTAGTGAAAATGATGACACGGATGATGGTATGATTAATTTAAAAAAAGAATCGAAGTTGACAAGCCATGTATTGTTTTGCCTTGATTAACCATTTTGCCACTTGGAATGAGCAATGAGAAATATGCTATGGAGCTTAAAATAACACTAATGTTGCTTGTTCCATTGACACTTATTGTTTTAAGAAGTACAAATATACTCAATTCCTTGTAGTATTTTCTAATTCAAGCAAACCTGAACTTGTGTTGTCATTTTCTTTTACAGTATGACGTCATATATTGGTTTTATAATCTGTTTATCCTCAGATACATCGGAGGCGATCAGTTCAGAAGTGGAGCCAGAAGGCAAGCTGTTTTTTCTTTTGCGTTAGTAAAATGAAACCAATCATAGTATAAAATTTAAATAGAAGTAATTAATAGTTTTAAGTAACTTTGCTTTTACTTGTGTGCTTTTTGCAGTGAATGAGTTTGACTTTAACAGCACCTTTTTTTGCTGTCTGTTGTTGATCATTTCCCAAAAGTAGCCCATTCATTCAAGCCACAGTTCAGTGAGCGATAACACACTTGCAATCCTGAAAAAACGTCAAAAAAAAATGTGTTGAAATTAAAATTGTATATGAATAAAATATGCACGCACACTACAGTATGTGCAGATACATATTCAAAACAAAGTCAATATTCTTACTCCACTCACATACATTTAATTCAATAATTGTTCTTTCAAAAAACCTTTGACTGGATACGTGTTATAGTGTTCTTTCCGCAGCAACAAGAACAGTACATAAATATTTGTAATGCTATTTTTTGCAGAAGAACTTCCCTCAGTCCCAGTGACAGCAAACCCAGCAGCAGCTGACACGGACCCATGACAAAACCAAGGAATCCATGAGCCTTTAAAGTAAGTATGAATCAATATATAAAGTAAGCTGTGTTAAAGACCACATAACATGCTAAAACAATGTTATTTTCGATACATTTTGTAGCTAGCAGAAGCCTGTTATGTGCTCTTTAAGTTTACTCAGAGTAGGATTGTTACATGTTTTAATAATCACAACGGCAAACCTCCCCTCTCTCTCCTTGCAGATTGATTGGCATGCTCCTCCTGATATTGAAACATCAGAGGTGGATTCTACAGCCCCAGCCACACTTGGACTTTACCCATCCTTCGTACACTTACAGCTGGAGTAGCGACATATCAAAGTGAAAGAAGGAAGTAATAACTATTGAAATCTGTCGAACTCCAGAACATGCATACAGTTGGTTTCTGTCACATCTTTAGATCTGCTTTTTCAGACAATAAAGTGTAAAAGAGAGAACCAGCCGATCAGCGCTCAGCCAATAGAGTCAAAAAGTGAGTCACAGGGCTCTTTCTTATGAGTTTTTATGGTTTTTAATAATATGAAGACAGCATGTGGTGGTCTGATGGGTTCACAACCTTTTACATGTACTCTTTCTGTTGAGACAAAGATTATTATTGTGAATGCTTATCGTTAATGCTAAGGAACCCAAAATTATATTTAAAAAAAAAAAGTTTAAAACATATCTTCTACAACAGAAAACATGTGTTCTGTGTCAAACATTTAAGGCAGAGTCATTTGAGGCACAATTTTTCTCTTTGGGCTGACAGCTGATTGACTAAATGACAGTTGTCCTTTCTTTTTCACTTTTCTGTCCGATAAAGCTGATCTTAAGATGCAACAGAGGCCTAGAATACAGCTAAGCAAAAACTGGGGATTAAATCCAATCGTTTTGAGAGTGCAAGGGAATAGTCAAATTATTGTGTGGTCTGAAAGTTAGGTCCCCCAGCTTTAACATAATAAGTAATGGTGTATAAAAAGTAGTGATGTAGAGAGAGAGAAACAAGACAATGTGCAATTGCGATATTTAATCATGTCTGTATTTAACATGTTGGGTAGATATTAAAAATGTCTGTAATTTAACATTCACAATAGTCTATTTTAATGATAAATAAAATACATTTGTCACACATTCCATTGCATGCTAAGTTTAGAGTGCACAGATGTGAACGAGTTTAGCTTAAAGTTGAGGCCAAATCAAGGCAATGATGGCCAAAGAATAATTACATTACAGGTTTATTTACAATTAATCTTTATAGCCACGGTTTTACGTCCTAAAGTGGTCCAGCTCACAATACACATCCGACTGTGGGCCTTGTAATTCCTGCAAAATAAAAGTGAGAATGCATAAATATGTCAGTCTATTATTATTATTTAATCATTCTTACTAGAGGATTTCACGCTTTTTTACCTGATAGGGCGATTCGGTGGCTTCGGCAGACATCTCTTTTGATGGTGTTCTTGCTGTCGAGTTTTAGCAAAAATTAAACTTATTTATTTGTAATTTATCAGAGGATTCACATTAAAATATACTGACCATCTGGAAGTTCTCGTTTTGTATTACTGTGGGATCTCACGACAAAAAATATAGATAAAGCTATGAAGATGGTCAGCAAAATATCGCACACTGCTATGGATACGACCACAGCCAAACTGATGTGACAACAGCTGCTGCAGTCTGCAACACAAGCACCGTGTTTGAATGTGTTGCCAATATTCAAGTTTAGAAAAGCAATGATGGAATATTTCAGGCAACAAAGTAGACATAGCATTGATTTTTGTGGACTAAACAATTCTGAAAATACTACTACTAATAATAATGCATCCATTTTATATTGTTCGCTCTCAGGACACTTTCACTACATACACTGTGGTGATAAACTACTACTGTAGCCACAGCTGCCCTGGGGCAGCAGTGGCAAGGTAACCAGTATGTTCCATTTGCCCCACGGACGACCACCAGCCATTCTCACATACACCAGACTCATTCTAGGCTACGTGGGTGAAGTGACTTGCCTTAGGACACAATTCCAGTTTGTATTTGTCTTATTTATTGTTTGTGAAATTATCTTTTACTTACCTCCAGAAATTACCCCAAAAAGTTAGTTTACAAGGGTTTTTTCAAGTGCTAAAAACTGGTGAATATAACTGCAATACAGCAAAAACTATTTTCGATTTACACCATGGAAGATTGACACCACTTTGGCTATAATTACAGTGAATGAGTCATCAGTGACAAAACCACAGGACCCCAGCTTCACAAAAAGTCCAGCCGCATTTGTTTCAAATTTAGCAAAAAAGTTTTAGTGCCATAAATGCTGGCACTAAAAGCTGCCATTGCTGTCTATACATTATTTGTGTGAAATTATACATAGTATTGCTATAAAAAGGGGTCTACCTTGTTGCTCGTCTCTGCTCCCTGTATATACAAAATGGGTTAAAACGGGTTCAAAGAAATGAATAAATGTATATTTATTCTTACCAAATGTTGTGTCAATGCATAAAGTGTCAGGCTGCATGCTTTTGCTGTGGATTCAGTTTGGTCCCAGTTTCTCAGTTCTTGATGCAAAACAGAAGTGAGCTATGGGGAGAAGTCCGAAAGCGGCAATGTAAAGAATCTTAAAAACCTGTGACCATTTTAGTAGAAGAGGAAGTTTGGTCAAAAGGAAGTTGTCCTGTTTCATGTGTCATATTCATGTGAGCGGACTTGGCCTCAATAACATTTTTAAACTGTGGTAATTCATTGCGTGCATTTTGATCTGCAGCCGAGACCCATGTCCCTGTGCTGTGGTTTCCTGCCGACCAGTGACCACAGATGACAATCCCCCCATGTTAACAACAAAGACTCAATTATTAAACAGTTCTGATCTTTACTTTATTTAAAGCTGGGGTACTTATCTTTCAAAGCCCACAAATGAACAATGTATTAAAATCCATCGTCTCAAAACAGTTTTGTTCTAACACCATTCTGTGAAAACAAAATAACCACCTTCACTCAGCTAATCAGCTCTCTGCCCAAAGTGGAGGACTCATGGGGCTCTTTCTTACAAGTATACAAAAATACAACTTGTATAATGTGAAGATGGCATGAAGTGGTCTAATTTATGAATGGTACTTTTGTTCAAAGAGGAAGAAATAAAAATGTTAGGTACCCCAGTAAAAAAAGTAAATCCTAGTAAGGCCTACTGGTCCATACAGTGCTTACAATGTTAATGTTCTTCGTCCGGACGGGACCAGGAGGCTTTTACTCATGGTGAGTAGGGGTGGAAATCGGAGCGCCCGGAGGAAACCCACAGACACAAGTATAAACATAGAAAGTCCACACACAAAGGCACTGGGTCGACAAGGAATTCAAGTCCGTAACCTAAGTACATGCATCCATATGTAATGGGATTTTCTTTTTAATAGACAATAAATACTGAATTTAGAAGCATGGCTAACCTCCAATCTGTATGGGACAATTTTATGGTTCATGACTGTCCGGCTGGGACTCAGAGGAGCACAGGGACTGACCTCCTGCTGGTCCCAGAGTAAGGACTAAACATGGGGTTTAACACTGAAATCTTCCTAAAAATGTCAGACAAAGACGGATAATGTTCACAACAAGATTAAAGCAGTTCTGTTTATCTGACCGAAGGATTGTATCTGCCCTTTTAAAATAAATTATTGTTTTGTGATGATTTATGTAATTGGTATATTTTTTATGTTACCTTTCTTGTTTTGTGAAGCATTTTGAGTTGCCTTGTGTATGAATTGTGCCATACAAATAAACGTAACTTCTTAACATCTTGGCGCTACCGCCTGCATGTGAAAGCTAAGCAGGGAAGGTCGTGGTTTGTACTGTGGTGGGAGACCTCTGGGAACACCAGGTGCTACAGTAAGACGGATGCGGCTGTAAAGTGCCAAATTCTTTGTCTTGTCCTTAGTGAGTAAGTAAATTTAAGTAATGTTTATTTATTTAGCGCATTTTACAGACCAAGGACACCCAAAGTGCTTTACAATGTTCAAAGTTCATATTTTGTTCCAATTATCCCACGCACGGTGATGAGGGAAGTGAGACGCCAAACACACTGGCGCATCAAAGCCTCCAATCAACACCATCCATTCAATCACTCATTTACATTCAGACCTATTATGCATGTTTTTAGTGGTAGGGGAAACCGGAGCACCCGGAGGAAACCTACATAGACACGGGGAGAACATGCAAACTCCCCTCAGAAAGGCCCTGTTCCGACCAGGATCCAAACCCAGGACCTTCTTACTGAGAAGTGAAAGTGCTATCCACTCAGCCACCGTGCCGCCCTTTGGCAAGACACTTCACCCACACTGCCTAGAATGTGTCTGGTGTGTGTGAGGATGGTCTGAGATAAGATGGCACGTACTGGTTCCCTCACAGCTGTCGACGTACCCAAGTGAAGTTTCTTTGAGTGTCCAAAAAACGCTATATTTAAAAGCGATACATTATTATTGTTATTATAAATGCTAAAACGACAACTGCTTTTAAAAAAATTGCCTGGGAAAAACCATAAAACACATTATGATGAAAAAATCTTTTATTGAAAGAAGCAGAATGTACAGTAAACATTAACAATAAAAAATGGTGAAAGACAAGTTTATTTTGGGAGCATTTATGAAAACTTCATATCTTGCTTATTGCCCGGATGTTCATATAGGTTTGCTCAGCTGTGAACACAAGGGATTGGAAACATTTATTCCTGATATATTTGAAGTCATGTCGCTCTGAGGGCTTCACCTTTGTGAGTTCTGTGTTGGTGATTTCGGGCGCAGTAGTAAGTGGCAACGACAATGGCCACTGTGAGAATGATGTCCACACACACCACACCAGCCACCGTCCCGAGCTCAATCTTGAAGCACGACACAGGGCCTTCTGAACACACAACACACACACACATACACACACAGAGAAAGACACGCACATGCAGGCACACACACGCACACACACGTCAATCTACGTTACCACCCTATGGTCATTGGCTTTGGGTAATTGAGATTGCAGATACAAGCTGTCCAAAAGAGAGTGGCTAGGCACTCCCATAGAGATAAGTAGTGGAGCTCAGTCACACAGGAGGAGCTTGGAGTAGAGCCTCTCCTCAGCGTTGAATGGGACTCTGAGGAGCACAGGGACTGGCCTTCTGCTGGGACTATGACGAGAAATGGGACGACTATTGCCGCCCTGGCAAGTATTTTACAATCTCTTATTCTCAAGACCCAGGGCTCCACCTTTTTCTTGTTTCACATCAAATGTCTAAAAAAACGTGGGCACCTAAAGGGTTAAGGTTGATAGAATGACTCCAGCGTACACGTTCCACAGTTTTAGAAACACTGACTTGCTGACAGTAATGAGCGCTCACCTGCGAGAGCCACACTCAGATCTGGAAGAATAAAGAAAATAAGAGCGACATCAGTTTCCATCAACAGGTTTTGGTTTCATTTCCTCTGCCCACGACCCCCAAACCAGAGGAGGTTCACACTTACTGCATAAGAGCAGGAGAACGCAGACGTCAGAGAAAGCCATCTAAAAACAAACCAATGGCCACTACAGCAGAGAACAAAGATAATTAATCAATCAATTTGTAGAGCGCCTTTCACAGCCATTCCACATCACACAAATCATCACAAAAAACAAATACCACTATCACCATTAAACCCACAGTTAATATCACACAGGTGGCTAAACACATTAAAACATTAAAATCATACAAGTGATGAAACACAAAACAACATTAGTGTCAAGAAAGTATATATTTTTCAAACGAGAGCACATTTTCTAACAAGATGAAGACAGCATGTAGTCGTCTGATCTTTTCACAATATGTTTTTCTTTACAATTCTGTTAGGACAAACAAGTGCTATTTATGAATATTTACAATTTAGTGAGAATAACCCAACATTTGTCATGAAGTTCTCATACCTTTGGCCTGTGTGTCTTTGGAAACAATGAGACAATTTCCGCTGAGGTTTCACATCTGCTTCAAAAGACTCTGTAGGGGGAGGGCTATCAAAGACCTATGGGTTGCCATAGAGATGCTATTGTTTTGCCTGAAATATTCCTCAGGATTGCGTTATTATTTTGTCGACTAATTTGTATTTTAACTACACATGTTTTGTACTGCTCAGAACTATGTATTCTTCCTGTGGGTCACCTCTCCTCTCTGCAGTTGTATCTTGTAATTTGGTCAAATGTAGAACTCCAATAGAATAGTTGAATGCAAGACAGCAGAAAAATTTAAGGCAAGTTTACTTGTATAGCACAGAGCACTGTTCAAACTCAAGGCAACTTAATGTGCTTAAGAAAACAAGAATATATATATATTTTAAAGATAAGCAACATTTAGTTGCATTTTATCAATTTTATGTACGCTGTTATTTTTGGTGTTTGTTGAAAAAAATAACTCAATTAAAAATAGATGTATATATTTACCCTTTAGGTGTCAGAGTTGTTCCAGACACATTTTTAAAAGAATGGAAAGCCTTACTTGAAAGTGTCCTGGATTCAGAACCTCATGCATTCTGTTAATTTGGCTCCTAATGCGTAAAACAAATGATGATTTAAAAAAAAAGAAAATATAGATGTGTTCCTGTATTGAAAAACAGCTTACTTTAACATGATTAGATTGTCCTTGCGCTGCTGCTCCTCATAAAGAGTTTACCTACACAGTTGCACCAGCAGAGGGAGCTGTAGTGCCTCATATTTGGCACAATATTATATTACTGTAAAGTGCTGTCAGCAGAGATCTGCACCAACCACAGCCCTGCAGTACAAACGAGACTGGAAGACTGGGATGGCTCATAGTGTCTCTCTACAATTTTGTATACTTGAGAATAGATATGGTCGGTACCAGTGTTTTAAGTGACTAATAGCGTACATCACACTGCCTCAACAGGGGGCAATCGTGAGCCCAAAGTTTGGCTTCATCCAATTCTACCAAAAAGCCTCCTTGCTTGTTCATCCTCTGCTTAGGGCAAGGCAAGGCAAGTTTATTTGTATAGCACCATTCATACACAAGGCAACTCAAAATGCTGAACAAAACAAGAAAGCATTTAAATCATAAATAATCACAGTACATTAAAAAGAAAGATAAAAATATAAAATCCCTCAGTTGTATGCACCGCTGAACAGAACTGTCTTTAACCTGGTTTTAAACATAGTCAGAGAGGAGGCCTGTCTCACATCTTCAGGAAGAATGTTCCAGATTTTAGCAGCATGAATCTGAAAAGCAGCCTCCCCATGTTTAGTTCTGACTCTGGGCACTAACAGGAGTCCAGTCCCTGTGCTCCTCAGAGTCCGGGCTGGTTCATATGGGACTAACATGTCACTAATATATTTTTGTGCGAGGCCATGGAGAGACTTGTACACAAGCAGAGCTGTTTTAAAGTCTATTCTCTGAGCCACAGGAAGCCAGTGCAGAGACCTGAGGACCGGACTAATGTGGTCGTACTTCCTGGTTCTAGTCAGGACTCGAGCTGCTGCATTTTGAATGTACTGCAGCTGTTTTACAGCCTGTTTGGACAGACCTGTGAGCAGGCCATTGCAGTAGTCTAACCTACTGGAGACAAATGCATGGATAAGAATCTCCAGGTCTGCTTTAGACACTATGTTTTTGATCCTGGCAATGTTTTTTAGGTGGTAGAAAGCTGCTGATGTTACTGATTTGATGTGGCTATTAAAATTTAAGTCTGAGTCCAGTATTACCCCTAGATTTCTGACCTTGTTTGAAGGTTTTAGGGAGAGAGACTGGAGGTGACAGATGACGCTCTCCAGGGCAGTCACAAGTTTAGCTAACATGCCACATATTAAGGTGTGCTAAGTGCCACTTAGGTTGTATGTTATACTTCAAATGTTGGTAAGAATGATGAGGAAGGGAAGGGTAAGAAGGTTAAATTTAAAGGTATAATTGAGGATTTTCTACATTTTCTACATTAAGGCCCTCTTTATTCATCAATCAGTCTGAAAATGCGCGAAGGATGACTTGGAAGTTTTATCGTATTTTCTTACTGATGAGCCTGCAATTTTGGCTGAAAAAGAAAAATTCCAAAGGCAGAATCATGTTTGGTTTTTTTCTCAGCCCTGTGACGCAGAGGCTTCCCCTGCAGAGGGGTGGGGCGGGGCGGGGAGGGGCGGAGCAGACGCACGTGCGCTCTGTGTACAAAACCCTAAACACACTTCACTGGAGCATTTGCAGCGCCTGCTCTGTGGAACGCGTCGTATGATTAAACATTACCTATTTACTTATTCATACATCAGTTATTCCTGCTCAGTCCATGGTCCCATTATCTCCAGTGGCTTCTATCACCAACTCAACGCGAAGGACGAAGCATTTCTGACTAATATGCACTTTGACAAACGTGAGTACCGCTAGTTCCATTTTATATGTATATACTTTTTTTTTTAGATGTATTTGTACTTCTCAATTATCAATTATCTTTCATGTTTCACTTTTACATTGTTTATGTATGGCACGTTGGGGATACTATGTGTTTACATCTGCTCTGCTAATTAATAACTCAATCAACCAATCAAGTCCGTCCGCGAGAGCTTGTCAGTTTCATTAACTTTACCAGGATTAAACCAGCATTCAGCCAGGATCTGACTGAGCCAAGACTATCCCAGGGCTGCCATGGTGCGGTGGAAAACCAACAAATATGCTTTAACCAACAGTTTTCTATTTGAGATTAAATCAAGATAAAGGTATTGTATTTAATTTATAGTCTTATGACGTATAAGATAATGGCTTTTGGCATAAACACTATTCGGGTATTATAATGACTAATTTAATATTGTCATGAATTGACTCAATTTGTATTGATTTGTCTCCTTTGTTTTCAGTCTTGGGTTTAGCCTTTTAAAGCTGCACTGTGTAACTCTTTTGATGGGTTATTCCACCTGCTTGTCTCCATGTAGATGATAGTCCTTTGCTTGGAGTGTGTGTGTGTGTGTATACAGCACAAAACGAGTACAACATTACACAGAATATATAACATAGCACATTTCACACATAAATGCAGCTCAATGTGCTTGTACCATGTTTTAAAGATGGCATGTCCAACTTTTTTTCCATCCATCCATTTTCTTCCCCTTAATCCATTTCTGGGTCGGGGGGTGGCAGTCAGAGCTACACCCAGTACACAGAGCACCAGCCCCTCACTGATCCTCCTGCTTCATCTTTCAGTGGGGGCTTCAGGAAAAGTGGTGTTAAGTGTCTTGCCCAAGGACACAATGACAGCAGACATCAGTGTGGGTCGAGAAGTTGGTCTTACGGTGGGCTCGGACCCACGACCTTCAGGCCTACAGGCCAATGCTCTACCAACTGAGCCACTGTCGCCCTGTCTTAATTTTATTTAGAAAAAACAATTTACAGACACCAAGATCTGATCAGGCTCAGTGATGGCTGGTGTGCTCTTTAAAAAAAAAAAAAGCTGATTTAAAGATATGATAAAGAGCCCAAAATATAAAACACTAGAGATAGAATTAAACTGTTTTGAGAGCCCATCTTTAATGCATAAGTACAATGTGTGTTTTTCTGTCATTTCTGTTACGTAATAGACAGAATTATGCTCATTATTGGTACACTGCCTTCTTCATTTGTTTATGGACTTCAGGGAGAATCCGAGGCGTTCGTTTTCACTTTTGGGGAAACCCTCTTTAGCCTCCTCCCATAGTGGTGTTTTCACTTCCCTCTGGCTAAAGGCCTAAACATGAACCTGCATTACGCTACGTCTGACACAATTTGCTTATCTCAGCATCTCTGTTGAGAGGACAGAGAAAAGAGGAAGCTTCGATATAGTGTGTGGCACAGAAAGCAGCTCAAAGAGAAAGGTCTTTGGAATTCCCACCCTCCCACACACATGAGTCAGGTCCAGGGCTTTCCACCGGTCAATGTGAGGACAGCAGTGGAGGAATACCCAATATATATTATATTGCTCACAACAAAAAATGTGCTGGTTTTGTAATACATTGTTTTTTTTTTTAAACTTTCACTTGAATAGTAATGTAATTGTAATGGGATTTATCTTTGTTATTTTGTGTGTGTGAAAAAGACAGGTTGGAAATGAAAAATGGTGACAACTAAAAACTAAAAGAATACAGCAATGGTTTAAAGTTATATTTATTATAATCCTGAAAAGAACCAAATATTTTCTGTTTTTTAATGCGCCGAGAACGATCAAGTGACAAAGAGAGGACCACCATCACTCAGCCCAAGGACTCAAATAGTGACTAACTATTTCTTACGTCTAGGCAGGAAATAACATGTTTTCAAGATTAAGACAACATGTTGGTCGGATTTGTTCATAACATTTTACCTTTACCAAGACTTTCTGGCGGGACAAATGTACAATGTATAACAATTTAGCATTATTTATATTTGTCCCAACAGAAAGGAATTTGTTTGTCTAGACATGCGACCAGCACATTTCAGTCTCCATTATATTATAAAGTGTGTTATATTTTGCATAGTTGTGGCTGAGTGCGGGTGGTCTTTCTCTGTCACTTTTCTGTCTGGAAAATAGCAAAACTATTATATAGAATTTGACTGAGGACAAGAAATCTATACTCTCATACTCCTCTCTCTCAAACCAAACTGTTTTAGAGAGAGGAACTAAATCAATGGTTTTTATGTTTATGTAGTTGTGGTTTGAAAGTTTGATACTGTTTTCTTTCTAGCAATAACCTATAACAATAAGAAAGGTCGCGATCTAAACAAGCTAAAGGGTTTGGTTATAGGCCACAAAAGGTTACTCAGGTTTGATCTTTGCAGAGAATGAGACGATGAGCTCATTATGTTTCAGTTTCTGCATCAGCTGAACAAGGCAGAAGTGCACGTCTGTACTCCAATATTTACAGTCTATGGTACTGACGTAATCTCACACCATGAGAAGGTGTTTACAGGGAGAGCTGGTCAGAGGCCTAGTGGAATGTCTCATCCTATTATGTGTTATTTTTAATTTTATACAGGTTTGAATATTATTTTGTGGGATATCTATTTGAACAAAATGAGTTGAACCAAAACTGGACTAAACTAAATACGGTGTAGACTGATAGGCCCATTCATATATTTAACTGTAATAATTAAAATAATAATGATAATGATAATAATAATAATAATAATGCATCGGTTTTAAATAGTGCTTTTTTGGACACTCAAAGATGCTTCATATGACATTATTTTGTTGCACATAATTATTGTCACTTTATTGTACATATATCCTGCATGTAACATGTTTGCACATTTCCTCCTTTTGCACAATCTGAGCTTTCTATCCATGCCAAATGTGACATGTAAATTTCTCCTCTGTGAGATAAATAAAGCACATCTTATCTTATCATATTAATCATGCGCTCCATACACAGTGGTGATAAACTACTGCTGTAGCCACAGCTGCCCTGGGGCACACTGACAGAAGCGAGGCATCCTGTATGTGCCATCGACCTCACCGACCACCACGCCGCAATTATTAACTATTCCTAAATGTATTTTTGGCTCAATGTTTAGAATACAATAAATTAAACGTGTGTTTTCTTTATTATGATGTAAAACACGCCCTGGTCCATGAGTTTGCTAACGCTCATTATATCTGCCCAGAAGGTTAAGGGATAAGCTGCGTGCGTTTGTTTATTTGTCCGTTTGTCTGCGAGCGACATAACTCAAAAGGTTATGAGGGATATTTTTGAAGCGATTCAAATCACCGCCGATTGTAGAATTTGTGTTTGGGTTTGACAGCCGCTTTAGCCGTGCAGGGCTGGTTCGTTCTGTGATGGGAGATCGCTGTAACACTGGTTTTGACAGGACTGATGTTGTGTTCTCAGGAGCAGATTGGAACTTATTTCTACCAGTCTGCCCCTAGGCACCTGAGGCTGTAGTTGCAGTTTACCCCAGTGAACAAATAAAGAGAAGCGTGACCATTCATTCTGATTGTTATAAGTTTACGGGCCATAAACTCATAAAGGTTTGTTTTGAGGATAGAAAAAATGCAGTAGAAAAGAGTGATGGAAAAGTGATGTACCAGCTGTCATAGAGTTTATGCATCAACCTTTTCCATTGTGTTTGAAGCCTGCACATTGGGAGCCTCTAACATAAACTTGCTACATTGACTTTATTTGCATATTTGGAAAAGTGCATGTGCTCTGCTCCTGGACGCCAGATGCCAGGAGTACAAACAGAAATATGCAATAGTAACTTCACTTAGTGCGGCTGACGTTGTGTGAGCAGAGAAAGCGACACCAAACCAAACACAGGAAGATGTGGTTTAAACGTGTCACAGAAAATGAGCTGGTAATCCCATGGTACTACTGCTTCTCATGTACAGCAGATAGTCTCCCTAACGGAGGACACGTTCCATCCTCACAGTGGAAGCAATCTTATCTTTGACTGCGACGTAACCCTCTGTGGTCAAGTCTCATCTCATGGAAATACTACTATACTGAGCACGAGATTAATAATTTCCTCTTTACAATGTTTCCTGGAAGTGATGCTTTCTTCACGGGGATATTTGTATGAGTGCTTTGATCGAACTAGTGCCCGGGGTGAGTTTTGTGTTGGTGCCAGATTGTGTGTTGTATTACACAACACCAACTGCCTTTAAAGTATTTAGCTGTTCTCTTCAATTTTTATAGCCTTAGTTAGTCAGTCATCAACAGCAGTCATCTCAGATGACTTGACAAAGTTGTTGATTTCCCTGCAATAGATTAGAGAATTAAACAGTTCAAACACAGACTGAAAATTTAACAGCCACATCTAATCACTAACATTATCAGCTTTTTACCATCTAAAAAAACATTGCCAGGATTAAAAATGTAGTGCCTAAATCAGACTTGGAGATTCTTACTGTAATGGCTCACAGGTCTCTCCAAACAGGCTGTGGAAGACTGAGGCACCCTCAGTGTAGGAAGGAGCGCTACCGCAGGGCCTTTATCCCCACCGCTGTCAGACTGTACAATAAGTCACTTTAAATGATCACTGTGTGAAAACCTGCACTACTATTGACACTGTTTCCAATTGACACTTGTCACTTTTGTTGTACATAATTATTGTCACTTTATTGTACATATATCCTGCATGTAACATGTTTGCACATTTCCTCCTTTTGCACAATCTGAGTGTCTCTATCCATGCCAAATGTGACATGTAAATTTCTCCTCTGTGAGATAAATAAAGCAATCTTATCTTATCTTATCTTAAAACAGCTGCAGTACATTCAAAACACAGTCCCTGACTAGAACCAGGAAGTATGATCACATTAGTCCAGTTCTCAGGTCTCTGCACTGGCTTCCTGTGACTCAGAGAATAGACTTTAAAACAGCTCTGCTTGTGTACAAGTCTCTCCATGGCCTGGTTAGTGCCATATGAACCAACTGGGACTCTGAGGAGCACAGGGACTGGCCTCCTGCTGGTGCCCGGAGTCAGAACTAATCATGGGGAGCCTGTGTTTCAGATTCTGTGTGCCAAAATCTGGAACAGTTAATCTGAAAATGTGAAACAGGCTTTTTTGGTGCGAGGTTGTAAAACTGGGACTGAGGCTGTAGAATCAGGACTGAGGCTTTAGAGCTGATTAATCATTTTTTGAGATTTACATAAGGGGTTTTCACACTGACCTAAAACCCCAAGTTTTTGGTCAAAAACCCCGGGGCGCCCTTTCCAATTACATTGACATTTCGACTCACCTTTCAACAAGTCTTTTTGAGCTGTGTTCAGTGTAAACACCAAACGGTATTATCTTTAGTACCGCTGCATGTTTAAAATGAATGGTTACTAAAATAGTGTTGTGTCTGCCTTTTGACAATGACAATAAACAACAATACAATATATACACATTGCTAGTGTAACTATACAATTAAAAAAAAAAAAATGCATAATTTTGGCATTTTGTATATATATTTTTAAACGCTTATTAATTTTCCTTTTTTTCTTGCCTAGGGGGGGCAAATGGGGGAAAAAAAAATGCTTATTCGAAAGATTCAAACAACTAATCAAAAAGAAGTAACGCCCAACTAATCAAGTATAAGATCAGTGGTGAATGACGTAGAGCAGTGTGATGTATGATGGGAGTATTTACCTGCTGGTGGTATTTGCAGCGTCTCAGGAGAAACCGTGCACTCAGCCCACTGTGAAGAAACTCCTGGAGCAGAAGAGAAAGAGAGAAACGCCATCCTGCTCCCAGCGCAGCCTCGCTCCCCCAAACTACACCGTGAGACTCCGAACCTGCACATACTTTTCAAATAACGACAATTATAATGACTTTTACGTTTGCTTTTCCAGCTGTCTGCAGGAGAACCCTCTACTAATCCAGGTAATTAACATTCTGAGCATTTGTTGACCTCCGTGTAGTGGTCACTCAATGTAAGCCTCAATCCCAATGAGCAAAACACCTTTTTAAAATTATAATGCATTGTTTTTTTAATAGCGCTTTTTCAAAAGACTCAAAGATGCTTCACATGTCATTATTCTTTCACTCTATACACGCTGGCGATACACACTGTTGTAGCCACAGCTGCCCTGGGGCACACTGACAGAAGCAAGGCAACCAGTATGTGCCATCTCTGACCACCACCAACCATTCACACACACACACCAGACTCATTCTAGTCAATGTGGGGGAAGTGTCTTGCCTTAGGACACAACAACTGTTTGGCACTTTACAGCCGCAGTGTTCATAAATATGATGATGCAGCTATTTACTGGGTTTAATGCCCAATAATAATTGAAATTACATCTTTAAAGTTGTATTTTTGTACTTCTCGATACAAATGAATGCTCAACTGGACTTTTCAACACAAGGAGCGTTCTTTGTGATATCCGTTTCCTTTTATGTTTCAGGCGGCTCAAGCGTACCTTCAGACATGGCAGTGAGCTCTCAGCTGTGGACTCCAGCAGAAGACACGCTTTTTAGTTTTCCGACGTCACCCCCGGGTCCCAGCTACACCTGCTCCTACAGCCTCCCGGTCAGCCCAGAATACCAGCATTTCCAAAACTTCGCCAACACGCAGCCTTATGTACTATTTTATGCACTATTATTGGCATGTTTGTTTGGTTTTCTATGCGATTTGATTCACAATGTCATCTATTCCAGCAGGAATCCCTGGTGACAGACTCCAGTGTAAGTTTGTCGTGGTCCCTTGAGCCCAGCCACAGTTCCGCCCCGACTTTCGGTTCTCCACTGGATTCAAACAAGCTGCTGAACGCCCGGATGTTTATCAATGGGATGGACTACAGCAGGACGGCCGAGCAGGACGAGGACGGAGACACGTGAGTCAAGCCAAAAAAGTATTTTAGTCATTTTATTTGATATTTATTTACGTTTGTAGATTATGAAAGACAACATAAGGTGTCTCCCGTGCAGCTCAATGAGGTTTTGATTTGAAAATAGAAAATGAAATGATTTGACAATATATGGCTTTCAAAGTTCAAAGTTGTCAGTCACAGTAAGTTGCCTGCATCACTCTGCACTGTTTATGACTCTCAAAGTGCTTTACACTGTATTATTACCGATTTCCCATCTCACAGGCCTGAAAAAATAAAATATTGCGATTTTATATATATATATATATATATATATATATATATATACAGTGCCTTGCGAAAGTATTCGGCCCCCTTGAACCTTTCAACATTTCGCCACATTTCAGGCTTCAAACATAAAGATATAAAAATTACATTTTTTGTCAAGAATCAACAACAAGTGGGACACAATCGTGAAGTGGAACGAAATTTATTGGATAATTTCAACTTTTTTAACCAATAAAAAACTGGAAAGTTGGGCGTGCGATATTATTCGGCCCCCTTGCACTAATACTTTGTAGCGCCACCTTTTGCTGCAATTACAGCTGCAAGTCGCTTGGGGTATGTCTCTATCAGTTTTGCACATCGAGAGACTGTAATTCTTGCCCATTCTTCCTTGCAAAACAGCTCGAGCTCAGTGAGGTTGGATGGAGAGCGTTTGTGAACAGCAGTCTTCAGCTCTTTCCACAGATTCTCGATTGGATTCAGGTCTGGATTTTGACTTGGCCATTCTAACACCTGGATACGTCTATTTGTGAACCATTCCATTGTAGATTTGGCTTTATGTTTTGGATCATTGTCCTGTTGGAAGATAAATCTCCGTCCCAGTCTCAGGTCTTTTGCAGACTCCAACAGGTTTTCTCCCAGAATGGTCCTGTATTTGGCTCCATCCATCTTCCCATCAATTTTAGCCATCTTCCCTGTCCCTGCTGAAGAAAAGCAGGCCCAACCCATGATGCTGCCACCACCATGTTTGACAGTGGGGATGGTGTGTTCAGGGTGATGAGCTGTGTTGCTTTTACGCCAAACATATCGTTTTGCATTGTGGCCAAAAAGTTCAATTTTGGTTTCATCTGACCAGAGCACCTTCTTCCACATGTTTGGTGTGTCTCCCAGGTGGCTTGTGGCAAACTTTAAACGAGACTTTTTATGGATATCTTTGAGAAATGGCTTTCTTCTTGCCACTCTTCGATAAAGGCCAGATTTGTGCAGTGCACGACTGATTGTTGTCCTATGGACAGACTCTCCCACCTCAGCTGTAGTTATCTGCAGTTCATCCAGAGTGATCATGGGCCTCTTGGCTGCATCTCTGATCAGTCTTCTCCTTGTTTGAGATGAAAGTTTGGAGGGACGGCCGGGTCTTGGTAGATTTGCAGTGGTCTGATACTCCTTCCATTTCAATATAATTGCTTGCACAGTGCTCCTTGAGATGTTTAAAGCTTGGGAAATCTTTTTGTATCCAAATCCGGCTTTAAACTTCTCCACAACAGTATCTCGGACCTGCCTGGTGTGTTCCTTTGTCTTCATGGTTCTCTCTGCGCTTTAAACAGAACCCTGAGACTATCAAAGAGCAGGTGCATTTATACGGAGACTTGATTACACACAGGTGCGTTCTATTTATCATCATCAGTCATTTAGGACAACATTGGATCATTCAAAGATCCTCACTGAACTTCTGGACTGAGTTTGCTGCACTGAAAGTAAAGGGGCCGAATAATATTGCACGCCCCACTTTTCAGTTTTTTATTTGTTCAAAAAGTTTAAATTATCCAATAAATTTAGTTCCACTTCACGATTGTGTCCCACTTGTTGTTGATTCATGACAAAAAATTAAAATTTTATATCTTTATGTTTGAAGCCTGAAATGTGGCGAAATGTTGAAAGGTTCAAGGGGGCTGAATACTTTCGCAAGGCACTGTATGTATATATATATATATATATATATATATATATATATATATATATATATATATATATATATATATATATATATATATATTACTGTATATATACTGTATATATGTATATTGTATAGTAGTAGCCATATTGATACTGCAGGCAGGCATCACAATATTTTAATCGTGATGTAATTTGATTTGTACAATGATGCTGCACATGTGCTCCCCTTAAACCCCTTCTGTTCTTCTCGTAGCATTCTGCACATCTACAGCGCTAAAGGAGTCCGCGAGTACGCGTACGCTGCTGCGGAGAGGTTGCGATCAATGAACAAGCTGGATGCAAAAGAGCACAAGGGCAAGGTCAGTGTGTCAGAGAATGTCACATTAAACATGTTCAAAATGATGTAGGTATTTCTGGTTTGGTAAGATTGATGTGCTTATATTCCACTACTTGAAGTTGGTTACAAAGTATTTTTTGTAATGTGCATAATTGGGGTCAACCCTAATTACTCAGAGATACAATAATATGTAGTCAAGGAGTGCTGTGTGCACTTGAATCATCCAGAACAGCCTGGAGACTCAGGTTGAAATGTTTGCATGGATTTGGGGACCAATCACAGAACGGGGAGAGACAGCAAGATGGACAGACTATTGGACAGACGGAAGCTGTAGTTTATTTGCAGATCCAGCAGATGGCAGCAAACGTGAAGCATTTGTCTTTTTGTTTCTTGACGTATTTGTAATTGTGTTTTTGGCAAGGATTGGCGCATATGTGCGCCTATGGGAAATCATAATCCAATAATCAAAGTTTCACTTGTGATAAGTAGTCTGGTGCAAGCCAGGCAAAGAACCATTATTAATTTTCAGTAGAAGTGAAAATATTGGTTCTTAAAACAAGCTAATTTACTTTGTTTAAATGTCTGAAGCATATTCATCCAACTAAACCAATAACAATTAGATACATTTAAGAGCTAGTGGATTTGATTGGTCTCCATGTAACAGATCCTGACTTGTATTTTATGTGATTTTAACCAAATATCCTGTTATACATATTATTTTTAACTGAAATAAACTAAACTTAACTGATCAATTTATTTAGGCACGCGTACAGTGCAGAGAACTGACATAAATGCTGGCACAGCAGTTATTTTGTGCAGTAGACTGATAAATGTTTGTGTTTAGTTGAGGTGAGACTTTTTGTGTGCACAGAAGAGATGAAAGTGTTTAAATAGAAAGATCGATGTTGGTCGATATTGGTGCTGATAACGAGCCCAGCTTTTGATCAGTCGACCTCTGGAACCTAAACTAACGTATGTGTTTTGCATCTGCAGACGGCTTTACTTGTGGCGGTGGCTGCGAACCAGCCGGAGATCGTGCATGACCTCCTGTCGCTGGGAGCAGATATGAACGCCTGCGATGTGAACGGACAGACCGCTCTGCATCTGGCCTCGCAGTACGGCTACAGCGTGGTCCTGCAGGTCAGACAAACACGACTCCAAATGAAATAGTTCTGAAATTAACGTACGTCTTTGTTTGTTGCAGGCCTTGTTGTTGAGCTCCAACCCTGCTAACCTCGAGGCGCGCAACTTTGAAGGTAAAATGACTTGTGGACGTTATTATAGAAAGATTGGCTGAAAGGGAGTGATTGTTTATAATTGTTTATAACTTTAGGAATGACGCCCTTGCACTGCGCTGCCCTGTCTCACTGCGACGCCATGAAAGCAGGTTACGCCGGAGGAAGCTCAGAGGTGAAGGACCATCTGCTCTGTGTTCAAATGCTCCTGAGCGCTGGGGCCTCTCTGCTCAGCCAGGTACAGACTGGTCCCATCTATAGATACGATAAGAGAGCCTTCATTTGTCCCACAGTGGGGAATGTTCAATGGTGCAGTGCACATACAGGTACGATATAGGGGACGATTGTTAAGATAAGATAAGAGTTCCTTTATTCGTCCCACAGTAGGGAAATGTCGATGTTGCAGCGCACATACAGGACAGTATAAGAGCACACAGGGAGGACACAAAATATACAACAGAAGTAGTAGCTATGTTTCTTAACTGGCATAACTGGCTGTAGATGCTGAAAATGTAGTTAAGACTTTAACATCACACTGTAGCAGAAGCTCCAACAAAAACAAACACCAAGATGTAAAATGACAAATGTAAGTCAAATGATTATCAGGAGTCTAAAAGATAAGTTAACTAAACTAAATGGGTAAAATACAGAAGATTAATAAGCGTCCCTAAAGAAATGCAGGATTTGGAATTGTCCCTCAGAACTTTTCCTCATTCATTGGACTGACTAAATCCAACTAAAATCATAACGAGTGAGTTTAATTTTCAGTAGTTGTAGATTTTTGTTTAAAAAAAATTACTTGAAATATAATGTAAAACTTGTAAAACTTCTTCGTTACTTAACTCAAGCCCAGTTCTTATTTTAATATTCAATCTATTTCCTTGATTCCAGAGTTATTTCATGTTGGTATAATTGTAGCTTTGCAGTATCACAACATTGTTTCACTCAAGAACCACTGAATTCTCGTTTTGAGGCAAATATGAATTCTAAAACAAATCATCCAACTCTCATTAACAAGATGATTGTGTTTTTTCTTCTTCAGGAAATTAAGAGCAACAAGACCGTGTTGCACCTGGCCGTGAAGGAGGGGAACTTGGATCTGGTGCGCTTCCTGCTCCACCATCCACAGGCCGATAAAGACTTTGTCAATATGAAAGTAAGTCCCACGTGAGCCATAGTTACCCATGATGCACCACTTTCCTCACAACAGGATCAAGACTTTGCATTTCCCTCAAACATAGTATTCATGGGTCTGTTCTCCTGCAGGCTCACGGCAACACCGCGCTGCACATGGCGGCCGGCCTCCACACCAGTCCTCATCAGAAGGAGATGATGCAGCTGCTGTTGAGCCGGGGATCTGACCCGAGCCTCAGGAACCTGGAGAACGAGCAGGCGGCCCACCTCCTGCAGGGGGGAGCGGAGGGCGAGCAGGTGAGCCGACCTCTGCATGTGTGGTCCACAAGGGAAAGGTTTGCAGCAGGTGTCGGGTCGAACAGTCACCAACAAAATACAACGCAATAAACATTATAAAGCAAAATTTAAATGGAGGAAATAGAAGTTCATCAGCCGGAGGAGCACAGCATACGTCAGACAGAGAAGGCTCATTCCCATTGAGCAAAAACAGGTTTCCTTACTCTTCCTTAGACACTGAGCTGGTTTGTAAGAATGATTCAGCATCTAGACAAAGTCATTTTGGGGAGGTACCAGCTGTGACACAAAATACTGCAACACAACAGAATGTCCACTCAGTTCTTACTCTCATCAGTGAAGGTGCTAGTTCTGCTGTTCATTCTTCTGTCTGTTCTTCCACAGCTCAGACTGTTGTTGAAGAGACGCAGCACTTTGTCTCGACGCCGTGTCTTTTCTTCACACGACTCATTTTAAGTCCTTTTGGAGTCCTGGTCTGTTTGTGCTAAAACTGAAGACTAATTCACATTGGATTAAAGGCAGTACTCATGTGGCGTAAACACGGTATGTAGATGATAATATCATGATCAAAGGTTGTTTCCCCCTTCTCCAACTTCGTGAGGATAGTAAGAACGAGACTTCTATTGAAGTATTGCTTTCTGCTGAAAGACCACTCCCACTTAGTGATTTCTGTGAAATCGTGAATTCTGGGACTATGTTCCAAAACTGGCTTTAGTAAAAGTCATTTTGTCTGACAAGTATGATGTGTGTGTAAAAGGAGTTTGGAAGAAATGTGACACACTGTACTTTTGTGCCTGTAATAAAGTTGACTCAGGCTTTGATCTGTGGACCCCTGTTTTCATCAAGTCATCACCATGTTCCCTTTTAAAAGTATGATTTATTTGTCAAATACATCTGATTTTCCCCACCCACATTCAAACAGTCAGAGTTACATGTGTCACTGAAGTCCTCTTTGATAAAACAGTCATTTCCAACATAAGACAATGTCCACTAAACACACATAACTCAATTCAAAATATAAATATATTATTACACTTCATAATATTAAGATTTTAATCCAAATGAACAGATAAAAGTACTAATGTAATCTAGAATACAACATGCGTTTATCCTAAAGCTCCTTGACACAAACAGAGTGTCTGAAGCAGACGTGCAGCGACTGCTGCTGCAGAGAAACCACAGAGACACGTTTTCTCCTGGAGCCGGGGCCATGACCGAGACGGGCCCTTCACACAGTCTGAGGAGGCACTGCAACAACAAGTGTGAAGAATGTTTACACATCTTTATACCGTCTATATCATACACCGTGTCTCTACACTGGGGCACAGCAGTATTTGGCAGTTGTCGATTGTGCAAGTTTTTCCCACTTTAAGAAATGAGGAACATCATCCAGGAAACAATACTGAATGAGTTCATTTCATTTGTAATAATGGGGCGGGAAATAAGTATTTGACCGGTAACATTTCAAATCCATTCTTTGTAATGTAACTATTGTAATCAAGAACAGAGGGAATACATTTCCAGTAGGTCTTCACTAGGTTTCTGCACACAGCAGCTGGTATTTTGGCCAATTCTTCCATGTAGATATTCTCTAGAGCTATGTTTTGGGGCCGTTTCTGAGGAACCCAGACATTCAACTCCTTCCACACATTATCTATCTGAAGGCTGGTTAGGCCACTCACAGACTTTGAAGCAATCTTTCATTTTGAATTGAACTTTATTCTGCATAGAAGCATAGAAGATGAAATGTGGATGCGTTTATGATCCAAAACAAATCTCCCAGGCAACAAAAGAGTGACTGTGTAGGAAGCATTTCAAGGTCCTGCAGTGGCAGTCTCCAGACCTCAACCCAACAGAACATCTGTGGAGTCGATGTTACCCAGAGACAGCCCTAGAACTGGTTTTAGAGTTGTTCTTGCAGATGCAGGAGGGTCTATTGGACCCTTGTCTGGGTCCAACTAAAAGGACAGTGGCAATGATCCAGTACACTCAACATTCAGTAACATTTATGGACATTGGTCAACTGCCCCGTAGGCTCTATTTGTGTGTGTTTTTTTATTATTATTTTTTACTATTATTGGATCTTTTGTTCAAACCGTTTCTCTGTGTTGGCGAATTCAACGTTTTTTAAAGTCCTCTGACATGACGACTGTTGTGATTTAGGGCTGTACAAGAATAAATTTAATTGAAAACATCAAAGTTCTAAAGATTAAGTACATGAACAATGGGCCTAAATCTCAGCTACAGTGTTATGACGCTGACACTGTAGACCTACAGTAAACTTCGGACCTCTATCATTGCCAACACAGGTTGCAGGTTACAATATAGGTTACTTTTATCTGTATTTTTCTTATTTTATTTCACATTCTCACAGTTGTGAGAATGTGAAATAAAATGTGTGGGGGCGACAGTAGCTCAGTTGGTAGAGCATTGGCCTTAAGGCCAGAAGGTTGTGGGTTCAATTCCCACCTCTACACCTTCTCCACCGACTCCCACTGATGACTGCTGTCGTTGTGTCCTTGGGCAAGACACTTAACCCCACTTTGCCCAAAGCCCCCACTGAAAGATCAAGGCTATGCTCACAGTCAGAGAGCAGCCGTCCTCCTGTGGACTCACCACCTGCAGAGGGTCAGTGAGGGGCTGGTGCTATGAGACTTGGGTGGCATCTCTGACTGCCACCCCCCTGACCCAGAAATGGATTAAAGGGTAGAAAATGGATGGATTCTCACAGTTGAAATTATGAAATCAAGGACTTTTTGAGGGACAACTTGCCAAAATCTACAACTGCCGAATTTCGTTTATGCCTGATGTCTTTTGGTAACAACTAAAATCTAACCGTTACACCCACCTTCTGTCTTTGTCGGGAGGCCAGACGAGCTGAAAGTGTGAGAAGAAGCAGAGTGTGTGTTAGAGAAAGGCCAGAGCTGAGTCTGCAGAGGGACATGATGCAGTGGTGTCTTCAGACAGCAGTCAGTGAGGAGCCAGACAAGCCTCATGCAGCGACACTGCGACCAACACAAAAACACTCCGTGACGAACCTTCGTGTGTTGGACGAGTGTTGGGGACAATTCAGTGTCATTTTAGTTCATTTTCAATTTTAAATCTGTTTATTTTTCTATCACTACATCAGTCTGAAAACTTTGTCAAGAGCGGATCAGAAGAAGATCAAACCACTGAAACCATTTAGTCAAAAGGACAAAGAGATTAAAGCTTAGGTACCTGACTTTCAAACTTTCACTAAACATGCACATATTGTTGGCCTCTGTCACATCTCTAGATCAGTTTATTCAGACAGAAAAAGGAAAAACACAAAACCATTCCAATCAGCTCGCAGCCAAAGAGTCAAATAGTGACTCACAAGTAGGATTTGTCTGATTTGTTCACTAACATTTACTTTTACAAGGCTATTACTGGAGGAAAAAACCCCACATGATGCAAGGGAAAAGTTAGGTACCCCAGCTTTAACCATGTTTACATCAGATGTTTTGTTATTTGCTTTTGGGGAGAACATTAAACACATTTCCAAAATGCTGCATGCAGCCAGTATCCACTTTGCACATGTCTTACTTGGAGGAGGGCCTTACACATTTTGTGATTTTTTTACCTGTTTGGAAAACAATGTGATACAATATTAACTCTGATATTTGAAGTGTGTAACAGAGAGAAGCTTGTACTCACTGAGAGCGATGAGAATGCCCCCCACAAACATCACGATGGCGAGCGTGAGGCCTGTGGTCCGTAGTGTTTCATAATCTGCGGAGACAGAAAAGAAAGACTAATAGTTTGCCGTCGACAATCCTCAAAATAATGCAATGTATAGAAATTATTTTCAGACTGTTTGATTTTTAAAACTATTCTTTAATAGATAAAGAACATTACAAAACGTGACGAGCAGGTATTGAAGCTTCACATAATGGGGTTGTTAGTCAGAATAGTTTTGGGGTTAAAGATCCTGCTTGGCTGCCTGTAGGATGAACCTGATCGCATGGCTCTGGGACTCTGCCTCAGGGCAGGTGTGGCTGTGGCCTCACAGTGTGAAGGAATGTGGAAAGTGTGAAGTGTTTTGTGAAAATTATTTTAGTAATCAGACGCCTTTGCACCCAGATTCCAGCAGAGGCAGTTTTATCAACAAAACCTCGAAACAATTTACATATTAACTGTTAAAACATTAAATGTTTTTGTCAAAACATTTTTTCTATACTTTTGTCTTGTTTTTTCAATTATTATCGAGCAATTACATTCTATGGGAAAAACTGTATTGTTTTATTAAGTCTAAAGATAAAAAAAATCACTTAAAACAAACTTACCATAATCGAAGTCGCTGCGGTCTGGAAACATAGTTTCTGCAAACATGAGTTTAATAAAAGAGAATTAAGATCATGATTACAGCTCCTGATTAAGAGTAAGCAGTGTGTCAGCAGGCGGCACTAGGTGGAATGGCACAAGGCGTTGCAGCCTGAGCTCTGCAGCTTTGGCTCAGAACTCTCCACTCTGCTTTTCCCAGTGGACCACTCAATGCAGCATCTTGGATCAGCAGAAACACATGCACTGGGTTAAAGCTGCCCTCAGCAAGACAAGTTTCATACTTTCTGCGAAAAATGACCCACTATAAAAGCACTACACATATGTGACTCTGGTCATAAATTATTCATTGTTTAAGTAGGCAATCACTTTAACTGCTGCAGCCAACACTGCAGTGCACATGTTGCTGAGTTTACACGCTGGATGCAACCTAAAGATCTGTCTGGACATTTACAATGTATTGTCACATAAACTACTAAAAAAAGATCACCGGTTTTGCACGAGTAGTTTCCCACATAGTTCATTCACAATGCAACATTATCTTTGCAGCAAAATGCGATCCTCCCAGAATACAAGGCTCTCCATCTCTCCTCCTGCTACAGCTTATACACACACGTATTCTTGCTTTTGTTTATTCTTAGGTAAATGTGACAAACCTGTGGTGGTCATAGCTGCAGGATGGATGTGGTCCGGAGCATGTGGAAGATCGGCCGCGCTTGACTTCACTGCAGTGGAGAAGGATCGGAAGGATCAGGAGCAGAGCGCTGGTGCTGAGGAGACCTGCGGTGCACTCATAAGGCGCCCTCCGCTGGTGGCTAGTGGTCACTGCAGTTGTATTATTGATAAAAGCTGGGGTACCCAATTTTCAAACGACAAAAAACAAAATGGAACAATGTAAAAAAGTACAAAAAAAAAACAAAACAAAAAACACCCAACTAGTTACTCGCTCTCTAAACAGGTCGGTTCCATTACTAGATTTTGTAGTCTCTATCACATATTTAGATCAGCCTTTTGAAACTTTATTGCACAAAAGAAAACATTTCTAACGAGACAAGTCAACTTGTTGTGTGTCCTTATTCGTTCAAATGCATCACAATTGTTCAAGGCCCCATTCTGCAGTAATCTTTATTTGTTAAGCGCAAAAGTATAAGATGTTGTGGTATTAGTAAGTAAGTAAGTAATCTTTTATTTATATACCGCCTTTTCACTGCAGATCTGAGTCTCAAAGCGGTTTACAATTGTTAATATTGGGCAATTGTCTCTCACTCCACACAGAGATGGGAGCGGGGTCGCCAGTACAGGAGGCGCATGCTAGAACTATTGGACATATTTTTAGTGGTAGGGGAAACCGGAGTACCCGGAGGAAACCTACGCAGACACGGGGAGAACATGGAAACTCCACTCAGAAAGGCCCTGGTCCGACCAGGATTCGAACCCAGGACCTAGGACACAACAGTTGTTGGACCAGGACCTAGGACACAACAGTTGTTGTGTCCTAGGGCAAGCTATGTTCACACAGGCTAGTGTGAACGTGAACTGAGCACATGGGAGAATTGAACCCACCACCATTGTGTCCAAAGACCTACCGATAGATTCATTGTCGCCCCATAAGTATTAATCATTTTAAGTATTTTAGCCATTTTTATAATCCAAACTAAGTCCGTTCATATAAAAGGTTAGGTTATGATTTTAACATTGTGCCACTAGAGGGAGCCTTTCTATCATTATCTAGGAAAATCTCATTAATAAAATCTAATCTTTTCAACAGAGCCATAAATCATGAGCATCAGGAGGGTTGTCCCTGCAGTGGAGAGGGACTGAACATCATACTGTACAAGCAGCACAGTGCTGCACTAGTGCTGAGGCAGCAGCAGCAGCAGCAGCTCTATGCCTGAGGAAGAATAGAGCACATCCCTCTTACGGCATTACACTTTATTTTACTGTCACAACACAAACATCACACTGCTACATTATATATTTCAGACTATTGATCATATAAAAACATACACATACAGACATGAGGGTAATACATGAATCACATTAATGGAAAGTGAAATTGTCAGCTTCATTGTTCAGTTGTATTGGCAATCTGAAAGGAAAACAAATATTAGAACAAATACATTTTATGATGGATATAATACAAAAACTCACTTCATCAAGCAGCGTTTAAGCTAAAGAGAGTCAGAAAGAGTCATTAGATTTCATTCCATTTTAAATCTTCAAACTTTGTTACAAAGTTAGAGCAACGTTACCTCTCGGGCCTGCTGACTCTGGGTCTGCCCCTCTGGGTCTAAACACACAAACACACACACACACACACACGTTACAGCAGCTACATAAAGACCTCACATTAGTGTGTGTCAGATTTACCTGGACTTTGAACAAGTGCATTTGCGGCCTGTTGAACACAAGGAGAGAGATATGTTACGCTCATGGTTCATCCAAAAGCCTTTAGTTTTTTTAACTGAACCCCTTCCTTAATGGAAGTTCCCAACATCTACAAACGCATTACATCGACAGGTTCTAAAAGAGAGTTTTGATCAAAGGGAAAACGATGATCAAAAAGATGACATGCGAGTCAAACCGGTCTGATGAGACAGGAACAGGATGTTGTGTCAGCAGGAAAAGCCTTTTAAATCTTAATCTTGTCAAAGTATTGACAAAAAAAGTCGTTTACCAACTCAAGAGTGGTACCTTCACTTGAATTTAAAACCCTGCATTATTGGTTACCCCACCAAACATATGTTGATGCATAAATTCCATTACATGAAATAAACAATAAGAGTCAACCTATAAATTTACAAAAATATTTTGTTGTCGCTTAAAACTTCAACGACCAGATTTTTTTCACGATTCTAAATGAAAATAAAGAGGTGTATTCCTTGTTCTTTCCACCTCAGGCCAAATGAGAAGCAGCCAATAACATGAGCAGTCACCCTGAACGGTCACATGACACCATCTTCTGCTTTCATAGGATTATGTGGAAGACTAATGAAAAACACCAATACTTTAATAACTTTATTTTCATCAAATTCAAATTCATCAAAGTAGAAAACACGAGCAGGAATACCTCACTTTGAAACTGATGAAAAAATCTCGTCTCCATTCTAGTTTCTGACTCTTAAAACAGTTCAGTCATGAGTTTTAACATGCATGGACTTTTGGCCTTTTGTTCCCAAAATATTACTCAAAGTGAAAGCCAGTTACATTTACAAGTTGTGAAGAGAGAGAGAAGATTTTTGACGACAAGCACTGGTTAGACCCACCCATGTTCACCTCCGCAGCTTCCTGATTGGTCACAATTAATACAAATCTTTAGGGGAGGGACCATTTTAAATATATTGTTGAAAAATGCTCTCTGTACATAATTACTGTTAGAATTCTTTCTTTTAAAAATGAAATACAATTGCAGTTCCTGACATCACCTCTATAAGAAATTTGGAAAGTCAAAAAACAGCAACAAATTAGGTGCACCAGCTTTAATATAGCAATAAAAGTAGCGTTACGGAGGATAAACATGCTGCTTGCATCATGTCTCACTAGTTGGCGCCAAATAGCCTCTATTGCTCCACATGTTTATCATATCAGGGTGTCTGCAGGATCCTGAACTGGAAAGCCTTTAAGACATTTTTAAAAGATTTTTGAAAAACTAAACAGACCTTGATGGAGCTTCTCACGTGATTCACTTCTCTGCTTACTTATCTAATTAAAAGCAAAAGTTCTACCACATCTGAAGACTCAGGAAGAGAAGCTAATTCAGTATACAAAATATGTCACTAAAACAATTCTTCAATGGTTCAGATAAATGTGGCATGTAATGGGAAACGGGCCTGACCTAAAATCCTTGTTTACAGACCAGTGAAATCCATAAAACTAGTTCCTCAGTCTCAAAACAGTATTATAGTGAGTATTTTTTGACTCAAATCTTCGGATCAGTTTATTCAGAAAAGATAAAAGATTCCTACTGCTGCTAACGCTGTATGTAGCAAGATGGATCATTATTATCATGACCAGGGTCTCTCCGGTCGAGCTGCTTTTCCCACAGAGTTCGCAGTCTCCATGAGAGAGGAGTCAGAAATAGACGGTCCCATTCCTCGTTGTTTATATACAGTGGCAGTAAAAACACATGAATACTCCACTTACTGACAATGAGAGCGATACCCAAGATGAAAAGTACCACAGCAAAAACCAGGCCTCCGATCCTCAGGGACTCGTAGTCTGAAAGAGAAACATGACGTTAACATAATAATAACGTAGTGAGAGTGTGGCTTGAATGGAGCTCAACGGCAAGTAATATTATCTTTCATTTCTGAAGAATTTGTTGTTGATGTGATGAGAAACCACCTCCTGTGGACAGTGGAGCATTACTGTGATAATTACTGGTATCACACTGAACCATCTGTGTCATATCCTGAGCCTCAGCATAATTGCTCAAATCATATGTCAAGGTTTTTAAAAACAACAACAAAACAAAATATACATAAGCATTTCCTAGTTAGCACAATTTGGCAAAAAAAAGTTATGAAGCCAACGTGCGATACGGACTTTGGAAAGATTGTTACATAATACAACTCCATTTATCCAATATAACAATATCTATGGTTATACAATACAAAAATATAAAAATTTTGACAAAATAAAATTGGTGGCGCAGCGGTTAGAGCTTGTGTTTCACAGCAAGAAGGTACTGGGTTCGATTCCACCTCCAGGCCTTTCGCTTTCTCCTACCACTAAAAACATGTACAATAGTTATGAATGTAATGAGTGAGTGCACGGATGGTGTTGGTTGGAGCTTTGATGCATCTGTGTGTTCGGCGTCTCTTCACTCATCACCGAGTAGAGAGAACGAAACAAGATCTGAACTCTGAACATTGTAAAGTGCTTTGGGTGACATTGGTATGTTAAATGTACTATATACAGTGAATAGACATTACTTACAAAAATACAATAACTATAAGTATTGAATCGAACAAAAAAACTAAATTCAAAAGGTGAAAGGATGCATTGGGAACACGGCTGACTCTAGACGGCCCCCAGCAAAGTGCACCAGACTCCGTGCTTCCAGAAACCCCTGAAGGACCCCCGCAGGAACACTATCAAATGTAAATATGTACTACGACTCAACATAAGCAATCTTAAAAAGGCAAAAAATAAAGTATACAAAACACACATTTCGCACTCCAAGGGGCGTTTGTTGTCTCTATTATAATTTCAATAGGAAGGTCTCAGTGTGTTTTCCTCTGCTCGTGTCAGTGCAGCACTTACCGTAATTAAAAGCGCTGTCTGTCAAAAGAGAAAGAGAAACCAAAATGAGTCCGGAGTCACTCGCACGCCAGTTAAAACAAGAACAGGCCTTATCTTAATTGGGCTTTTCTAAAGTCTAATTATAATAATACGTACCGTCGTCGTCTGCAGCCAAAACTGTGGGAGAAAAAGAAGAAGAGATCAGAGTGTGCCAAACAAAGGGGGCCCATAGAATCCCCAGCATGCACGAGCGAGGCCTTAGCTTTTGTAACTTTTCTAATGCACATAAATCAAATGTTTTGTAATATTTTGGATGAATTTGAATGTATTGGTTCTAAAACTACAAAACCGAGACAGACAGGGATTTAGAAAAATAATCTGTGTAAAAAGATTGACAATGTATTTGACAGTCATTCATATATAAACGTGAAAACCATGAGCATTGATCCTGAATCCAGTTTGAAATGTTAGCAATGTAACGCTAACTTAAATCAAAGCGTCAAAGTTTACTTGTTGAGATGACTGATGGAAAGGAGAAAGAATATTTTATATATTGGACACACACACAAGTTCTGGCTCTCTGACAATCGCGTACAAATGCTTTTTCTTTTCTATTCTTGGAAAACAATCTCTCATTTTCAGATAAATACGTGTCTGCTGCTTCACGTCACTTTGACTTGAACAACGCGTGACCATTAACTCTTGAACGGAACAGGAACAACTGGGCAACAGCGGAAAGAACAAAGTAGAAAAGTGACTGAAGTGAAAGCAGCGGCCGTGAGGATTAGAACAATCCCATTTGGAGGTCGCCCGATATAACCATCTTATCTTAAAGTCAAGGAAGACAACCACATCAAACCTTTCACTATGAAATCAATCAAACTGCAATTGTTAATAGTTCATTAAAATAGTCTGTAAACCAAACTCAGCCTTCTACACTTTTCAGTCCAAACATAACTGCACTCATTGTTGCTATTTTTCCTGAACTGGGCACCCGTCTGCCACAGATGCACAGCAGTGAAGGAACATGGCGTCCTTATCTGAAGAAGGTCAGAGGGATCAGAACACTGGTGTGGGGAAAAAAAAAATAAAACTTCATAAAAACTTACCAAAAGCAGAACCCATATTCAATCAAGGTAGTTTGTTCAAAACACTGTGCAAAGCTTTTCTACGTTTTTTTTTCATTCTATTATTCAAAATGTGTCGCCACAAAGCATCAAGCCACAGCCTCCAACATGGAAGCATTAACAAACCCCCTTAATAAAGCAACCATTCATTCAATTTGAAGTAATAATCAACACATCATTCGACAACTGATCGACAGAATATATTCTGAACTCCATATTTACTGTCTTTATGGCCTTTTCCTGCCATTAGCATTTCTGTAATATTCTGCTTATTTGTCTCTAAGAAGGGTATGTAATGGAAAAATAGTTTAGTGGCATAGATAAAAGCTCAGAATATTTTCCAGAACAGACAGAAAAGGTGAAATGTAGCTGAAGGAGCAGGCGTGTGGTGCCGTGCCCCGGGAGTGAGACCTCAGCAAGTCTCAGGCAGTGGACTTTTGCACCAAAAACCCATTTCAACTGCTTGAACTCTGCTTAATTTTATTATTATTTTTGTCCGAAAACATCACATTCAGATCTTTATCATTTACTGCATTCAAAGTTGACTTTCAGTAATAAATGTTTTTCTGATTTCACCTGTAAATGAAGCCCAAGGTCATTTTTTGATGATGAACATTGTCAACAAGAAACAAAGACAATTATAAATGTAACCTGTTTAAAAACTCAAATAATTAGCATGTGTCCTTTAAAGCTGGAGAACCCAACTTTTGTTTTCATAAATACATTGTTTCATCAGAAATTGTCTGACTTCACTTTCACTTCACTGCATTTTATTTTTTTATAGGAATACATATTTTTGACTAGATGACCCTGTAATAAGCATCACCAGTCATATTTGCAGGAAGAGAATAGTTAGACCAAAGGTGAGCGGCCTCAGCAATCAAGGTTTTGATTTCATTACGTCCAATCAAGAGGCTGTGGGGGCGGGTCTTTCAATCAAACAACTATTGGTCGATTCCCACTGAGTCTTTCCTTGTGGTTTTAAAATTGGGTTCTCCAGCTTTCAGGAAGTCTAGGGCGTAGACAGCACACTTCCCCTAAACATGTTTCACCTGTTAATAAAAAGAGAGTGATACGCACCAAAAGCCGGAGCTGCCCAGGCGCTGACCAGCAACAACACAAGCTCCATTGTACCTGAAGAGAGAGGGGCCTTGTTTAAAACTGAAGGTTATCTGATAACGCGTGCGTGTGTGTGTGCGTTTGTGTGTGTCTGCGCACTTTTCCCCAATAACTCTTTGTGCTCCCGTCTCTTTATTTGCAGCGCATGGCTATCAGGGTTATAAAAGTAATTTTGTGTCATGCAAAGTCAATCTAATAATATACGTCAAATCAATAAGTAAGTAAGTAAGTAATCTTTATTTATATACCGCCTTTTCACTGCACATGGGAGTCTCAAAGCGGTTTACAATTGTTATTTTTGGGAGCAGGGGTGGCAGTACAGGAGGCACATGCCAGACCTATTGTACATATTTTTAGTGGTAGGGGAAACCGGAGCACCCGGAGGAAACCTACGCAGACACGGGGAGAACATGCAAACTCCACTCAGAAAGGCCCTGGTCCAACCGGGATTCGAACCCAGGACCTTCTTGCTGAGAGGCAAGAGTGCTATCCACTCAGCCACCGTGCCGCCCGTAACATTAATATAGTCAACAAAGCATGAATAAAGTAGTAAAATGTAGCCTCATAAGTTGGGGCTCTCAGAGCAGTTCGGTTCTATTCTATCATGAGTTTCCACATTTTTTTTTGCCACATCTTTAAATCAGCTTTTTAGACAAAAAAGTGAGGATCACCCTGACTCAGCCAATCAGCTCTCAGCCCAAGTCATCAAATAGGGCTGGTAAGCAACGTATGCAAAACATTTCACTTTCTGTTCAAACAATGTTTTATATTTGTTTTAAATAAAGTTAATAACCCCACCTTTAATTAAGATTTGTTTTCTTGTCTCTTATGCACTTTATACAGGACAATATTTATAAGTCAGTTTTATTTTAACTTTTATTCCACGTGCACTTCAGATGAAATTGTGTTGTATAGATGTGTGTGTTTAGGCATTTTTTGTGAAGGACTTTGAATTGTCTTGTGTACGAATAGTTCAGTACTAGCCATCCATCCATTTTCTTCCCCTTAATCCATTTCTGGGTCAGGGGGGTGGCAGTCAGAGCTGCACCCAATTCACAGAGCACCAGCCCCTCACTGCTCCTCCTGCAGCTGGTGAGTCCACAGGAGAACGGCTGCTCTGTCAGTGACGACTACAGTCTTTGGTGACGACCCAGCCTTGATCTTTCAGTGGGGGATTCAGGCAAAGTGGGATTAAGGGTCTTGCCCAAGGACACAATGACAGCAGACATCAGTGGGAGTCTGTGGAGAAGGTCTCGTGGTGTGCTTGAACCCACAAACTTCAGGCTCAAAGGCCAATGCTCTACCAACTGAGCCACTGTCGCCCCTATACAAATAAACTTTATTTTTATTACAAAACACCTTAAACCAACAGTAAGAAAACCTTAACTTGTCCCATATAAGGAGTAACCTTGAGTGCAGATCTGTCAGGGACACAGTGCTCCATTGAAGTATCGGTGGTAATATGCACGCTGCTCTTTCCAGACTGTGTTTAAGCCTATTTTGGGCTCTGGAAGGGTTCTGGCAGCAGGAGGGGGTCCCGGGGTTGGGTTACAGTCACTTGTGTGTGTGGAGGTTACATATGTGGCACAGCTGCAGAGACTGGACTTTACCAAATGCAGCAGAGGTCATGGTGGTGGGTTCAGGCAGACTCAAACAATAAACATTATTTTCATTTAATCTTTCAGAATTTAATATCAAATCTTAAAAGGTACTCTGTGTAATTTTTACAGGTGCTCAAAATAAAAATAAAAAACACATAAACAACAAATGTGACCTTTTTAAGAATATTCGCCTCCGCTATGTTTTTGAAATGTTGTCAAAAGCTGAGAATTTGACTTATACATGTGCATGAGAGCTGAGGACTCTACATGTCAATGCACCATCTTGAAATACAGAGGTTGATAAGGGACAAAAAGGATGACCGAAAGTTGGAGAACATTGTGAAAGACGACATATTGTCCTGTAAAGCTAACGTAGTACCACAGATTGCACAATATGATCTCAAAGCTTGATGGGAGTAAAAACTACACAGTTAAAAAATATGAGGTGAAACAAGTATGAAGAGTGAAACATGCTTTCCGTCAGAGAGTGTTTTTTGACAGATTTTAAAATGATCAGCTGCAAACACTCCCATGTTTGTCATTTTCATATTGTCATGAACTTATTGGAACATGTTTTGCATAGTTCACACACTTATATGATGCTTTGGGCTGAGAGCTGATTGGCCGAGTGAGGAGGATCCTTACTTTAAGCTGATCTAAAGAAAACAGTCGTCTTAAGGAGTTGATAACCACTGGCAGACAACAATTCAACATGACTATAATCCAATCTACTTTGAGAATGTTTGAGGTTGACCTGAGGTCGGCTGAGTTTAGATGTTTGTTCAGTTTTTTCAATTCTGATTTTGTGAACAAAGCACCTCATTCTGTTTTCATCTAATTAGAAAACATGTTATTTTGCATTCTACACAAAAGTCACTATTTGAAGCTTTGGGCTGAGAGCTTCTTTTCACTTTTCTGTTCTGAACCTGATCTAAGGATGTGACAGAGGCCAAAAATACATGACAACTATAGGGCTGTAATATTATGTAAATATTTTGCGCCGTTGCCTGTAGCTAAAGTTGTATTCTTTTTTTGTTACAAATTATAACAGTGCAGCAGCAGAGCAACTTTAAAGCTTTAATATTTCTAAGATTTCTATTGGATTTGGTGCACTTGTGTCCCAAAGAGCCATAGTGTGAATAACTAATGCAATTACCAATTCTTATTGTGAAATTGAACGCTTATAAAATGTTTTGCATAGTAACCCTCCAGATAAAACAAAATCTGATGATATGAAGAGGACATTTTCAAAAATAGAAATCCGTTTTTGAAAACTTTCATTCCTGCAGCCAAGCTTCAACTTGTTATTAAAGAATTTGCTTAAGAAGGGGTCGAACTTTGTATAGCACTAACATATATATATATGGCTTTTCAAAGAACAACTTGGTAAAAAGCAAATTTTAAGCCTTTAGAATATTTGTCTAATCTCACCCGTTTTTGATTTTATTTTATTTAGCGAAAGGCCCTTGAGATGCAGCTTCTCATTTTTGAGAGGGTCCCATGAACATAAAACAAACACAACACAAACTATTAACATTAACACATTTAACACAGTTGCTCCCTCAGATCCCACTCCACCCCCTACAATAACATCATACCAGAAAACATTAAACACACATAAGTTTTAGCAAATAAACTGGTTATATGTTAAACGTTGTGAGAATTTTTACACATGCACTAATGATCAAAAATGTGGACCTGAGCCAAAGAGGGCATTTCAGAAATTCCTCTGGACCCTCAGGCAGAGGTGGCGTGCACACCAAGACATAATATCGAAAGTTAACAGTTTATATTAGCTCATTGGCTGCCTTAACTTGATCGTAGATTTTCAAGACCCACAGAAAATGGTGTGCTGTGACTCATTATGTGAAATGTAGATTCTGAAATCTGAAGAAATTATCTACTTTCTTCTGCAAAAATAAGTTTGATTCTAGCTAGTTTAATTCTCCAATAATCTCTCGTCGAATAGAGGGAAGTTTGACAGAAACCACCAGTCTCACACAAATATGTCAATGGCAGTCAATGAGTTAGAAATCCATCAATAATTTTAGTTAAAGCAGATCACGTGACCTCGCCTTGAAATGGGAAGTAATGAGATACAATATTAGCTTAGGCAGATTCGACTTGTCTTCTATGTAGATTAAGTTTGGTTCTTCTAAAACACAGAACAGACAACGTAACTATAACTAACTTTTAAATATGTCTGGTATAGAGTAACCAAACAACTTAAAGTACAATAATGGTTACATTCTGGCAACAATTACGCGCACGTTTGACTGTATTTGGAACTTCCTGTAAAGTAATCAGGCCAAATGCAGAACAGCCGTGAGCATAGGGAGGTTGCCACACACAAACTTTAAATATACATTAATAGAAAACGTATTTTTTTTTTTTTTTTTTTTTTTACTGGACTGAAAAACTTATGGGCACGCTTAAACAGGCGCAACGACGACCGCGACTGTTTTTTTAACTGTGGTTCAGAGAAAGCGCGTAAACAATATGTAACTTTATGCAACAATTCACTTCGGGACAGTAAACAAGTTGCAGGCGACTTACCGATTGCTTTCTCAGTGTAGTGTCTGGAAAAAGCACTCCGCCCAGATTTCGTGCGTCTTGGCAGAACTTCCTTTCACTTTGGCTAGATTTGGACACTGGAACTTTGTCGCACAACTGCTGCACGAATTGTTATTTTCCGGTCTAAAAAAAAAAAAAAAGGCTCTCACTGGGGTTCCCTGGGACTGCTGTTGCTGCTGACGTGCGCTGTGACTTTTAAAGCTAACTTCTTATTGGAGCCTTCGGGAGTGAGGATGGGGGGTGGGGTGAGGCTTTGGGCTGAATCTGATCTGATATGATCTGATCTGAATCTGATCTGATCTTAACTTTTTGGTTTCATACATAATTGATAATTGAGTGAGGGGTCGTTCCTAATTGTAATGTTTCTGTCTGAAAAATCTGATCTAATTACATGTACAGGCTGTACAACGAGAATGTGTAACAAGAACTGCTGAGTCTGTACAAGTGTCACTGATAATTCACTGTAACTTTGTCACTAGTCACTTCACCTGTTGATATTATTTCTGATGCTTATTCTGCTCATATTCATATTCTCCGCTGCTAAAGTACAATATACACATCTGAAAATACTTCTGAACCAAGTGCAATTATTTTATTCTTTATATTATTTCAATTATATTGTCTATTATCTTAAATAATAGACTTATTTGATGTGTGCAATCGGAGTGCTCTTATTTCCTTCTTTCTCTGCTGTAACGTGCGCAACGATGACACTGACATTTCTCCACTGCGAGACGAATACAGGTACATCTTATCTTATAAGCAAACTGTTTTGAGACTGAGGAACTAGTAAAGGTAAAGATTCTCTATATATACATCCGCTTATAGGGCATTTGACTCATCCTGATGCCACTAGGGCAGTGTCTCCCAAAGTGGGGTCCGCAGCCCCCTGGTGGGCCGTGAGGGTATCGCAGGGGGCCCGCGAAAGGTCATAAAAAATATATATATAATTATTGTATGTTAAATAAATATTTTGTTTGCAATATTAAAATATTTGTGTTAATTATTTGACTTGAATAATCAAATTGTAATCATTTTAGCATTACAAAATAGGGTGCGTCATTTACATGTTTGTAGCAGAGGCTATTTCTCCCACATAAAATAACAAGAACAGCCTAACTTTAACGTTGTCTTCTTGGTTATTATGTCGGGGGGCCGCGCAGACCCGTCAGATTTTTAAGGGGGCCGCGATGATACTGACTTTGGCAATGGCTGCACTAGGGCATATCAGGAGGAGTGTTAGCCGTAGTACAGCTCCCAGGGACCCATCTCCAGGCTTGGTTAGGATTACAGGAGCTGGAGTATTTACCTATTGTACAGTGGTGTTTAGTGGTGGGGGAAACCGGAGCACCCGGAGAAAATCTATACAGGCACTGGGAGAACATGCAAACTCCACTCAGAAAGATACTGTTCTGGCTAGGATTTGAACCCTGGATTTTTTTGCAGAGAAGCAAGAGTGCTGTCCATTCAGCCAACGTGATGCATAGATTCATTATCGATCCCTGTAAGAGAAAGTCAGGTATCCAGCAGCCGAAAACACATCCAAACACATAAGTAGATCAATTAAAAACATTTCTAACAAACTAAATAAAATTTCTGACAAACTACCTGACAATATTGCATAATTGTCAGCCGAAGGGACAAAGGATCTCTTAAAACGTTCCGTTCGGCAGCGCAGTGAAATAAGCCTGTTGCTACGATTACTCTTCTGATTGGCCAGTGTCAGAGGGTGTCTAACATTGCACTAATGCTATAACTGTAAAGACAGTTTTAAAGTTAGGTACCCCAGCTTTAAGTTAACTGTAATGGCACCAACGTCAATAAAGAAAAATTAACAAGGTCAGATGAAGTAAAAAAATTTTTTTGCAGATTCTGACTCACCTTCCACTCGAGTGTTACATCCAGTACCAAATGGGGGAAAGCAGAGAAAATTTCAATGTTTTCAGAATGATCAGATTATTATCAAACAAGGGCTTGGCTCATGTCACTTTGCCTTTCATGAGTCTTTGTTATATTGGTTTCACATTTGAAGTTGAATTACAGAAATGACAATATTCACTTTCACCAGTATCATATATGAATTCTTTCCCGTGAATGCCATTCACGGGTATGATCCACATACTCAGTCACAGTCTTGCTAATTTCAATCATCCACATCCAATTTGTATTCACGGACAGATGTCCTTTTTAGATTTCAATTGTAGCCTACTTAAAGTCAGTAACAAAAATGAAAGTACAGTGGTTGATCGGTACTTTCCCAAAAATACAGTACTTGAGCTGCACTTAAGAGTAAAGTACTTTCCATTTGATTTTAAGAATGCTTTAGGAAATGCAAGGCAGGTTTATTTGTATAGCACAGTTCATATGCGAGGCAGCTCAAAGTGTTAAACGAAACAGGATGAACATTAAAACCCTCACTTCATGATCTAAGGCAGGGGTTTGGGCCACAAATCATTTTTTGTTTGGATAAGACATGTCCGGTACATATAGGAATGAAACACGGTGATATTTGAAAAGTGAAATAAAGGTTGTAGGCCAAATGAGTCTGGATTCTGGTGGAAGGAGTTCTTTTCAGCTAGTTCAGTCAGGTTCCAAGAATGGACTAAATCACAAAGCAAACTTAATATTCAGGTCTTGGGACTGAGACGGCCATTCCAAAACGTTGTGCTTGTTCCTCTGCCTGAATCCCTCAGTAGATAGTGAGCTGTGTTTACTTTTATTGTCTTGTTGAAAGATACAGCTCCGGCCCAACTTCAAGCGTCACTGATTCCCAGACATTTTTTCTCAAGAATCTGCTGATCCGGAGTAAAATCCGTGTGTCCTTCAACTTCATCAAGATTCCCACTGCCTGCATTGGACACACAGCCCCATAGCACGATGGAACCACCACCAAATAGGACCAAGAAGTGTGTTTCCTGGTTTGCTGTGTTCTTTTTCCTCAATGTATAACGTCTGAGACTGTAAATATTAACAGAGCTTGTCACGCCTATCTCTGCTGTTGAAACCAATGTGCCACCACTTTTAACTTCTGTGGGCTGTTTTAAAATGGCCGCGGGGCTGGAAAATGTGAAAAAAACTCATTTGTGCACGCATTAGCCGGCACTAGCCCCAATCATTTAACGAGAGCGTTCAAAAGTCCACAGCGGCTAAACCAAACTGTTTGGCCCAACGTAGCATTGGGCCAAGAGCCGACTTTTGGACCATCCTGTAATTCCGTTTTTGAGAGGTAAGAAGGCGGCATACAAAAGCATTGGGTAATTCTCTTTCCAGGTACACCCCACCGGCTAGTAAGTAAGTAACATTTATTTATATAGCGTCTTTCACAGACCAGGATCACAAAGCGCTTCACAATTAAAAACACACAGAGAAAGTCCCCATACAAGTCAGTTCTAAAAACAAATAGAGAGAAAACACACTAGGCCAATGGGACACGGTGAGATCGCGAGCATGTCAGTGCACGTGCTCATGGACCTTTTCGAGCCCGTGCACACTTAGATGATACAAACTTAATTCCACTTCTCAAACATCACTGTGTTTGTCTTCTATCTATTTATTTAATTGAAATATCTTATCCAAATACCTTAAAGGAAAATCCTATAAAACTAACATAACACTGTGGGCCTGGGTTGGGAGGTATTTGTATAAGACACACTTATTTGTTCTCAGCTAAATCATAATTGATACTAGCACTACTTCTAATAATAATAATACTTTCCTGTAAAGCACGTTTAGAGGCTCTCAAACATTGATAAATAGAATATTGTTCAAAAGGTTTTTATTTCTGTAATTCAACATGAAATCTATACATGTTTTGAACTCATGACATGCAAAGTGACATATGTCAAGCCTTTGTTATAATTCTGATCAAAAGGGCTTACAGTCCATTTTCCTGAGATTATTTTTATTGGAGTTTTTACAATTATCACCATTTTAACAAATAAGGCAAGGCAAGGCAAGTTTATTTATATAGCACAATTCATACACAAGGCAATTCAAAGTGCTGAACAAAACAAGAAAGCATTAAAATCATAAATTATCACAGAACATTAAAAAGAAAAATGAAAATATAAAATCCCTCAGTTGTATGCACAGCTAAACAGCACTGTCTTTAACCTGGTTTTAAACATTGTCAGAGAGGAGGCCTGTCTCACATCTTCAGGAAGACTGTTCCAGATTTTAGCAGCATGAATCTGAAAAGCAGCCTCCCCATGTTTAGTTCTGACTCTGGGCACTAACAGGAGTCCAGTCCCTGAGCTCCTCAGAGTCCGGGCTGGTTCATATGGGACTAACATGTCACTAATATATTTTGGTGCGAGGCCATGGAGAGACTTGTAACACACAGCCAGAGCTGTTTTAAAGTCTATTCTCTGAGCCACAGGAAGCCAGTGCAGAGACCTGAGAACTGGACTAATGTGGTCGTACTTCCTGGTTCTAGTCAGGACTCGAGCTGCTGCATTTTGAATGTACTGCAGCTGTTTTTACAGCCTGTTTGGACAGACCTGTGAGCAGGCCATTGCAGTAGTCTAACCTACTGGAGACAAATGCATGGATAAGAAATCTCCAGGTCTGCTTTAGACACTATGTTTTTGATCCTGGCAATGTTTTTTAGATGGTAAAAAGCTGCTGATGTTACTGATTTGATGTGGCTATTAAAATTTAAGTCTGAGTACCCAGTATTACCCCTAGATTTCTGACCTTGTTTGAAGGTTTTAGGGAGAGAGACTGTAGGTGACAGATGACGCTCTCTTTGTTTCTGGGGACCAAAGACAATCATTTCAGTTTTGTCTGCGTTTAGCTGAAGGAAGTTGTTTTGCATCCACTCACTGATCTGTTGGATACAGTGAAGGAGTGAGTCCACTGGTCCACGTTCTCCTGCAGTCAGTGAGACATAGATCTGAGTGTCGTCTGCATAGTTGTGATAGGTCATTAATACGCAGAAACGAAGTGTCCTAACGGCAAGCATGTAGAGATTGAACAGAAGAGGTCCCAGGATCGACCCCTGTGGTACTCCACAGGTCAGGGCCATATGATCTGAGACACAGTTTCCAATCTCCACAAAGTACTTCCTGTCTTCAAGGTAAGACCTAAACCAACTTAGGGCGGTGCTAGTGACGCCAACCCAGTCCTCTAGTCTCTGTAAGAGGATCTCATGGTCGACGGTGTCAAAGGCAGCACTTAGATCTAACAAGATTAAGATTGAGACTTTGCCTGCGTCAGTGTTCAGCCGGATATCGTTTGTAACCTTAACTGTAAAAATAAAGGCATGATAATTTACGTATGTATGTCACATTTAAGTTACAGTTTCATCTGTATTTATCTGCGTCGATCTAAGACACAAACAATATACATATGTATTATTTACATCAATCCACAACTTTATTAATTGAAAGAATGAGTTCTAATTATTGTATAAATCCCTTACTTTAATAAAAAAAATACATTCCAATTCCTTTTGATATATTGGATCTGTTATTTCTTCTTTTAATTTACTGCAAAATCTAAGTCAATTTTGAATGTGAGAACTTCTCCTTTGCGGAGATAATCCTATTTCACTCTGGCTTATAATAGAAATATTTAGATTCTTCATACAGGAGGTTTCTTAACCTGCTTCTAATAGATTTTGTAAAAAGTGACGAAGGAATGAGGAAGTTAGGCTGTTAAAACTGGAAACATAAACACGTTCTTTCAGGGCCATTTTATCACTGCCTCCACCGGTCTATTCTGAGTTCAAACAACTTCTCAAGGTCTCTGTTTGACGCATTCCACACGAGGAAACTGCAGCTAAAAAAAAAAACTCAGAGAATGTACTATAGTTGAGTTGAAATAATTTGAAACATTTCGCAGTCAAGGATGCAATGTGTTCTTTATTTGTGAGTAAGAGAGAAATACAAAACATGTACCATACATGTATTACAACTTCTAGTTAGATGAATGGATAATACATCCCTTCACCACAAGATGGTGCCGTTGGTCCAAACCAGTGAAAGTCCCAAGCCAAGCCAGCAGAAGCACCTTTCCCAGAGCCTTCATAACGTGGTCCTTTGCACAGGTTAAAATACATAAACAACATGTTTATACAAAGTTATCAAAAGCATAAATTGACTCATTTCTTTGAATTACCTCTAAACTAATAATGCTCCTCGTTATCTCTTTCAGGTCTCGAGGCCACTGGGAAAAAACAACAATATAATATTTTTACATAAAAGTACATATACGATGCTGTCTAATTTTATAAACGGCTTTGTTGTTTTTACTATTATTTATATAAAAACATTGAATGGACCATTTAACCATGTTCTCTCACTAAAGCAGAAGCCAAGCAGGAATGAGGAGTCTTTTAATTGCATTTGGTCCAATTTAATTAAGACATGCCAGAGAAACCCCGTTGGTAATTACTGATTAAAAAGCAGGTGAGGCTGACGATCGTGGCCATCAAATGCGACCAAGCCTGCAATCCAATCACTGCTGTCGTCCAAGGACAGACGGCTCTTCTGGGGCAATTGTCAGTTGAGCCCAAGTCTTTAGCTCCATGTTACAGCCCAAAGACCCCTCCCCAGAGACCTGAGCCGGACTTAAAGGAGATTTAACACACTTCTGTCTGTGATATAGTGAGAATCAATACGGCCAAATGGTGTGTCAATGCGGGACAACTGATGGAAAGGTTGGCATGTTGTTTAGACACGTGTCTGATTTTCACCACGAGGAAGACAGTAATCGGACAAAATAAAAAGGTCAATACAAACTTCACACTTTTGAAATAGGTCTTCTAAAGTCACAGCGCAGTGCACCCAGGACTTCGGCAAGTTTAGACGATCATTGAGTAAACGGCAGGACAATGGATTTTACTTTTGAATGTGCTGGAAAACAGCAGCACGTCCTGAGTAGCTCTGTAACAGTTGTTGTTTTATGCTTTATAATTGTTATTTTTCTTTCTTTTTTCTACCTGAGGTGTTGCTGCAGTACAGTGTTCATGGTTTTACACTGGTCTAGACCGGAGTAGAGAGGATTCATGGTCCAAACCAAGCGGATCGGGAAAAAATCCACTGGAGCAACGCTAACTTTTTGAAAATGCTAATGAAGCATGAGCCTTTTACTTTTGACCAAGGCAGAAAAAAATGGTAAGAACCCAGCGGCTGCACCACCTCTGCTGCTGTGACCCGAAGTGCTGTTTCTTATTATTACTATTGTTAGCTTTTTAGACTTATCAATTTATTTGTTGTTTTGTGTGGATGGATGTGTTTTTGCCTGAATTTTTCCTACGTGGATCAATAAAATATCTAACTAACTAACTATTGGCGTCTCGGGTGGAAGATAACATTATAACTCAAACATGCATAAATCACTATAAAACCTTTGAGAGAATGACAAAGGAAACTGTTATAACATGGAAAACAGCTGAGAATATGTCCTTGTAATATTTTCATGGTCATCTCTAAGTACACTGTAACTTGGATCCTGGTCAAGGATGACTTCAGTCTTGTTTGGTCTTTACAATCTATGTTTTTTTTTCTGGAAGCATTAATAAGATTAAATACAGTATACATTAAAATATATAAATCACTAAGCACACGTTTTTGTGAAAGGGGTGTGGGCCTTTGGACATTTGGCAAACTGCCCAGGGCAAACTGGGCAGAGCCGTGCAGAGTTGAGCCTTTTGACAACAGCACACCCGCAGCACATCATAGTGTTGCCATTCATGACAAATACACAGAGAGTTTGTGGTCAGTACAGTCAGTGAGTGCAGCCTACAATGCCCACATTAACAGCTGACATGGTAAGGCCTGGTCTATATGTCAGGCCACCTGTCCCTGTTTTGCCTGCAATAGTATTTTATCACATTATTTTTTACATTTAGTTTATTGAAATTCTCCTAAAACCCATTAGTGGGTGGCCAACCACATTCTGATCAATATGGGGTACAAAATTGTAATATTTTTTGCAGAAAAATATAATATATCGATATATATATCAATCTATTCTACTTTGTTGTTCGGTGGCAAAAGTTTTGATGATTATATATATATATATATATATATATATATATATATATATATATATATATATACATACTTACCATTTTGGGAAGTCTCACCCACGCCACGACAGCACCACTTCGGTCAGATCCATGGCGGTCACCCTGTCCGCTGTGGTCAGGTCGTCTTTGGAGTCGTGGTTGAAGTTCCCACAGGCTCCACACATTTTGAATGCGAGACTGGAGTCTACAATTATAACGACCTCCCGCGAGAGTGAGAAGGTGACGAGGATGACGGAGGTCTTCTCTACGACCACACTGTTCTCAGATACGTGCACGGTAACATCACAGTCCAGTTTTGCTGGGAGGGACGTCTGTTCGCCATTCACCTGATCACAGACGACATGTGTTTTAACATAATCTCACCAAAGAGTTATATGTGTTGGTATTATGTTGATAATAATTGTTATTGTTCGAAATAGTTTAAACAATGGAATAGTAGTGGTCCATTTTCTGCCAGTATTCTATCCACTATAATATTATTTTCCCTGCAATGTACCATTTTAATATAGGGAAAAAAGGACACTGCAAAACAATAATGAAATATCACGACAACTGAACAGGTCACCATGTAAATAGCCCTAGGAAAAACCTCTCAAACTTTGTAAAAAAAGAAAATATTTGCTTGCATGCTGTCCATTGTGGTCCATTCTGAATTTGTTCTAGAGGGGACAGAAACTAGATAGATTTTTTAAATCTCCCTGCTCTCTAAAGTACAATACTTGGTGGTGTGGAATTTCTACAGTAACCTCTCATGCTGCTTGGGAATTTTTGAGTTTTTAATGCCATAGTCACCCTTTTGTCATAAGGCCAATTTCAGAACTCAGTGAAGAGTTTTTTTTAAATAATGGATTGCAGTTCCTGGAGGAGATGGTGGAATTATCTATGTGTAGGTGGAGGACAGTGTGAACCTAAAAGGGCCGCCCTGACGCCTCCACACTCTACACCAAAAAGAGAAAAGTGATTTGCTCAAAATAGTGCCAGTGTAGGTCAAAGTATTAGATCTCCCAAACTGGACCCTTTTGAGCAGGGAATCACAGGCGAATCACACACGTTTTCTTTGGTCAAAAATGCCTGTCTGTCCAATGCATTTAGTCAGCTGGAGTAACCGTCAATAGAAGAAATTGATTTTTCATACCAGAACTTCCTGTTGACCATTCACTGTGATGCTGTTGTTTTTGAAGAACACATTGACTGTGTCTACGATCTGAATGCCCATCCTGTAGCTGCGCACGTCCACCACCACCTTGAACCAGCGCGCATCAGTGACGTCGCACAGGGAGGCCACCTCGAAGGCCCCCAGATCCCCCATGGGTCCCGTCAAGCCGTCGAAAGTGATGAGGTAAACTGCGTCGTTGATGCTGCACTGGCCTTGAGTTGGGTGGCAGTCCCTCACACCGTCGCGGACCTCACAGACCTCAGAGCTGCCGCATAATTTCTTTTCACATTTGACTATTCCAGGCGCCTGACACACACATGAGGACTGGCATTGAGGGTCGACGACCGATTCACCGACCTGAAAACAATAGGATTGGATCACAAATTAGACAGCATCTAAACAAAACATATTGTTTTGCTGAAATATTTTTATGATGATATCCCAATGGTAACATGGCAATTCACATTCAAGAGGACATGAGTGACAAGTGTCACACCGGCGATGTAAGTGCGCGCATTGACAGCGCAGGACGGTGCATGCGCGCGGGGCTTAAGGCCCTAAAGGCCTGTGTACACTCGCGCGGCGCTGCTTACGGTTGCGGTTACGTTGGACCTACGTAACCACAGTTTGTGGTACACTTGCACGTTCCCCGAATGTTGTAATCCCACAACCAACCACGTGATGGCGAACTCACAGGAGTTGCCTAACCAAAGCGGTCTGTGCTGCTACTTTCTCCTCTTCAGAACAAAAACAATAGTGAAGCTGTGTTTCTACTGTAGGTTTATGTGATAGTTCTAAACTCATCGTTTCAACTCATTTAACTGTGATATTGTGAACAAAGACACAGTTCTTGTTGGAAAAATAGTTATTATTAAAGTGTATTCAGCACAAACAGCAAAACAATAAGTGGTAAATATCTGAGACAAATATGAACTATTTAAAAGTGCAGGAGGAATGCAACAGACGCGATGAGCTACGAGTGCAGATTCAATCATACAGACCAATCACAGCGGAGCTTCCTTGCGACGACCCTTACGTAGTTAGAAATTTTCGCGGGTGCGCAGCAGGCGATGTAATGGCCTTGCGGGGATCCACGCGTTGCCCAAGTGACGTCATGTCACCACCGTAAGATCCGTGCCGTGCGACTATACACTAGGCTTAAGAGGAACATTGCGGCTGGGATGTGCCCGCCCTCCCCCACGGGTGCCCAGTGGTGACCCGTGGTTGGCGAGTGGCTGGTGAAACTGTGGCCCAGTCCCGGGACAGAGAAGGACCAGCTGGCAAGGACGGTGTGGACCAGTGGACTGTGGCCTTCTATTTTTCTTAAAGCCATTTCAAAGAATTCCTTTAGTATATATTTCATAAAAAATGTATCCCCTTTTTGAATGATTTATTGATTGATTTGGTCTGTACTGTATAGTAACCAATTATATCGGTTAAGCAGATACCGATTAGGCCTTTCAAAGGATGTAATAATTGTCTATTTATTGGCTGATATTAACCCAAAATGTCATAGACTTTTACTGTCCTGTAGTTACTTGCAAGAGTAATAGGTTAAAAAAAACACATTTTGTAAACCCCTGTACATTTAGCACCAGCACTGATCCTCCTGCAGGTGGTTGAGTCCACAGGAGCCTTGATCGTTCAGTGGGGGCTACAGGCAAAGTGGGGTTAAGTGTTTTGCCCAAGGACACAACGACAGCAGTCACCAGTGTGGGCTCAAACCCACAACCTTCAGCCTCAAAGGCCAACGCTCTACCAACTGAGCCACTGTTGTCCTCCGATAATATAAGTAACAGTGTCAAAATTGGTACTGGACATAATAAACCAAGATTGGGGGTACACATTTGACTGGGAGAATTCCCAAAGCAGATACTGGGGTTATTGTTTTATTTAAAGAGGCTCGGCTCTGAAGATACATCAAAAGATGATACTGTTTATCATGGTAATATTTTGAGAAGCATAGTGCAGTGCTTCTTAATTATGTTTTGCCAGGCACCATGGGGTGTTGCACCACCCCTTAAAGTGGTTCTCACCCCCGCTCCTCGGAGCTTACGTCACTCACATTTCCTGTTCAAATCTTCCTCTAAATGGGCGTAGCCTGGAGGACTAAAGGGGGTGTGAACGAGACTGGGCAGTTTACATTGCTCTGGGCGGGGGGCTGCTGACGTCAGGTCTTGCTGCCGCGCCAGTGTTGACGCCAGATTCAATATTCAAATGTAGTAATACAGGTCGCCAGCAGATGGCGCCTCACAGACGGTTTTAGGCAGAAAGTTTAACTTTCAACTAATTTGCACCAAAGTGACAAAATTATGACCAGGATATGTAGACAACACTATTGGACACTCATTTATACCGTTTATCAGGGATTTGAGGGTGAGTTTGTTGGGTTTGGGTTTGCTCTGCTGTACAGCATAAAACAGCAAGTTCTCTGCGGTGGATGTGTCAGTGACAATTTATGCCAGAAGTTCCTAATGGTTGGATAAAGCTAAAACCTATATTTGTATTTAATGAGGAAACAATATTGCAACACAAACGATCAAGAAGACAAAATATGTACTGTTTATTATTACCTTTAGATATCTATCGCCATGTAGACATCCGCATTTGCTGGGAGAAACACACTGTTCCCCATCAAACACCAACCCCTGGTCACACTGGCATCCTTCAAAGCAGTTCTCAGAGCAGGACACCGCTTTCAGGAGTCCAACACAGGAGCGTCCACAGGTGTCTGCACACAGCTCATAGTGGCTGTTCTCTGGGCACAAAGCAGCTGGAAAAATATGTATACTGTTAAAACTATGCAGCTAGTGCCTCATTATAAAGATTCCTGAACAAAGGTTGCAAAGCAACATTGCAGATATTTTACGGAGCTGCAAAAGGCACCTTGCAGTTTCAGAACTAAAAGTCAAACCATAATCAATTTCCATTATTATATTATCCATTTTTGCAGATTTTGATGTTTTTAAACAAAAAACTTTTTTATCAAACCTCTTTTTCAAGTGAGTAAAAGTGTTACCCAGGGCTGTCACTAATGTTATTTTAATGTATAGCTATATTTAAATACATAAACGTATTTACATAATTATAATATACATATTTAATTAATGTGCATATACCACGCACATTTTGAATCTCTTAAAAGGATACATTTTTTCAATAGAAAAAATTGGGCAAAAGAGCTCAGGCAAAGTTTGTCAGATGTTAACAAGGCAACGTTATTTGTGTTCACAATGGATATATTTTGAGGAGTAGACATGTGCTGGGAGTAGCCTGTGACACATTTATGTTGTGTGATAAAATTCAGGTTAACACCTGATTATTATCAGTGCAAAATATTATATTGGTGCATTCCTCTAAACAAGAATTAGATAATGCACTAACAGTAACAATCACGGTCAACAATTATAAGTAGTTGTTGAAGTTGATTGTTATATTTGTATAACAATTTATATTTATATTTTTGTTATGTTTCTTACGGCAGAAGGAGTCGGTCCTCCACTGTTGAATCTGAACTCCAGCACTCTGACAGGCCAGAGCGTAGGCCATGATGCTGTCGCACAGAGCATCCTTATCTTCCGTCATCCCACAAACATCAAAGACGCAGTTTGAAACATGCGTTTCTGGATTAATCCCGCGCTGGCACGCTTTGAAAGGCCCATTCCGTGCTTTTATGATACCACAGGAGTCCCGCTTCGCTAATTCTGCTGCTTTAGCTGGATCACACACTGGACATTGGCTTCCGCAACCTCCACATTCAAAACCAGGGAGCTCCACGACCCATGCCTTTCCAAACATTTCGACATCTTCAGTATATTTTCCATCCGGCAGTAAGAAGTCATCTTTGGGGATATCGTTGTAATTGCCACAAAGACCACACATTCTTCCAAGATATGTAGACGGTACGATGACTTTGACGTGAAAGACGGTATCGTACTGAACTGTCAAACCAAAGTCAGTTCTGATTATGATGTTGCGTCCCTCTTGGGTTATTTGGATGCGACTGTCATGTAGGGTCGTAGGCAGATTGACAAGTTCATCGTTCACCTAAACACAACAATTGGAAGCATTATAGAATGTTCGTATTATTTTAATATTTTCAGATAGCAAGCAAGGTCCTGTTCATAAATGCAACTAGTTGCACGATAGAAACTGAAGCTTTTAAATGTTTACTTTGACATTTCACGTTTTAGAATATTAAATAATTTTTGTAATAAAAAGGGTCCAGGTGCTTTTAAACAGCCCATAATTAATGGTATTTACCGGCAAGAAGATAATGAGGCAAGAAAAGGATGTCTTCTTAGTCTAGTGTCCAGCTCATTCACTAAAGTCTCTGGCACAAGTCCATCCTTTATCTGATGTCTGTCTGCATACTGTTGGTTTTGCACCTTAAGCACATTTGGACAATTATTGAGCTCTACAGCACCGCTTTTTCCCAAAAAAAATCAACACTCAACAGTTTAAAGACTCCTCAAAAACTGATCTGCTGTGTAGTCATTTGTGACTATGAAATGTTATACTTAAATCCAAAGAGAAGACATAATATTGAAGAGAGGGCAAAGGTACAACCCTGTGTCCATATTACTGTTTTTAATAGTCCAAATGAGTTATTTTTTCAGATAAAATAACAGCTACACAATGGTTAATGTTACCATAATGATGAATAAGATAATAGCAATGTACTGATCAGTGGGTGTGGGTCCCGGCTCAAGAGTGACAAGCTCAACACTGGATAATTTATAAAAGTGATTATCTCGATTTCTGGACAAATAAGAAGGATTTTGATGAAAGCAAGACAATTCTAGATTTTCACCGCCTGACAGATTAGAGTCTTCAGTTTTCAAGTTTTAAATTATAGCATGTACACATGCTTCTCCAAAGACAGTGAAAACTTGTCAAGATTGCTGGGACTCTATACAGAAGCTGTAATCTGCAATGTATTCTAATTTTCTGGGACAAACCTATGACATGTTTTATTTAAATTTTTGAAGGAACTTTTTTGATCCCACAAACTTCATTCTGCAAAGATATTGGGTTTTTGGAGATGGTGGCCTTTAATTTGTCTGTTCTCAATGCAAAATGACCTGTGTGCTTGGTGTCCTGCTCCCCTTTGACACCAAGTACGCATCTCAGTATGGATTTCACAAATTGGATTTTCAGGCCCTCAGAGAGATGCCTCACTGGAAAACTAAAGTTTAGTTTAGTTAAATTACAGTTTTAAGATCCGTGGTGTGGTCCAAAACAAGGGCTACCACCCTAGAAAGGTGCTGTTTTGTCCACGCTAGAGCATGAACAGTGAGCGGCCTCCTCTTCTCCAAACGCGTGGCTACAGATTTAACTCTATTGCTGGAACGCTCTGGTTAAAGGGCACGTCTTGTGGCACATCACACAACATCTTTAGATATTGTGTGATGCGGCGCGTCGCACAACATCTTCAGCATAAAGTTTATATGCGTTTGTGGAGGTTATTACGTTGGTGGGTGAAGACTCCTTCTTCCAAATTCATACCGTGCAATTAGAGTTAGGATTGCAATGTCTTATCAAACATGACATGTTTGATAAGACACATTTGGACTGATGGGTGAGGGAGGAGAAATGCTTGTGACTCTTGTAAAAAATGCAGGCCGGATTTTGATGAGGGAAAAAGTTTGAAAACCGCAAAAGAATATTTGGTGAACAAATTATTTTTTTTATTTGAATAGGCCTAACATTTCAAAATCGGATTGCAGCTTCAGTTTTCATTATTAGGATTATGTAGAGTTGGAATTTCACTTGTTAAAAAAATCACTTACTTTGACTTTCCAGCTGTCTCCTCGCTGAATATAGATGACAAAACCATAGACTTCAACTCCCACCGACTTTGTGACCGCCATGTTTCCTTTGCCCCGTTTCTCATTTCCTTGCGTCACAGTGAATGACGTCAGTTGGCCTTCGTCATCATCACACACTTTAGCCAGAATATAAACGCATGAACCCTGGAAGTCAAACCTGTGGCCATCAAAGGTCTGGTAATGCAGATCTCCGGAAGCCACGCACCACGCCTCCCTCACAGGATGACAGCCTTTGACACCATCCACCAGTTTACACATCTCACCAAAACGGCAATTCGTTTTTTGACATAAAACAGCGCCATTTTCTCCGCAGACACACTTCTCCACACATTTGTCGTCTGGATAAAAGACAGCACCGCTCTGGTAATAGTGTCCGCCGTAGGAGCAGCCGCAGTCATTGATGGGCACACAGGCTCCCCCACTCAGCAGGAAGCCATTGTCGCATTCACACGTTTCTGCACATGGTCTGTTGCAGTTCCTCTGGGAGAAGATGGCACAGGTGGCGGGGCAGCTCGTGGCACAGAGGGTGTAATGGCTGTTAGCGGGGCACAACATCGCTATGGGATGAGAACAGAGAAGTGTGAGCGATTAACAGAAAACCCTAAGGTGGAACACACAGGTGAACTATGCAAGTTTTTTGATGCGTGTTAGGGCCCGTCCCAATTCTGATGGCACTTTTGTTGTGAGTGCCCTCAACGAAAAGTGCCCTCCCATAGCGGAGTGCACTCGTGGGATAGTCGGCCTAATTGACGCAGCAAGCGTGTTCCACATCAGACGCAATATTGATGTGTTTGATTTTATCACAGATAAGATGACCATATTTATGACTTTAGGAGACAAAGTATTTATTTAAGTGAGACATTTTTAATTGTATTTCACATAAGGATTTGCTATAATTATGTACAGGACTGCTCCATATCACGTACACATATAGACAGACACACACGTACGCATACAATATTAAGAGATAGACACACACTCACTCACACAGAGACAGAAACACACGTACATAGTACAGTACATGTACGCACACAGAGACAGACACACACACAAACGGATCACAAAGATCTTGTCAAAGCGATGCTTTGATCTACATCATGGATCGATACTATCAACAATTCAGATTGTGTTCAGGGCAAAAGAGGGTAAGTTACCTAGAAATATACAAAAGTTATTTATACAAAGGGAACGAGGGCACAATTTACGGGGTTTACGTAACTATAGGACCATAAGGGTGAAAAGTAAAAGGAAAAGTTTTTGTGTTTCTGTTCAGGGAGTGGAACTGTGGAATAGTTTGGATATGCGATTGAGAGAATGTCAAAATGTAAGAAGATTCAAAAAAATATTTCAAGAAATTACCTTTGAAAGATATAAGCAGGAGGGGCTGTAAACGACAATAAGGCTAGTAGTATGATTTGGTTGCTTAGAATACAGTACAGTTTACAGGAATGTTTCTTTATTTTGTTCTTTTTTATTCTTATAGATGTACAGGAGGTGTGTTATGTGTTTGCATTATATGCTATGCAATAGAATAATCGCGGCATTTGATTATGCAGTAGTGGGCGGGGCTGTGCCTCTGGTTGGTCCTAGGGGGTGAGGGGTAGGTGCTGTGGTGGCGGCTGGCTGGGTGGAGGGATGACTGTGGTGGGGCATGGTGGCATTCTGTAGTGATGACTGGAGGGGAACATCAATGGGAAAATTGGATGATAGTAGATATAACATAAATATTAATGAATATATGATATGTGTGTGCTTTCTGGCTGGTCTTGTTGGAGCTATGACAGTCACTGTGGTGATAATCGGCTCCTTTGGAAAGGCATGAGCAGGAAAGTAAACAATCATGATTGTCAAATGGAATGTGACAAAAAAAAAATATATATATATATGTAAAAAAGATAAATAAATAAATACAATAAATAAACATGTATAGGAAACATGCATGTATTCCCATTGGGGTGATGACTCGGGGCATGGCTGTGGAGGGCTGGTGTGTGCTGCCGGGATCATCCTCTGCGCTGTTTGTCTGCTGCTATAGTGCTGCTCGTTGTCTCTGGGACCGGTCGGGGTGAGGTGCTGAGCCCGCTGCGGCGTACAGTATCATTCAAATGTGATGCGAATTGGATGAATTATTATTATTTTCATGAGACATTATGATTTATCATAATATACATGGGGTGGGAGTTTATAAGTTTTTTCTTCTTCCCACTCCATTTTGAGCACTTGGAGTGTGCTTATGAACAACAAGGCCTACTGTATGTGAATATGTAATAGGTGTTTTTTTTTTTTTCTTCAGTGCACAGGAGCATTAGTGAATCATGTTCTGTTCTTGTGCTATGTTGTGGGATGCTTGTTGTGTATACAAATGTGTAATGTTATGGGCTCAAAAGAAATGGGCTCAAAAAAAAAAATGAAACAAAATACTAATGACATGCACCATGTCTCTGAAGCCTCACTGAAAGTTACATGCTGCGGCCGCTTCACGAGCAAACATCACCACATACGGCAACAACACACTCTTAAAACTCGCTTATTCCTCTCACACGCCTCAAAGCTTGTCTTTGCTCCCTAAGTACTGGGACACCCTACAACCCCTGCGGGCTGTTAGTATTTAGTATTTGTGCTCCCCATAACCTGCTGTTGTGCAGAGCATGTGTGTGGCATGGGCGTGACGTTCATCTATTGGCCCTGTGAATGAGACGTCACGGCCACATCCACGTCCAAGTTTTGCAGTTTACCCAGGACTGCGAGCCTTCGGAAACAACCGTTTTATCGGATAAGTTGGTTGTACTAACAGGCAAAGACATTAGCCAAATGCGTATTTTATCTGATTCCTGCTTGTGATGAAGGCAGAAGATGACGATGGCTAGCGGAAATCAACCGATAGGACTAGGAGCCTTTCAAGTACTCCCGAGTTTTCAGAGAACACTTTTTACACTGCAACAGCCAAGGCAGTGGCGCGTTTAGCCAGCAGGTACTGGACAGCCGTCTCCAGAGTCCCGCCACCGGGACCTGGCTCCAGGGTGGGTCCCCGGCTGTGTGTGTGGCAATGTCATAGTTAATATTTTCGTGCTGTCCATGGTGGTTTTTGGACTGCGCTTCCTCTGATCCACCTCTTTGCTCTGGGAGACCCAGCCACAGCCGTAAAGTCCCAGGCAACATAGCTCCTAGGATCATCCGAGTACGCAAACTCCCCCACTACGTTAAGGTGGCAGGTGTAGAGTATCTTTATTTTTTAAACTGTAAGCCGAAAGTGATGCATGTGTGCTAACTGCGCGCAAGCCAGAGCCTAATAAAATGACTAAAAATTGTCAAGACAATAACACATGGATAAAAGAATATTTTAGTCCCCTTTGAAAACTACATAGTTCACCTTTTACATTCCAAAGTATACTTACGACAAAATTCGTCCGTCCTCCATGGGCGCACCTCTATCCCTGCGCTCTGACAGGCGGACACATAAGCCTCGATGGCATCACACACAGAGCCGTGGTGCCCATCATACTGACACGCATCAAACGCACAGTCCTCCAGATATGGGGCATTATTAATGCGGCTGTGGCACTCTTTGAACGGCCCCGTCTTGTCCGCAATAATGCCACAGTATTTCTCCACTTTGTACACATCTTTCTGGGAGCCATCGCAGTGACTGCACCTTGGCCCCTGGCACACTGATAAGCAGCCCGGCAGATCGCCAACCTTCCAGCTCTCCCCCAGCTGGACTTCAGTATCAGCAGCCTCGCCATTGGGCTTGTTGAAATCATCCTTGGGATTTCCATTGTAATTTCCACATAAACCGCATACGACACCCTGGTACTTGCTTGGCAGAGTCACAGAGACACGGTGGTGCCAGTCAAAGGTGATAGTGATACCAGCTGCTGTTTCGACCACCGCTTTTTTACCTCTGCGTGACACCCACAGGTCATCGCTGTACTGCAGGGGCAAGTCCTCGAGCTGACCATCAAGCTGAGAACAAAAAATATGTGTAAATTGCGTTCTTTTCTTTAGATCTCTCTAAATGTCTTCTAGTGACATGTTTTGTTGCGTCATTTTTTAGGCATATTGAGATGCCGTACTGTACTAATTATCACATCTCAGGACATCCCAAAGTAAGTGACTCTCTAAGCCATGCACACTGTGATTAAGAACCGTGTGGAAAAAAGTTATGTCAGCTTAGAACTATCCATCGCATGACAAGTGTGGCTGATTCGCATTTGTTAAAAAATAGAATAAAATGAAATAACTTTATGTCCCACATTGCATCTGCAGTCTTGTGATTAAAGTGTGGACAATTTCAGCCATGCTGTGATGTGAGGGGAAGGGGCAGAGACAGAACTCTAAACAAGTCTTGATACAGCTCCTCAAACATTAGGCTTAGGCTCACAGTGCTGTTGGACGCAAACATACAAGACAGTATCAACGTCAGGACAACCAGCTCGTCTGCACAAACTACAACACAGGAATATAGTATTGCAGTCCCATTGGTGCAAGGATACAGAATAATACATAAGTAAGACCACAGATATAACAGTATTACACAATAAGAAGCACATTACATACAATCCCTAAAGAGTCAGAGCGGTGCAGATTAAGAAGCGCATAGCACTTGCTCCAACAAAGTGCTTCACTAATCACTAAAAGCATTGCAACTGCCCAAACAGGAAAACTATTCAAGAGTTATGCAATTTGAGTAGCTGTAACATAAATTCAACAAATAAAAAGCTATAGATTTTCAGACAATGTAATTGTCTGAAATCAAATCAAACTGTTGATTCAGTTTGATTCAATCAAACTGAATCGTCAGATAAATTAACAGTTACACTTCTATTCCTAGCCTGGTCGTACCACACCATAGTACAAATTACATTTCCTACTAAGGTCTGGAGGTGGTCCATTGAGCTCTGTTTACAGGTGGGAGGGGTTAACTCCTTTTGCAGATTGAAACGATTGGATCTGAGTTTACCGTGACGTATGTAGTGAGCCCAAGTCTGTTGTTAGCATTTAGCCTAGCCAAAATCCTTTGCCGCTAACGGAGCCCGTGAGGAGTAGCACCACAATTTTTTCCAGCGATTACATTTGCTAAACATTATCCTTGCTCCGGCTTCAATTTCTTGATAGAACCTGACCGGATTACTTTACTATCGCATTTTTCGCCATTACCAAACTACAACCTGCCTGTTCGACGCATGCCTTCCGCGCTCTCTGAAGGGTTGGTCGAAATTCAACCGATTGTAATCGCTAACATAGGGACTAGACCCAGACGTTACATGCAGTGAAATGATGATTGAACGGAGTGTATGGATGGCTGAGGCCAGGCTATTCTATTCCATATAATAATAGGCAAACAGTATATACTTTGTAATTTGATAAAATCACAAAAGTAACACGGAGGCATTACATTTGTTTTGAGAAACAAAAAACAGCTCTATGTGGTTAATGAGTATAATTGCAATATGGTTCAAAGTGTGGACAGTATGCACTCACAAGTATTTTATTGGTGAACTCTCGACTGATGATGATAGTGACTCCGTACATCTCGATGATCACAGTTCTGGTGATGGACACGGCTAAGTTGTTGCCTCTGTTTTCATTCTGCACGGTGACTTTAAATGGCTCCAAAGCCCGGTTCTTCACACACAACGCCGCCAGTTGATATTTACACGTACCCTGGAAGTGGGGTTGTCAAGATCATTGGGTTATGTCATAATCCTGAATATTTAGGTCACTTTATGAAAGTCAAATAAATAGTTATTGTGGAATTTTTGAAAGCAATTTGAAAGTGAATCAGTTTGTGAATGCATCAGTCACTGTTTGATTGCAGATGTTTGTTATGCATGTGGTTTTTGTTAACACAATTTTGAATAATAACGATTATTATATTTCTCACAATAATTGTTCAAAATATATTGTGACATCCTTACCTGGAAGTTAAATTTACGGCCGTCAAACATAACGTAGTGAGGGTCTGCTGTGCATGTGGCAGAGCTTGTGGGCCGACAAGCGCGGATCCCATCCACCACAGAGCACTCCTCATTGTCCGCGCATGAAGCCTCATTGCAGACCACCATCCCCAGAGTCGTGTCACACTCACAGAGGCGCCCACAGCCCGGGCCTTCCCAGAAGCGCTGGCCTGGTTTGTAGTAGCGCCCCTGATAGGAGCAGCCGCAAGTTGCTTCTGGGACGCACACGCCGGCGCTCAGGACATAGCCCTTATCGCACACACAGGTCTCCACACAAACGGTGGCACAGATCTGCTGCTGCTCTGGGAAGGGGCAGGTCGGCTGGCACGGGCTGGCACATTCCTCAAAGTGACTGTGGGGCTGGCAGTTCATTGCTGTAGAAAGTGACAAAGACAAAAAATGTATACTATATACATATAAATAAATATTTAAAAAACATATATATATACATATATATACATTACCGTTCAAAAGTTTGGGGTCACATTGAAATGTCCTTATTTTTGAAGGAAAAGCACTGTAGATAACTTTAAACTAGTCTTAACTGTAAAGAAATACACTCTATACATTGCTTATGTGGTAAATGACTATTCTAGCTGCAAATGTCTGGTTTTTGGTGCAATGTTGTAATTGCTGCAAATGGAGGATTCTTTGACGAAAGCAAAGTTGGATGTAAAACAAATCTTATTTCAAATACAAATCATTATTTCTAACCTTGTCAATGTCTTGACTCTATTTTCTGTTCATTTCACAACGTATGGTGGTGAGTAAGTGTGACTTGTCATGGAAAACACTTGGGTGACCCCAAACTATGGTAGTGTATATACATTATATATATATATATATATATATATATATATAGAGCAGCTGGATAGACTATACATACTTCTACTCTTCGTTGGTGGTTATTCCTCTCTAAGTTCAAGTCCTCTGGTCCGCCCAAGAAGCTTGAGGGGTCTGCGCAGTATTGAATCTGCTCTAGAGTGCGCCAATTTTGGACAAATATGCCTACCATTTTGGCTTGAGTACCTAGTATCAATTCCCATACGCACCAGTACACCCGTGAAATGTCTGTGTGTTGTGGCTGTATGTCTCTTTAATGCTGCTTAAAGACCAGATATGGACTTTTGCATAACACCCAAGTCATTGGTGCATCTACACTATCACCCAAAACTAAATGTGGCTTCTAACAACCATAGGGGGCTTAACCACTTGCTAATAGGGCAGGAGTGTGAGAGCTGCACCAGCATGCTGGTTACTGTAGTCTGCATTGTAGTTGCATCATTTAAGCTACACTGTGTTTGTGCGGATTTGTGTACCATATGTCCAGCAAGTGAAAAGGAAAGCACAATGAACACACCACTAGTGCGGCCCATGGTAAACAGTATCAGATCAGGGACTTAGAACCTCTCCAAATCCCGACATAAAATACTCATACCCTTACTTAGACTGACCACTGTAAATTCTCCACAGAACTCCAAAATGTCACAGTCAGATAGGACAAGTAATCTCATTAACCACTAAAACAATCCTGACGCTACATGCACAAGAAAAACTCAAGAAGAACAGAACGCAATTATCAAGCACAAACTTGACAATATAGGGGAAATCTGAACTCCTCAATAAGTCCACGTATTTCCAGTACAACAATAAATACGGGCAGAATTGAGGATTTGCAATGGGTGACCCACAATCATTCATTTTATTCATGATGGACCTGGAGACAAATGCCATGTCCACAGCACCACCCAACCTATTGAAAAGATATGCTGATGACATGAAAAGGAAAATACACTCACCGGCTACTTAGGTACACCTATTCAACTCCACTTTAGCAGATCGTCTTGACCATGTCTATTTGCGTTACAGTTCAAACCAAGGATCAGAATGGGGAAGAAAGGTGATTTAAGTGACTTTGAATGTGGCATGGGTGTTGGTGCCAGACGGCTGGTCTGATTATTTCAGAAACTTCTGATCTACTGCGATTTTCACACACAACCATCTCTGGGGTTTACAGAGAATGGTCTGAAAAAGAGAAAATATCCAGTGAGCAGCAGTTCGGTGGGCAATACCTTGTTGATGCCAGAGGTCAGAGGTGAATGGCCAGGCTGATAGAAAGGCAACAGTAACTCAAATAACCACTTGATACAACCAAGATATGCAAGAGAGCCTCTCTGAACACAGAACACATGAAACCTTGAGGCAGAAGACCACACCGGGTGCCACTCCTGTCAGAAACAGGACACTGAGGCTACAATTCGCATAGGCTCACCAAAAATGGACAATAGAGGATTGGAAAAACTGGCCTGGTCTGATGAGGCTTGATTTCTGCTGCGGCATTTGGATGGTAGGGTCCGAATTTGGAGTCAACAACATGAAAGCCTAGATCCATCCTGCCTTGTATCAACTGTTCAGGCTGGTGGTTGGGGTGTTGCAACGCCACAGCCCACCTGAGTTTTGTTGCTGACCATGTCCATCACTTTATGACCACGGTGTACCAATCTTCTGATGGCTACTTCCAGCAGGATAAAACACCTTGTCATTAAGCTCATATCATCATAGACTGGTTTCTTGAACATGACTTTAAAGCTGCACTAACTGACTTTGGGATTTTGAAAGCCGCGGACTCGCTGGCCTCGCTCTTTCTGCTCCCCTCCCCGCACCCACGAAGCTATCGCCCCCCACACACACCCACTGTTGTTTACGAATCTAGCGTCTCCCAATATGGATAATACATGGATATGGATTTGCACGTGGATGGCGTGACCACAGAACGATAGAACCGGGAAGCGCGGAATAACGAGACTTTCTTTTGGATGGCTGTTTCGCTGAGTAAGCAGTAACCGGTGACGAAGACGAGGAAGTTTCAGGTTAGCTCCGCTGCTTGTTCTGCTAACTCAGCTGTCTGTGCTAACAGACCTGTAGATTTCTCACGAAAGGGGCTAGTGGTCCGCTGTGATTGGTCACAATCTGCGACCCAAAACACATTGTCTTACTTGTTTCATCAAAACTCGATCTAAAATATAATGTCACGCCAGCACAAACCTGCGCTAATTTTTCTTCAAAAGGACGTGTATCCCAATGCACTACATGGACAGGGATAGCATTTTCGTAATGAATACGAAAATAAAGTCAGTTAGTGCAGCTTTAAGTTTACTGTACTGTAATGGCCTCCACAGTCACCAGATCTCAATCCAATAGAGCAACATTGGGATAATCGAACAGAAGATTCGCTTCATGGATGTGCAGCCGACAAATTTGCAGAAACTGCATGTTGCTATCAAATATGGACCAAACTCTCTGAGGAATGTGCCCAGTACCTTGTTGAATCACTGCCAAGGATTAAGACACTTTTGAAGGCTGAAGGGGACAATACCGGTACAAGCAAGGTGTGCCTAATAAAGTAGCCGGTGAGTGTACACACCTTAGACACTGCAACCGAGTTCACAAGGAAGACCAATGAGTGATCAGACACTCACACAAAATTACCGATAGTCAGGACATTATTCTACAGACGTCAAGGCTCGACTGGACGAAGAAACTCACTTACAACAAGCACTGTAAAATGTCATTATCAGAAGATAACAGTACAGTAGTCAAGGCTTGACTACTGCAACACTTTGCTTGCAGCGTGCCCTAAAACCTCTTTGAGAGGTTTCAAAATACAGCAGCAAGGATCTTAACAGGTACCAAAAGGAGGGAGCACATAACTCGTGTTAAAATCACTCCATTCCTGTGGAGTACAGAAAAAAACATTTTTACAAAGCCATAGATGGCTTGGCTCCTTCATTTCTTTAAGATACGTTAGTGTCATACTAACCAAACCAAGCACTACGCTTGCTAAACGCCAGACGTCTGGTGGTTTCTAAGGTCTTAAAAAGCACTGCTGGGGGCAGAGCATTAATCTACCAAGCTCCTTTACTGTGAAATCAACTTCCCACCCAGGTTAAGAAAGCAGACACAGTCTCTGCATTCAAGGCCACGTTTCAAACAGTCTTCTTCAATTTTGCATATGGTTAGGTTGTAGAACGTGGACCTGTCTGACACATCATTGTGAGCTGTTTTCTTGGGTGGAATGGCCCTCCCAGTCCACTAGGAGGCAGCATCATTGATAGATTTTTATTTACAAGGCTCTTCTGGGACCTCTGTACATTACTCACACAGGGGAGTACAAAGTCTTATGCACTGAGGTCCAAAGAGCAGCTTTTGCTTACTGTGCCTTTTGTCCGCACAGAATTGGGAAAAAGAGCCTTTGTCCATGCAGCTCCTTCTACTTGGAACATGCTCCAGCGAGACTGGAAGCTGACCGAGCTTTTGTCCTCAAATGCTTCTAAATCAAAACTCAATAGTTTTTGAGACAGTCTCAATTACCTGTAATTGTTTCACTTGATGTGAGTAGTCTGTGTAATTGTCATTGTATATATTTTTAGACAAAGTAGGGACATTTCTAATGGAAATTCGCACTAGTGTGCCGCGGCATAGTGGTTTAAAAACACTGCTCTAGCGAACACACCGGCAGTCAACAGCTGATAAGACACATCATGTGTGACGTCGCAAGACACTTTTAAGGAAGATGGATGTTTGTCGTTGAAACATTTCACGGTTACATTTATCTGGTATATAAGAATCAAATGGCATAAAAATACCTGCTTTCGTTTGTGTTGAATAAAAACTAAAAGTTGTACTCACGACAGCAAACTTTCTTTCTCCAATCGTTGATTATGACTCCCTTGTCACGACATTGCTGAATGTAGGAGGCCAGCGCCTGACAAAGTATCTTCTTGTCCCCCTTGTTCATACACATGTCAAACACACAGCTGTCCAGGAAAGGTTTTGGATCAGCCTTTTCATGGCATATCTCAAACACATTATCGGCAAAGAGGGCTCCGCACAAGCCTTCTGTCTCATAAACCTTTCGTTGCTTATCATTACAAGTTGGACAGTAGCGCTGGCACGTGTCACTGCATTTGCTGTCCTTTTGATTGGGAGTTCTCCAGCTTTTTGCCCAATCCACAACATTGGACAACAACTCTCCGGCTGGGTTCTGCATGTCGTCGCGGTAGTCATCATTGAAGTTGCCGCACAGACCACAGATCAGGTTGTAGTAAGAGCTCGGGAGCTTGATAATAAGTTCGTGGTTCCAGTCGTAAGTAACAAGGAGGCCAAAGACAGTTTCGATTTTGATTTGATGTCCTTGTTGCGATATAGACACTAAGCTCTCCTCACCCAAAACCACTGGCAGATTAAAGAGCTCTCCATCAACCTGTAAACATTTTTGTTAATAGATGAAACATTTAAATATTTCGGAACATATCAAAAATGAGACTTAAATCTTACAGTGACTTTGCCGACTTGGTTCTTGTGCACAATGATACTATATCCATACACAGACACTTCCACATCTGCCACAGATGAAACGGCTTGGTTTCCTCTATTGTCATTTCTCTCTGTGATTGAGAAAGGAACCAGACCGTCCAGGTTTCCACAGGTTTCAGAGATGACATATTGGCATGTCCCTTGGAAGTCAAAGTTTAAGTTATCAAAAGTGATATAGTGTGGGTCACCCCAGGCGCGGCAGACTTCGGTGAAAGCTGGCACACACACAGCTTCATCCTTTTCAACAAGACACTTTTCTTTTATGCGGCAGTTTGCATTTTTGCAGGGATCTAAAAAGAAAAGGAGACACTTGTAAGTTCACGTATCCTCTGCTCCTCAATTTGAATAGGAATGGGCCCTGCCTTTGTCGTAGCATCCCACAATGCCTTTCTTCACAGAACATGTGGTGCCTTGAGGACACAAGTGGTCTTCACAAACCAGTCCTTTCACCGGATTACACACACACTTTTTGGAGCAGTCTTCATTATAAAACAGTTGACCAGGCTAAGGGCAAAGATCATTTTGTTACAAGTATGGTTTCCAAATTATTTACATTTTGGAAAGAGTACCTTGTATGTTCTTTGCCCATCAGAGCAGCCACATTTATCCGCTTTGACACATGTCTCTCCATTGAACACAAAACCGGTGTCACATTCACAGCCCTCTCTGCAGCCAGTGTTAAACGGCACTATTTCTGCGAGTCCCGAACAGGCCACACCACTCAAGTCCGCACATAGCTCATAGTGGCTGTTGGCCGGACACTTCATTGCTAAAAACAAGAAGACATTGTTTTATGTATTCTATAGTGTCCGCAACACTTAAAGCAGATGGTACTTACGACAGAAGAAAGGAGACCTCCAGATTTGTATAGCCACTCCTGCCTTCTGACAACTGAAAGCATAGGCCGCTACACTGTCACATTGCACACTTTCATCTCCATTCGCCGCACACACGTCAAACACACAGTCCTCAAAGAACTGCTTAGGGTCCAGTATACTGTGGCAGCTGGCGAAAGGACCTTTGGGCGCTGTCAATATGCCACAGTAGGCGTATTTGGAGAACACAGCTTCATGGAGTTTGTCACAGACAGGACACTGATTTCCTTCACAGCCATTTGAGCACAAAACATTTGGAATGTTTACTTTCCATGAATTTCCAAAGTTGTTCACATCAGTAGTGAGTTCTTTGTTTGGAAGCTGAAAGTCATCTTCGGGATTGCCATTGAAGTTACCGCACAGACCACAAACCTTCTCCTGATAATTACCAGGTACCGTCACAACAACACTGTATCGGAGGTCATAACTCACTCTCAGCCCAAAGTCCGTCTCAATCACATAATGGGTCCCCTCCTTGAAGATAAGTACTGCACCCTGATTTATATTTATTGGGACATTGTTGTAGATTCCATCCACCTAGAAGGCATACACTTTTTACACATTTCAATATTTAAAGGTGGAGTTTTCTTTATAGTTAAGATTTTTGAATGTTTATAAAGTCAGATGGCTGCTGGCTGGTTTTCATGGTGTAATATGCAAACAATATATAACATCAAACAGTTCCAACATTTTGAGGCTATGAAAATCCTTTTAGCCTTATGCCAATTTAATCTTGAGTGCTTTTTTCAAAATGTAAACAGACCTTTTCAAACCTTGAACTTAACCTCAACCACAGAGCAAGTTTCAGAACTTTTTTGGGCTAAAGTCAGATCAGATACTGGCTCCAAGATGGGATTTGAATTTTCGATGACTACATTTGATAATGAATTGAATGGACGAAGGTGGGACTACATCCATATTTGTTCTATCAAAGATCAACACCTTATGACAAGTAGTATTGAGAACAGCTAGATAGAGTTGTTTACATTTCTTAATGTTATTTAATTAATTTATTTTGCTACTTATATGAATAAACTTACCTGAACTTTAAATGTTTTATGTTTCATGATGATAGTTTTTCCATAGACATTCACAGCAACAAGCTTCGTAACTGACACTCTCCCATTCCGTTTCCACCCTTCGTTCTCCACATTGACTGAAAAAGGTGTGAGGTATGTGCCTTCGATGCCACAGCTTTGGGACAGAACATAAGTGCAGGTTCCTTGAAAGTCCAACTTCTTCCCGTCTAAAGTGATGTAGTGGGGATCACCGGAGGCACGGCACACGCCCTCCCCAACCGGGTGACACTTCCGGACACCATTTTTAACTGCACACTCTTCATTAGGGCCACAAAGGAACTGCTTACATACAACCTTTGGAGGAAAGAGCAAAATAAAGTTATCTTTGATGATGAATATACAAAAAAACAAATTAACAAGCAAATTGAGAGTAAGTAGGAAGGAATAAGGATTTCTACACCAAACTCATAGAAACTGTTTTGAGAGCAAAGAATGAGTTACATGGATTTTTACTACGTAGTTCAAATATTGTGGTTTGAAAGTTAGGTACCCCAGCTTTGAATTAATTAAAGCAAAGGAAGGTTTCTCACCCATCATCTGTACTTCTTAGCAAGTTTTCCCGACGTTTCGTCCTCAATCCTAAGGACTTCTTCAGGGAATGAATTCTCAGACCGCGCGTTGGAGATGATGGGTGAGAAACCTTCCTTTGCTTTGACTAATCCCTGTACGACTGAGGGTTTACACAAACTTTTAATTAATTAATTAAAAACTAGATGCACAACAATATATCACTGATACTGATACTCCTTCCATTTCAATATAATTGCTTGCACAGTGCTCCTTGAGATGTTTAAAGCTTGGGAAATCTTTTTGTATCCAAATCCGGCTTTAAACTTCTCCACAACAGTATCTCGGACCTGCCTGGTGTGTTCCTTTGTCTTCATGGTTCTCTCTGCGCTTTAAACAGAACCCTGAGACTATCAAAGAGCAGGTGCATTTATACGGAGACTTGATTACAGACAGGTGCGTTCTATTTATCATCATCAGTCATTTAGGACAACATTGGATCATTCAAAGATCCTCACTGAACTTCTGGAGTGAGTTTGCTGCACTTTTCAGTTTTTTTATTTGTTAAAAAAGTTAAAATTATCCAATAAATTCCGTTCCACTTCACGATTGTGTCCCACTTGTTGTTGATTCATGACAAAAAATTAAAATTTTATATCTTTATGTTTGAAGCCTGAAATATTGAAAGGTTCAAGGGGGCTGTATGTGTGTACTATTTACATTTATTTGAAGACGTTTGATCGAAGAAGAAAACACAAGGAAAATGCCTAGCGTGAGGCAGGCAGTGTCTGTGCCTCACCACTAGGGATGCTAACACAGACTGTAAATATTTTGCTAACCAACAATCAGTCCTGTCGGTGCTATTTCTTTTGCTGGAAAATGGATGCTTGGATTGAGGATTTGTTTCTCAACTGGACTTTTAATCAAAACAAGAAGTAATATAGACAAGTCCACCGCTGGACTGACGAGGTTAGTCCGGCCGCGGGGGAGGAGTTTGTCAGTGTCTGTGTTTTATATTGAAAATTTACAAGAGCTGCATAAAAGTGCTTCCCCGAAAAAATACTGATTTACACACTGCTCAAGAGTTCTGCAACTTGTTTATTTCTTGTTTGTGTTCCTTGTGTTTATCTCTCCCCGTCTCTCCCTTTCTCTCTCTCCCCGCATCTCCTGCTCCTTGCGCCTCTCTCTCTCACGCTCTTTGCGTCACTCTCTCTCCTTGTGTCTCTCTCATTCTCTCTCCCCCCGCATCTCTCGCTCCTTGCGTCTCTCCCTCCCTCCCTCCTCCCATCTCTCGCACCTGTGCTTCGCAAAGACTTGGTTTGATGCGGAGCGGAGAGCCAGCATCTAGAGCTGTTGGGGGATTTTTAATAATATACTGGTTCTCTTATCTTTACAGTATATAATGTGTGTGGACGTTTTTGCATTGACCATTTAATGCTAATTTATTAGAATAATGATTATAAATCTGACTGTTAAAGTCAGTGCCTCCCCTATCACAAACCTCACCGCACGTCCCTGGTTCTGACCATAGACTGTATATATTAACGGACAGAGTCTCTGCAGTTCATAGGAGTTGCTCCATGAAAAGTGCTTTCATGGAGCAACCCAAGATGGCGCGAGTGGTCCCGCCCACAAGAAATTGTGAAAAAACGCATCTGCGCATGCATGTCAATTCACCGTGAGTAAACTAGAGTGGACCAAAAAATTCACCCCCCTCAGCATTGACACACATGTGGGACGGAGCTTTGGGCCAAGAGCCAACTTTTGGTCCATCCTGTAAAGAAGTTTTTGAGAGGTCTGCCAACGCTATATGTTAGCATTGGCTAATTCTTCTTCTGGGTCCACCCCCATCGGCCCGGGGTGGTATTGCAAGCATGTCAGCGCACATCATTTTGGCCACTTTTGAGCTGGGACCCGCCCCCAATGGTTCTGACCCATAGTAAAGGCCGACTCCATTCCACTAGCCGGGCTGCGTATATACCAAAACAATCTGACGTCGGCGAACATCAATTCTGATTGGTCAGATGCGCTGTCAATCACTCTGCAGTTGCTGCCTCAGCTGTTGCGAATATCATAACAAACAACACGTTTCCTCGACCCATGACGTCCCTACGGAAAACAATTCCTTGTTCGCTGGATGAGGGCAACACCTTCGTCAGTTTGAGGAGAGGACACCAGCGTGAGCTCGATGGTTCCACCAGAAACCAGAAGGTGTTTGTGGAGCTAGTGCAAAGGACGGAGCAGAATGATTTCCAAGAACATCACAATGCAGAGAAAAGTTTATAAGTTTAGTGACAACCGTGAAATGAAAGATCACAGCAGCTGAAGTAGAGGCAGAACCCCAAAGTCTGGAGGTGGTTTGACCAAATTGATTAAATTTACGGAAATCGGTTAACACCAGCTAACATGCTAAAACCAGCTAACACCAGCTACACCAGGAGATAAGCCAACTCTGCCTGGTGAGTGTCTGTCTTCAAGCAAATGCAAAAGTATCTGGTCTTATACTGAACATGTGTCTGTGGTTCTAAATCAGCTAAAGTGGTGATCTTTTACTTAGCGTAGTTAGAGAGTGAATCATGGTTCAATAAAGACAGTTGTGTTTCTACTAAATACTGGGTTGAAACTCGAATTTCATTTTCTTGGTTAGAGATTGAAAGCATTCATTTCGGTATCATAATTGATGTTCGCTGATGTCAGATTGTTTTTGTATCGACTTGCCCGGTAAGAACCAGGGCCACATTGTTACTAAAAAAGTACCGGGTATCGGCTAAAGCGAGCAGTGGAAACGCCCGCAAACCGGTGAGAGTCGAGTCCAGCCCTTTAGTACTGTAGGAGTCAATTTCTGTCATTATCATGTTGGTGTGTGACATTTATAATAAATCTGTCCGAGCAGAGGTGTGTGCGTGTGTGTGCGTCCGTGCGTGTGTAAGGGATGGGGTGATGTTTATGTTTATGGGGTGACTCTTAGTCTCTGACTGGTTGGCCACGCCTGGTTTAGTTAATATGGGTGATTTTAATATATGTGCATAAGATGCAATAGAACAGAGTTCTGTACTTGAAACCTTTGATCTCACCCGGCACGTGAGCGCCCCCACCCACAGCAGAGTGCACACTCTAGACCTGCTTATTACTAAGGGGGGTTAATGTTTAAATGTAAATGTGGTCAAAATTGCTGTGTCGGATTATTTTTGTGTATTTTTTGTTAAAAAAAATTCTATATCAAACCAGCAGCTGAGCTTGTCAATTGTTAGAATAAGACATTAATGAAAACATGGGCAAACTGTTCATGGCAATGATCAACTTTGAGAATTCATCGTGTTTGATTGTAGATTAACACTAGTGTTTTGAATGTCCTAGACAATAGGGCCCCTGAAAAATAAGCAGAAGGCACCGTGGACTAAAGTGGACTCAGTCAGGGCACAGAGGAGAAAGTGCTACATGGCTGAGCGGAAGTGGCGGTTGGACTTGCGCCACTACAAAGTTGTGTGAGTTAAACGAGGCACTATGCAAAACGTTTTCTGAAATTATTGACGGCTGCAGTAACAATCTACATGTTGCTTTCACTTAACAGATTAACAACCCCCCCGGTTTAGCTGCAATTAGAGCTTACTTCCAAATCTAAATGTAATGAGTTTGCACAGCTTTTCAATGACAAGATTCAAGGCATCAAAAACGACATTGTCTCCAATCCAACAGCCATCGAGGCTCTTTGAGCTAACTCACTTTGCACCTGTAAATGATAAAACTGTCCAAGAGATAATCACAAGTCTGAGCTCCTCCATATGCAGCCTGGATGTACTACCCACTAGATTTCTAAAGTCTGTTCTGAGCAGTCTGTTACCCTCCCCCACACAGATAGTAAACATGTCCCTTCATTCTGAATCATTCTCAAAGGCCCTGAAAAGTGCAGTCTTCAGGCCCCAACTAAAAAAAGAGTTGTCTGGATGCCACGGTACTCAACAACTATCGTCCCATCTCAAATCTGCAATACATGGGGAAAGTCCTTGAAAATGTTATCCACCAACATTTCTTATCATTTACAACTGATTTGATATGTTCCAGTCCGGCTTTAGACCCTGCCACAGCACTGAGACCGCTCTTGTCAAGGTAACAAACGATATCCGGCTGAACATTAACGCAGGCAAAGTCCCAATCTTAATCTTTTTTGATCTGAGTGACTTTTGATACTGTCGACCACTAGATCCTGTGTTTCAGATCATATGTCGCTGACCTCTGGAGTAGTATAGGGGTCAATCCTGGGACCTCTTCTGTTCAATCTCTACATGCTGCTGTTAGGTCAATTCAAAGTTGTGTCCTATCATAACTATGCAGACGGCCCTCAGATTTATGTCTCACTGACTGCAGGAGAACATGGACTAGTGGACCTTCACTGCATCCAACAGATTAGTGAGTGGATGCAAAACAACATCCTTCTGTTATACACAGACAAAAACAAAATGATTGTCCTTGGTCCCCAAAAGAAGAGAGAGCGTTTTCTGTCACCTCCAGTCCCTCTCCCTAAAACCTTCAAATCAAGTCAGAAATCTAGGGGTCATACTGAACTCAGACTTAAACTTTAATTGCCATATCAAATCAGTAACATCAGCAACTTTTGACCAAAATCTTGCATTTCTAGCAATCTAAAACTTACCATTGTTGTCTTCTTTCAAGCTTAAAGGTCCCATATTATTCTTTGACTTTTCTCTGCTTTAAACATCATTACAGTGCTATTTGGCCTTCATACACATGCCCAAAGTAGTTTTCACTTAAATATATGAAGATGTTTGTTTCTTACAGAACAGTTCCTCCTTGAAAGACTCAAAAATAGGTAATGGTGAAATTTTTGTTACTTGCCATTGTTGTTTCCTCAAACACACACTGGCATTCTTCCTCACACATTCCATTGGGGAAGAAAACTTCTCCGATGTGGTAGTAGCGGTCTTCGTGCTCACAACCACAGTGTGAGAGGGGTACACAGATGTCTCCGCTGAGGATGTGGCCTTCATCACAGACACAGTCCTCCATGCATGGGAGATGACAGCCACGGGGAGGGGCCAGACTTGGGCAGGTTGCGGGACAAGTATCCGCACACACTTCGTAGTGGCTGATGGCCGAACACTTTATTGCTGAAGACAAAACAATGAAAAGAACAAAAAATATGCATTAATTTTCACCTCCAAACTATGTACATGAAATGCATGCTTTAGTCCTGTTTAAACTGCAGGAGTTCCTCGTAAAAGGAGGGGGGTTGGACAGCTACATGAACCATCCTCTCACTCTGCTTGTCAGTGGCAATGTCTCCACTGCAGAGTAGGACCCATCGGCAACGTCATTAGTTTTGATCGCCGAATAATCAATTATTTATCTATTTTACAGTCGGAACCGCTACAGTTGTTGTGGTCTTTACTTTTATTTTTAGTCCTGCTTCATTTTTATTTATTTTTTTCTTTTCACGGAATTATTTCTGAGTGTGCTGAATCCCCAGGGCTTCGATGTGTGCTAATATACGGTATCTTTTGATTTCGCCGTGATGCCTCAAACCCCGTCTGAATTTCTACTGTGCGGTAGAAAAAAGATCCTGTAAATGGCCCTGTGGGGGAGGTTCCTGCAGTGGAGACACGCACCAACAGGGCTGGCCCTGGAAAATGACCCTGAAGTTCCTGCGGTGGAAACGCGACTATTGTTTATATGCTCCATATACCTTAGTTTATGGAATGTTCCCAGAGCTCTCCCATCTCCCTCATTAGAGGAGGTTTATAACCTCCTCTAATGAGGTTATAAACAATGTTTATAAACATGTTTAGACTTTTCTATGCTGTAAACATTGTTTGAGTACCATTTGGGCTTCATACACATGCCCGCAGCAGTGTATTAATTTATTCCTCTAAGTTTTAGTTAGAGAGCAATCTTTCACTTTCATTCTTGAGAGCCATAAAAACGCCTCAATTGCATTTGTTACTTGGAACTACATTGATGACATGCCACGAGCTGTAGAAGCCTGCCTCCAGGAAGTGATTCACGAGGGGAAAAAAATTAAAACAACGAATCAGTGCACGCAGTGTTATGGCAAAATTTAGAATGGTCCGAGGCAAACAAGTGTCTTTGCGTGGTTTAATAAAGATAATTGATAATACATGATAATTGCATAAAGTGAATCCAAGTTGTGGAGAAGAGTTCAGCCAGACCTCCGAGGAGGCTCGCTAAACTTTTCTGCCCAGAACAAAGCCCCAGTCTTCAGTTTTCCCAGCCTCGAGAAGGGTGAAAGGAGGATTTATGAGCCTCCTCCACACACCTGGTTTCTTATCAGTGGAACCACTGGCACCAGTGTCTCTGTGTTGAGTTTCAGTTGAGTATTTGTACCATTTCTTATGTTATTAATATAATTAATAGTAATTTTCCACTACAGAAGCCCCTCTCCGAAGTCTCCCACAATCTGTGTTGCCTTCACATCAAGCTGTTTATCTGCTATTGCCGTCAATAAAAGAGTTAGAAACTTTGAGAAAATGTATAAATGCCATCTAAAAAGTCACTAAAAACACTTTCAAAAGAAAAAACAAACTTACGACAGAACTGCTCGGTACGCCAGCTGTAGACTTTGGCTCCTACTTCTTGACATGCAGAAGTGTAGGCGGTAATGGCCTGACACAGAATATCTTGTGTCCCTTCAAACGTGCACACGTCAAACACGCAGTCTTCAAAGGCGTCGGCCGGGTCTACTTGGGCGTGGCAATCGCGGAAGGGACCTCTGGGATCTTTGATAATTCCGCAATAATCATTGGTCTCATATTTATCCTTCTCAGTTATGTCACAGTCTGGGCACTCCCCTTCACAAGTGTCGAGGCATCCTGGGATCTCCGCCACTCTCCAACTGGCGCCGAAGACTGCCGGTTCGACAGGTTTGTTACCGTTTTTAGGAATAAGATCGTCCTGTGGTATATCGTTGTAATTGCCGCAAAGACCGCACACAGCTCCCTTGTAGTCGCTGCTAAGAGTGACGAAAACCGCACTCTTCCAGTCAAATTTGACCTCCAAGCCAAAGCTTGTGCTGATGACTGCATACCACCCACTTTTGTGAACAGTCACTTCTCCATCTTGAAGACTGATTGGAAGGTTCACAAACTCATCATTTACCTAAAAAAAAAAAGATTATTGTATCATTACGGTGATAAAATGGGTTTGTTAAAAAAATAAATTCATAGATTTATAAAAGATATTGATTTTACAATTAGATACAATATCATTTTTATGTATCTTGTTATGCATAGACACGCGTCATATTGGCAGGTTGTGATCATTTCAATGTTGTAAAATGACAATAAAGACTCAGATAAAATCTCCATAGTGAATTCTCTTTACCCACAAGGATATTTTTTCAGCACAGAGTGAGCACTCCTGTTTGGGAGCTGTTTTTATAATCTAACTATGTGTAACTTTTCCTGCCTCTTGACTTTTCAGTTTCAAATCTAGAATTAGTCCGGTGTGCTTTGGTGTCAGTGCCAAATTTCCTGATTTTGCGTTCTTCTTTGATCCAGTCCAGGCATGTTAAGGTTGCAGTGATCTGAAAGAGCCAAATGGAAAAACTCCTCTTGCGTCCTCTGTCATCTTGTTCTGCTTAATCTATCTGTTGTCTCCTTGCACAAGGCACACATTTTGAATCTAAAACCTGCAAATGAGGGTATATCATCCGCAGGTTTTTGTTTTTAGATTGAATATCTCCAATGAAGACTGTCAAGCTGATTTCTGCTACCATAGCACCATTGTATAGCTATTTCTTTCAAGATAATAACCACATTTGTTATAAATTATTTGTCCAAAATGCCCAGTTTGCTATTAATTTTAGTCCAAAAAAAGTTACATGTATACAAATGAATACCATTCCATTCAAGGCGTCCCTTCAACAATAAACGATTATTAAGTCAAAGTGCTTTGGGCCTTCTTCTCCTCCCGGTTTTCTACTTAATTTCCCCATGAATTCTTGAAGAGAGAGAGAGACCTTCTAGTGAAGGTAACGAACGACACTCGACTTCACACTGATACGAGTAAAGTCTCAGTTTTAGTCATGTTGGAACTGAGTGCCACATTCGACACTATCAACCATGAAATCCTCATGCAGAGACGATAGGACTGTAGGAGAACATGGACCACTGGACTCGCTCCTTCACTGCATCCAACAGATCAGTGAGTGGATGCAAATCAAATTCCTTCAGTTAAATGCAGACAAAATCGAAATTATTGTCTTTTGTCCCCAGAAACAAAGAGAAAGCGTTATATATCAGCTTCCCCCCCCCCCCCCCCCCCTAATTTCTGATCTAAGAGAAGGTCAGAAATCTAGCCACATAAGATCAACAGCTTTTTACCATCTGAAGAACATTAGATAAAAATATAGTGTCCAAAGCAGACCTGGAGATTCTTATCCATGCTTTTGCCTCCTGTAGGTTAGACTACTGTAACGGCCTACTCACTGGTCTCTTTAAATATGCTGTAAAATAGCTGCAGTACATTCAAAATGCTGCAGCTTGAGTCTTCACTAGAAGTAGGAAGTACAATCACAGTAATCCAGTCCTGTTCTGCACTGGCTTCTTGTGTCTGTTATCTGGAGCTGCTACTCAGACCTGCTACTCAGACCTGTTTCAGTTCCAGGCTCCACTTCCAGGATTTCCAGCCTGCATCAGGTTCCCTGCTGGGAGTCTACAAGACACACCTTGACTCCAACCATCTCTCTCTCTCTCTCTGTCCTGGCAGCTGGCCTGCTCCCACTACACCTGTCTTCCCCTTTTTGGTTATCTTTATGTTATTTCCCTAGACTTTTGCTTTGTTAATAAATGATATTAACTTTTAGTTGCCTGTTGTCCTTCATGTTGCACATGAAGATCCAGGGTGTAACAGTGGCTCAGAGAATAGACTTTAAATCAGCTCTGCTTGTTTAGTCTCTCCATGGCCTCGCGCCCAAAATTCATCTGAGACATGTTAGTGCCATATGAACCAGCTCGGACTCTAATGAGCACAGGGACTACCGGCCTTGACATAAAACGTTGTCAGCCACTTATATAACATTTATATTTTACTTACCCAATGTCAAAAGTTACTTTCCCATTTTTTTCTCAATTCAATGAGTTAACAAAAGTGTGAAAATCAAATAATGACTCACAGCGCCCTTAAAGGAATAGTTCACCGTTTTTACATACTGACATATGTTCTTACCTTACCTTAGACTAGTTAATACGTATCTGTCTGGTCTTAGTCCGTGCGCTCTGTCATGCAAACGGAGCAAAAACGGGAGCACAAATGCAGCCTCCTCTGTATATTTTGTAGCACCAAAAGGTAGCTCCCGCTAGAAGCTACCAAACTCTTCCAAGTGTTCCCTATTAAATGTATATAGTTACGTGACGTGTTACACTGCAAAGTATAGTAACACAGAAATGTAACAGTCGATTTTCTCAGCGGATAAAACGGGTACTATATTGTGAGGCGTAGTAATCTGAGGAGCGCTACGTCCGCGCACTAACTTCTCTCCGGAGACTTCTCTCTCGCTCACTTCCGTCAATAGAAGCAGCGTGACTTGTAGTACGGAGAGAAGTTAGTGCGCGGACGTAGCGCTCCTCAGATTACTACGCCTCACAATATAGTACCCGTTTTATCCGCTGAGAAAATCGACTGTTACATTTCTGTGTTACTATACTTTGCAGTGTAACACGTCACGTAACTATATACATTTAATAGGGAACACTTGGAAGAGTTTGGTAGCTTCTAGCGGGAGCTACCTTTTGGTGCTACAAAATATACAGAGGAGGCTGCATTTGTGCTCCCGTTTTTGCTCCGTTTGCATGACAGAGCACACGGACTAAGACCAGACAGATACGTATTAACTAGTCTAAGGTAAGGTAAGAACATATGTCAGTATGTAAAAACGGTGAACTATTCCTTTAAGTATGCTAAATAAAAAAATCAAGGCGCCTCTTGTGATGTGTTCTGTTTGATTTGTTCATGACATTTTACTTTTGTGTACACCCAACATGCATTGTTAATGCAAGGGAAAATGTTGGTATCTGAGCTTTAATTTCAGTTTTGATTGTGCTTTGGTAGAAGACACGGGGGAGACCCGCACTTGCAACAAGCTGTGGATGGTCCTGAACACGCGTCTATAGTTCTGTCTGCACATCTATGGTTCTGTCTGCACATCTATGGTTCTGTCTGCACATCTATGGTTCAGTCTGCACGTCTATGGTTCTGTCTGCACATCTATGGTTCTGTCTGCACATCTATGGTTCTGTCTGCACATCTATGGTTCTGTCTGCACGTCTATGGTTCAGTCTGCACGTCTATGGTTCTGTCTGCACATCTATGGTTCAGTCTGCACGTCTATGGTTCAGTCTACACATCTATGGTTCTTTCTCACGTCTTTGGTTCTGTCTCACGTCTTTGGTTCTGTCTCACGTCTTTGGTTCTGTCTGCGCGTTTATGTTCTGTGCTTGGTACCACGTTAAGGATGTGCGTTTGCTGAGGTGTTGTTAAAGCGCCACAGCCGTCATTACAAAGCGGCTGTTCGAGGGGTCAGAACGGAGGATGTGAATCCCATTTAAGTACTTACAGCAAACAACAGAAAGTGCCTGCGGTCACACATTATAGTATATGTTTGGGGATAAACATCTTTGTTTTCCAGACTTTTACTTATCTGGTCAAAAGCTGGGTGTTTGCAGCAAAATTAAATACTTGGGTCACATCATAACTGACCGACTCTGTGATGATGATGACATTAATCGCCAGTGTCGTAAACTGTACGCTCAAGCCAACACCTTAGTGGGGAAATTTCACATGTGCACAGTCGATGTTAAAATTAAACTGTTTAAAATGTACTGTTCAACTCTGTATACAGCCCCACTGTGGAGCAGATATAAGAAGGCTGCACTACAGAAGCTCAAAGTTGCATATAATGATGCTTTCAGGATTCTGCTGAAAAAGCCCAGGTCCAGTAGTGCTAGTCTGCTGTTCTGTCAGAGTCGTGTGAACTCTTTCCATGCTCTCATGAGAAATATGATGTACATGAATGTCAGTGAGAACTATTTTGTGCGGTCTCTGGTGAACCCCAGTATGAGTTCTGTGCGCTACCAGTCAGCTCTGTGGAAGCTCTGGTACAGTTTTCTTTTATAACTGTTTGTCTGTTGTGTTTGTGATGTGTTTGTTTGTTTTTTATGGACTTCGAGTCTGATAAATAAAGATAATAATAATAATAATAATTTAACAGAAACTACATTTTCGACAAAAAAAGTCGGAAGTCGTGGATCCGCAGAAAATTTTCATCCCTGCTTTATCCTGGTGCATTTAATTGGTCAAAATAATTAACCAATGAATAGAATCCATCCATCCATCCATTTTCTTCCCTTAATCCTTTTCTGGGGTCGAGGGGGTGGCAGCCAGAGCTACACCCAGTACACTTAGCACCAACCCCTCACTGATCCTCCTGCAGGTGGTGAGTCCACAGGAGCCTAGATCTTCCAGTGGGGGCTTTGGGAAAAGTGGAGTTAAGTGTCTTGCCCAAGGACACAACGACAGCATTCATCAGTGGGAGTAGTGGAGTAGGTCTCGTGGTGGATTCGAACCTACGACCTTCAGGCCCAAAGGCCGATGCTCTACCAACTACTACTGTCGCCCCATGAATAGAACTGAAAAGACCTGAATAGATGTATTTTATTTTTTTTCTATTTCATGAATAGAATTAAATAGAAAAAATATAAACAGACGTGTCCGCTCCCAGCTCCAGAGGAAGGAATGCGTTCCCGGCTGGAATGGGTTAAAGTAATACATCACCTGCCCGTTCGGGCAACTTGCTAAGACATCACTTGACCGTTCCAAATCTTTAGTTGCTCCGGGCAAGCGGGCAAACGTTAATGTAGAGCCCAGGACTGGCCTCCGTGTTAGTGCCAGAGTCAAAAATGACGGTGCAGAACTGAGGCCCGGGTGCAGAGCTGCTCTGCCACAACCTCTGAGCCCCCATCTGTTCAGTTACTAGCCTCAGAAGCTAGTCAGATTGAAACTGTGTGTGTTCCTCGCTTGAAGTCTAAAGCACTATATGCGAGAAAATCTGACCTGGGTGTCAGACACAGTAACTTAATATAAGTTCAGACAGACAGAAA